GTCTCTGGCCGATTGCTGCCAAATTCGGTTGCGTTAAAACAGATTCGGTTCGTTGAAACAAATTCGACTCACCATCTGCGCTTCCCATCGAGCTCGAGGAAGCAGACTACTCGTCGCCGGAGGAGTAGTCGGTTGTGCTGCATTAGCAGCAGCCGCGGTGTTGGGGCTGGGAACTCGGCCGGGAGGTTCCGGAATCGGCTGTCCGGTAAGCGAACACGTGTTTCGCCGACCAGTGCACTCCGCACAACCCTTCAAAGTCCCAGACTTGTCGTTCACCTTGGACCGACATCCCCAACTCAACTCCTCGTCCCCGAGGCCCTCGCAGTCCTCGCACTTAGGGTCGTTCACGATACCCTCCTTGGCTTGAGCGCGAGCTAGGCGACGTGATTGCAACTACCGGAACGAACAAGATTTAGCCGAATCCGCTTGAACGCAAGCGAAACGAGCTTACCACCGCCCTCCTGGTCTTCACCTCGCTGGCCGTCCCAACTCGAGTCGAGAAAGGAGGCTCGCCGGGCCTCGCCTCGTGATCGATGATCTCTTGGTCGGTAGCGTTGACGATACCAGCGTGGGCTACAAAGCGGATTAGCTCGAAGCAAACGGTTTCGCTTAAACAATACGAATATTACTCACTATCCCACCACTCGGGCTCCGGTGTCGACGCCAACTCGTCGCCCTCAGTGCCGACCGTGCCGATGTTGATCACGCTCTCATCCCCAATGTCGATGATCGAGTCGGCCCCCTCGCTTTCGGCTAAAATCAAGCAAATCTGGTTCAGCGAAACGAGTCCGATCGACGGGTACCGAGTACGAACCAGCAAATTCAGGAGTCCCGAACGCTCTTTGATAGCGACTCTCGATCTGCCGTTCGTACGCTGACCCGGGAGACGCGTCGGGCGACTCACCCGGTTCACCGCTGTCGCGGTAGTCCGAATCTGCATCCTCGGACGTCACCACCTTCTTCTTCTTCTTCTTCTCCGACAGGTCGTCAAAGAAGTTGGCAGGCGCTGCACCCGTTCGCCGAGTCGGCTGTACGCCTTCAAAGTCGGTGGGCCGAGCTGGAACGTGATTATCCAAATTAGCTTCATTGAACCGGATCCGGTAGAAACCAAACAAGAACGCTTACCGGGTTCTGGGCTCACCGACCGTTGGCGCACGAGAGCACCCCCCAAATCGATGTTCTCGACATCGACCCTCGCACCCGCCGATGCGGCTCCTCTCCCTCGACTCGACCTCGCGCTGTGTCGGCCTTGTCGACTCCGCTGAATCGACCTCCCTCGAGGAGTCCTGGGCGGTGACACGACAGCTACAATCGAGCAAGAATAGACATAGTATCAGGTTACGAATTATCGATTCAGAATCCAAGCAGATTCGCTTTACTCACCCGCACTCGGCCCCGCAACCGGTTCCTCATCGACCGAGTCTAAAGGTTGCCCGGTCATGGCAACGTCCTCGCCCGATATCGGGCGTCCAGTCGGCCTACGAGCTTCCCCGTAGAGCCCTTCCCGACGAGCCGGTTCACCACCTGCGAAGAACCCAACAAATTCAGCGAAACGAAACCGCCTTTCGGAACCGAATCTGCTTACCTTCCAACCCCGATCGGGTCACCGACAGCCCCCTTATATTCGAGGCCAGGTTCTGGTCGACCTCGTCCGTGTCGTCCATATTGCGGAGTTCTTCGAAATCAAAAATCCCTCCGGAAAAGACTTGGTTGACTTCTACACACAAAGCGGAACTGGATCAGTGCACGCAAAGGAACCGAATCGACTCGAATCGCACGAACGAGAAGCCGAGTCTCCTGGATTTACGGTCGAGGCTCGAGAAAGAGTCGAGCGTTCCTCAATCTTGGGAGATACGTCAGGAGACGGCATCGTTGAGTATCTTCGAGAAAGGAAGGGCACAATTCGCTTCAATCGAAACGGATCCGGCTTATACCCCCCACTCGACGCGAGTCGAGGGGCCTTAGCGAAATGGAAAAATCGGTCGCCATCAAATCAAAACAAACGCGTCGTAGACAATCATCAAACAAATTGATGCGATCAATACTTGAAACACAATGGCTCGGGGCGCGCCATTCCGGAGGGGGATATACTGTTACGGGATCATCACGTGAGTCGACTACCGACACACAGGCTCGATCTACGGACATCAGCATATACCTAAGTCCGGCTCGACGAGGCGAATCCGATTCCCTCGGAGCAGATTCGGTCGCCCCTACTATTCGCCTTCACCATTCACCGAAACAACAAACCTTCCCGACACATATCACAAACAGGTACAGGGACCTCGAGGTACACGACAACTCTACTCAGGACCTCGACAACCTTACCCGACGTACCTAGGGACGAATGAGAACTCAAACTCGCCTTCTCTACCGAATCCGGTTGCTCTCGACAGGATTCGGCTGTTCGCCATCTCGTTCTTCCAGTTTCGCCATCTCTCGCCAATCTTTCTCTTGGGTCTTTTCAGTGTTCGCCAGCCTCGTCTACGTACTCGTCTCCGTATAAATAGCTAGAGGAACTTGACCGAATTCGATAGAGGACGCTCTGTAATAGTTAGAGGTCAAGTTCCGATATCACATTCAATACACGCCTATCTGACTTGTTACAACATCTTCAAGACGTGTTGCGGAGAGGTTACAACTCAAGGACGTCGCTAAGTATCTACGCTTCATCGTTTTACCTTAGACCGAATCTGGTACCTCACACCGAGTGATCACCTTCCTTATCCATACATCTCTGGATTCGTATCCCGCACCCGAACCCGCTTCATCTAAGCGAACTTGCGACATTCTCCCGACTACCTGCGATCGACCTTAAGCACCCTACGCCTTACGACTTAGGACCTATCGCCAATTAGCGACATCCGCCGTAACAGATATCCAGGTACTTGTCGTCATCCAATTTCTGGATAGTAGAGATGCCCATGTGTCCCAAACGGCGATGCCAATTGCGCAGCGAGTCTGTGCTTTGCACAGCGACATAGGCGGTCGAGTCATTCAACTGACTAGTGGTGTCAGTCTTCGCCTTGCGACCGTTCGCCAGAGGTAGAATGATAGCTCGCAAGCGACCATTTGCTCCTGCAGGGTAGATTTGAATAGTCGTACCTTGCTTTGACATAGTACCACCTGTCTTGGTGATCGACATGTCCCATCCCCTGTCGATAAGCAGTCCTTGCGACAGCAGATTCGCTGGCGACTCCTTGAGATAATGTACCCCTCCGAAGAGTACATGCGACATCGTCGCCTTGTTAGTCACCAGCTTGACAATTCCCGCTTCGGTCGCCTCGACAGGTCCTCCAGCGGTGTCGAAAGTCTTTGGCATCGACATACGGTCGATCTTCGCAAATGCGCTCTTGTCATTGCAGATATGCTCAGTAGCGCCTAAATCGATAAGGAAAACAATGCTGTTGGAAGTCTTGGCGATACTGGCCATGACTGAGCCTTGAATCTCAAGGTCGGTCGTGTCATTTTGAAGAATCGCCCCAACCAGGTCGCTTTGACCGAGCAAAGCAGCCAAGTCGTGCGCACTTGGTCCATTGTTCGATGGTTTCTCTCGCGACCTGTTATTGAAAGACTTTTTCCACTTCTGGCCATTGTGGTTACCACTTCCTTGAGGTCGCTTTGGTTTGAAAGTATATCCATCCCCCTTCTTCCCAGAGCGACACTCGTTCGATCTGTGACCTGATTTGCCACAGTTCCAGCACGTAGTCGACCGATCGACTTGCTTACGCGTGTTCGTTCGCTTAGCGCTAAACATTAGCGCGGAACCAGCTCTCTCGCGCTCGCGCTTTCTTTCCGCAACTTCTTGGTTGAAAATGATCCGCAGATCCGCAAAAGTCGCGCTTGCTGGCGACGCGGCAACTCCGATAGCTGTCGCGCTTCCAGTTGCCGCTATTGCAACCCGCGACTTCAGCGACTTCCATTCCGTACGAACCGGTCGATAGGTTGGCGGAAGTGCTTGTAAGAAGTAGCTACACTTCTGTTCTTCTGTGAGCGACATCGACGCATTGATTGCCTTGAGGAGAAGAGTATTGAATCTCTCAAGGAAGTCGTCCGGGTCGTCGCTCTCTTGCAACTGTATGTTTGCTAGCTGTCGGCCAATGTCAGCCCGATATTCACCGTCGTCGAGTTGATGCAACTGCTCAAGGGTCATCCACAGCTTTTTCGCCGTGTCGACACCGCTAATTTCGAGTCGCAAACCGTCAGAGACAGTCAGTCCAATAAGTCCTCTCGCTTTGGAGTCTTTGTTCTTGAAGTCTTTCCATTCCTTGAGATCCTCGATATACAGCGACATCTCCGCGGATGTCGGCGCAATCTTAGTACCTTCTCCATCGACTGTGACGACCGGTCGCTCCGGCTTTTCCGGCGCTTCGTCACTGATGACATGCAGTGCACCAATCGCCAGTAAGGCGTCTTTCACTGCATTCCTCCAGACAAAGTAATTGTCTTGTCCGACCAGAGTCGGCACCTTCGCTCCCGAAAGTGATTCCATGTCGATTTGTGAAGGTCGTTCGCTTGATACGTTCGAGTCGCTGGCGACGTCGACGAACCTGTATATCTAGATCGTCTAGGGCTTGTAACTAGGTCGTAATGGTCACAAACCTGGGCTCATAACCTGTTGAACGAAGAGACTTGATATCAATAAAGTAAGGTAGTACAATGTAACAGCGACCTGTCATAGCGACCTTTATATATAGCGACTAGCGGCGCGGACATAGAGAACACCCTCATGTCCACCTCTCAACACTCCCTCTCGCTATGCACGGGTTGCCGGTGATCCGCGTGATCCATGATCGGCGTGATCCACCTGACGGAAGCTGATCCACCTGGCGGAAGCTGATCCACTTTTCCAAAGGCATCCGTGACCTGGTCGTCGCCGTCGGACGTGATCTTCGCACAAACCAGGAAATCTGGCAAACATCATAACTCCTTCAATATTGGTCCGATCCACCTCGTTTTTGCATCGAATTAAAGCCAAAGAGTAGTACTATCATTCGACCATGCCTCCCTACGCTCCTTCCTATTTCCAAAAAGCGACACTCCCGGGCCCTGTCGCAGCCTTCCCAGCTGTGAACACCCCAGTTCCGACCGAGCGACAGCGCCTGATCGACATAATCACCGAGGCCATTGGCAGCAAGGTCAATCGACACGCGACCAACGCCAGGAAGCTGTACACCGACAGCGATGCGACGATCAGCGAGGCGACCGACACCTGCCAGCGATGCGTCGACAGGGAGGTTCCCTGTATCGTCACGAGCGACCATCACAAGTGCTTCTACTGCATCATGTCTGCTCAGGCCTGTCACCCTGCAAAGCCAGTCCCCATCATCGATCTCGAGATGAGCGACCGCGACACGACTCCAGTTGCCAGCGCCTTCGACAGTATCGACGCGACTCCGGGTGCGAGCGCCTTCGACACCTTCGACTTCGACGCCGATCGCACGGACAGCGACAGCGACACCTACTCCTCCTTCTTTGAGCCTGCTCCCAACCAGCAAACGACCGACTCGGCTCCGGCGACCGCCGCGACTCCAGCGATCGACGCGACTCCGATCGACGCGACCGAGCGACTCCTCCAGCAGATCCTGGAGTCCAACTTGCGACAGGAGGTCTTGCTCCAGCAGCTCCTCAACCGATTGTAATATATAACCATGTCCTTGTATTCCATTGAATTGGAATGCGCAAATACCTTTCAATAATAACTTGTGACCGACAACATGATGTGCGACTGCTAGCGACTCGACTTTGCTCAGTCATTCGAGTCGCAATAGCGCACAGCCATGATCATGCTTGGGACCCCTGAGCGACTTTGTAAGTAGGTCCGCCGCTTGGTCATTGGTACCAACATGATGTAGAATGATGCGACCGTTGTCTATACATTCTCGAATGTAATGGTAGCGAATGTCGATGTGCTTCGTTCGCTTGTGTTGTCCAGGGTTATCGGCAAGTGCCATTGCTCCTTGATTGTCGCAGAACAGCTGCATAGGTAGTTCGACCTTCTTGCCCATCTCTTCAAGCATGCGACACAACCAAATTGCTTCTTTGGTGGCTTCTGTGAGGGCCATATATTCGGCTTCGCACGTCGAAGTAGCGACCGTCGCTTGCCTAGTCGACATCCAGGAGATAACTGAGCCACGGAATTTGAAGCATAGGCCAGTGGTGCTTCGACGTGTCTCAAGGTCGCCACCGTAGTCCGAATCGCAGTATCCGATGATTCTATCCACTGCCTCAGCGACTCGACCTCCCAATACAAGGGTAAAATGCTTGGTGCCCTTGAGATAAGCCAGCGACCGCTTCGCTGCTTTCAAATGATCCTCAGTTGGGTTACTGTTGAATCGACTGAGATACCCTGCAGTAAACATGAGGTCTGGTCGAAGCGACATCGCCGACCACATGATCGAGCCGACAATGGATTGATAGTAGGTCCTTCTGGCCTTGTCAATGAGGTCGTCATCAGTGCACCTTACCATCTTGGTGTCATCAAGAGGTGTAGCGACCGCCTTGCACTTGTCCATCCCGAATCGCTCCAAGACCTTGTCGTTATAAGCCTCTTGGCTAAGTCGTAAGGTCCTTGATGGTCGATGTCGCTCGATCTTGAGTCCCAATATATAGGCAGCCTCGCCCATATCAGTCCATTTCCACTTGGACTTGAGTTCCTGCTTGATCTGTTCAACGGTTGCGACGTCCTTGGCAGCGATTAGTGTGTCATCAACATACAGAAGCAGAAAGGCCTTGTCGCTTTTCCGACAGTAGAGACCCCAATCGGCATGGAGTCGTTCAAAGCTGAGCGACCCTAAGAAGTCGGACAACAGCTGCCACCATTCTCGTGGCGACTGTTTGAGTCCGTAGAGTGCGCGCACAAGTCGTAATCCTGTGGACTTCTTGTCGGCTGGTTTGTACCCGTCTGGGAACTTCATGTATATGAGCTCTTTCAAAACAGCATTGAGGAAAGCTGTGTCGGCATCGACTTGATGAAGTTCAAGGTCTTCTGTCGCTACGATGGTTAATAGGACTCGCAGCGAAGTCAGCCGAGCGACAGGACTGAAAGTGTCGTCATAGTCGACACCTTCGACCTGTGTGAATCCTTGCGCGACAATCCTCGACCTGAATTTGGTGATCTCTCCAGCAGAGTTTATCTTTGTCTTGAACACCCATTTTGAGCCGACGACATTGGCTCCCTCTGGAATGATAACTTCCTCCCAGGTACCGGTGCTGGCGACCGCCCCAAGTTCCTTGTCGATCGCTTCCTGCCAGTATGTCGCATTCATACTGTCCATTGCTTGTCGATATGTCAATGGGTCGGATTCAACTTCGACACGTGCCATGTGCATCAAGACATTGATGTCGGGATTCCCTGATTCGACAAACCTTGGCGACCGTCTAGGTGGTCCAGGGGCTGGCTGCGACACTGGTGTCGGCCGCAATGTCTGAGCTCCCTCTGAAGCTGCGACCTGATCCGGGTTGACAGTCGTAGCTACGCTTTGTGGGAGTTGATCTGCAGCAGTCTGCACCTGTCGCTCTTCTCGAACAGGTGGCTGATGCTGTGTTTCTTCGGCTTCGACTCTAGGTGTGTCATCACTGTCGCCCGATCCTGTCGTCACCAGAGGTATAGTCACCTGCTGACTTGCTGGTCTGGTCGATGGAGTTTCCTGTGGTCCATCAGTATCAGTAATCTCCGAACGCTTGAACACGACATCGCGACTCCGGAAAATGCGTCGTTCCGGCGATTCGACCAAGACTTGATATCCAGAGCTTGGTCCATTGAATCCTAGGAAGCGGCCAGCGAGCGCTTTTGGTGTCGTCAGATCTGACTTGTTCCGCGATTCTGGCGGAACTCTAATCCAGCAGTGCGACCCGAAAGGTTGGAGTCGCCCAATGACTGGTTTGTAGATGGATACTAAAGTCTCGAGTGAGACACCATCCATTCGCTTCGACATGTTCAAGATTGCAATCGAGTAGCTAAGTGCGTAATCCCAGAACGACATGTCGAGTCCGCTGTCAATCAGCATCGACCCGACCATTTCCTTGATCGTTCGATTCCAACGCTCAGCGACACCATTAAGCTGCGGAGTGTAAGGTGTCGTCACTTGATGTATGATTCCTTGTTTCTTGAGGTAGTCAGCGACAAGCCCAAGATACTCTGTGCCTCCGTCAGTCCTGACGACTCGTATAGACTTCTTGAAAGCCTTCTCCAGGATAGGAAAGTTGATCTTCATTGCTTCGACGACATTGTACGACATCTTTGAAGGCATCGCGACGGCGACTGCATACTTGGTCTTGTCATCAATCAATGTCATGTAGTAGATGTTACCCTTTGTCGATGGTTTCAATGGTCCTGCAAGATCACTGTGAAGGATTTCCAAAGGTTCGCTTGCTTGAACAGGTGCGTCGCCAAAGGGAAGCCGCGCTGTTTTGGCCTTGGCGCACACGTCGCAGTCCACCATCTTGAAGTCGCTCTCCTTCTTGTCAGTGATATTGTTACGGGATCATCACGTGAGTCGACTACCGGCACACAGGCTCGATCTACGGACATCAGCATATACCTAAGTCCGGCTCGACGAGGCGAATCCGATTCCCTCGGAGCAGATTCGGTCGCCCCTACTATTCGCCTTCACCATTCACCGAAACAACAAACCTTCCCGACACATATCACAAACAGGTACAGGGACCTCGAGGTACACGACAACTCTACTCAGGACCTCGACAACCTTACCCGACGTACCTAGGGACGAATGAGAACTCAAACTCGCCTTCTCTACCGAATCCGGTTGCTCTCGACAGGATTCGGCTGTTCGCCATCTCGTTCTTCCAGTTTCGCCATCTCTCGCCAATCTTTCTCTTGGGTCTTTTCAGTGTTCGCCAGCCTCGTCTACGTACTCGTCTCCGTATAAATAGCTAGAGGAACTTGACCGAATTCGATAGAGGACGCTCTGTAATAGTTAGAGGTCAAGTTCCGATATCACATTCAATACACGCCTATCTGACTTGTTACAACATCTTCAAGACGTGTTGCGGAGAGGTTACAACTCAAGGACGTCGCTAAGTATCTACGCTTCATCGTTTTACCTTAGACCGAATCTGGTACCTCACACCGAGTGATCACCTTCCTTATCCATACATCTCTGGATTCGTATCCCGCACCCGAACCCGCTTCATCTAAGCGAACTTGCGACATTCTCCCGACTACCTGCGATCGACCTTAAGCACCCTACGCCTTACGACTTAGGACCTATCGCCAATTAGCGACATCCGCCGTAACAGATATCCAGGTACTTGTCGTCATCCAATTTCTGGATAGTAGAGATGCCCATGTGTCCCAAACGGCGATGCCAATTGCGCAGCGAGTCTGTGCTTTGCACAGCGACATAGGCGGTCGAGTCATTCAACTGACTAGTGGTGTCAGTCTTCGCCTTGCGACCGTTCGCCAGAGGTAGAATGATAGCTCGCAAGCGACCATTTGCTCCTGCAGGGTAGATTTGAATAGTCGTACCTTGCTTTGACATAGTACCACCTGTCTTGGTGATCGACATGTCCCATCCCCTGTCGATAAGCAGTCCTTGCGACAGCAGATTCGCTGGCGACTCCTTGAGATAATGTACCCCTCCGAAGAGTACATGCGACATCGTCGCCTTGTTAGTCACCAGCTTGACAATTCCCGCTTCGGTCGCCTCGACAGGTCCTCCAGCGGTGTCGAAAGTCTTTGGCATCGACATACGGTCGATCTTCGCAAATGCGCTCTTGTCATTGCAGATATGCTCAGTAGCGCCTAAATCGATAAGGAAAACAATGCTGTTGGAAGTCTTGGCGATACTGGCCATGACTGAGCCTTGAATCTCAAGGTCGGTCGTGTCATTTTGAAGAATCGCCCCAACCAGGTCGCTTTGACCGAGCAAAGCAGCCAAGTCGTGCGCACTTGGTCCATTGTTCGATGGTTTCTCTCGCGACCTGTTATTGAAAGACTTTTTCCACTTCTGGCCATTGTGGTTACCACTTCCTTGAGGTCGCTTTGGTTTGAAAGTATATCCATCCCCCTTCTTCCCAGAGCGACACTCGTTCGATCTGTGACCTGATTTGCCACAGTTCCAGCACGTAGTCGACCGATCGACTTGCTTACGCGTGTTCGTTCGCTTAGCGCTAAACATTAGCGCGGAACCAGCTCTCTCGCGCTCGCGCTTTCTTTCCGCAACTTCTTGGTTGAAAATGATCCGCAGATCCGCAAAAGTCGCGCTTGCTGGCGACGCGGCAACTCCGATAGCTGTCGCGCTTCCAGTTGCCGCTATTGCAACCCGCGACTTCAGCGACTTCCATTCCGTACGAACCGGTCGATAGGTTGGCGGAAGTGCTTGTAAGAAGTAGCTACACTTCTGTTCTTCTGTGAGCGACATCGACGCATTGATTGCCTTGAGGAGAAGAGTATTGAATCTCTCAAGGAAGTCGTCCGGGTCGTCGCTCTCTTGCAACTGTATGTTTGCTAGCTGTCGGCCAATGTCAGCCCGATATTCACCGTCGTCGAGTTGATGCAACTGCTCAAGGGTCATCCACAGCTTTTTCGCCGTGTCGACACCGCTAATTTCGAGTCGCAAACCGTCAGAGACAGTCAGTCCAATAAGTCCTCTCGCTTTGGAGTCTTTGTTCTTGAAGTCTTTCCATTCCTTGAGATCCTCGATATACAGCGACATCTCCGCGGATGTCGGCGCAATCTTAGTACCTTCTCCATCGACTGTGACGACCGGTCGCTCCGGCTTTTCCGGCGCTTCGTCACTGATGACATGCAGTGCACCAATCGCCAGTAAGGCGTCTTTCACTGCATTCCTCCAGACAAAGTAATTGTCTTGTCCGACCAGAGTCGGCACCTTCGCTCCCGAAAGTGATTCCATGTCGATTTGTGAAGGTCGTTCGCTTGATACGTTCGAGTCGCTGGCGACGTCGACGAACCTGTATATCTAGATCGTCTAGGGCTTGTAACTAGGTCGTAATGGTCACAAACCTGGGCTCATAACCTGTTGAACGAAGAGACTTGATATCAATAAAGTAAGGTAGTACAATGTAACAGCGACCTGTCATAGCGACCTTTATATATAGCGACTAGCGGCGCGGACATAGAGAACACCCTCATGTCCACCTCTCAACAGTTTCACCCTTCGATGCCGGTTCTTCCCGAGCGATCGTCGGCCACCGAGATCGAGCAACCCCAGCTTGACAGTCTTTCAAGTTTTTATCGCACGATATGGTGTATCACGACGAGCTAATCGATCGGAACGGATAACAGTAAGACACCTTCGGCCAGCCTTCGAAACCCTTCCTAGAGGTCGGATCGCGTTCGACGGGAAGCTCATCCTTCCAGACCGGTCCATCGAGGGTAGCTAAGCGAACATTTCCCGCTGATGAGCGACGGATCTGGCCATGAACATGCCACAGTTGATCTCTACGATCTCTGCTGCACAACGGAATACGACCGTCCCAAGCAGGTTTACGAACCACATTCCGGTTGAGATCGTACGGATCGTGCAGAGTGTTTAGCTTTTCGGGTCATTCGGAGGTGATGTCACACAGAAGTTGTAGTAGAGTCACGTGATCAACCACAATGTCTAGCGAGATCGAGTCGATCCGCCTCCCTGCTTCTGAGCGAATGAGGTAGAGTCGATATCATGACAAGGTCCTACTCTTTTTGATCAGTCCCGTATCGCACTTCTATAGACCTCATATTCTCAGCTAGCAAAGGAGGAAACCAAAAGCAACAATGCCTGCGACCGCCATGTCAGCCGTAGCGAGGATCGGACGATCGACCAACCACCTCCGACAAGCTCAGCGCGGGTTGGCCACTCTGCACAAGAGCAGCAAGTATGAGACGGGCAGTGACAAGGCGTGAGTGTGCACGATGAATCCTAAACAGAGGATATTACAGCTGATGATGACGACGTCACTTGGCTCGATCCGATAGTCCTACTGGTAAGCTATCATCTACTGGAGGAACTCTCGATTGACCGTTCTATAGGCTAAGACTTGCCCGATCTTGTTAATAGCCGTTGTCATGATGAACATGGGAGGACCTGCCACCGTGAGCGATCCGAGTCAAAATACACCAGAAGATAGACAAGCTCATCTATTCTTCATCGCTCCGACGATAGATCCCCGAAGTCCACAGCTTCCTCTCCCGGCTCTTTCACGACCACGACCTCATCCCCCTCCCCTTCCAATCATACCTTGCCCCCACCATCGCCCGCCGAAGGACACCCAAGATCGAGGCCCAGTACACGGCCATCGGAGGCGGTTCCCCCATCCTCCGATGGACCCGAACTCAGGGAGCCGAGATGTGTAAACTCTTGGACGAGCTCAACCCAGAGTCGGCCCCTCATAAGCCGTACGTCATGTTCCGTTATGCGGAACCTCTGACGGAGACTTGTCTCGAGGAGATGAGGCGGGACGGGGTGAAGCGTGCTATCGCGTTCAGTCAATATCCTCAGTATTCTTGTTCGACGACGGGGAGCAGCTTGAACGAGTTGATGCGGGTCGCTACGATCAAGGGGAAGACCCCGAAAGAGGGTGACAGCGAGGACAAGTTGATCAAGGGAGGTCTTGGGTGGGGTGGGAATGGAGAGGTCGAGTGGAGCGTCTTGGATCGATGGCCGACTCATCCGGGGTTGGTCGAGGCGGTCGCTACGAACGTGAAGACCGCGTTGGAACAGTTCCCGGTGGAAGAGAGGAAGGATGCTGTCATCCTCTTTTCGGCGCATTCGTTGCCGCTCTCGGTTGTCAAGTGGGTATCCGAGCGGGTCTTAGCCATGGAAGGGAGATCGATTAGCTAATTACGTACCTCCTACCTTGTCGCTTTTCCCTTCTAGCCGAGGCGACCCTTACATCTCTGAAGTCGCCGCGACCGTGCACGCCGTCATGACCCAGCTCGGATTCACGAACCCTTACCGTCTGACGTGGCAGTCCCAAGTCGGACCTTCCGCTTGGCAAGGTCCCCAGACTTCGGATTCGATCAAGGGACTGGCCAAGCTGGGCAAGAAGAACGTCCTGTTGGTCCCGATCGCTTTTACTAGTGATCATATCGAGACGCTTTATGAGCTGGACATCGAGGTCAAGGAGGAGGCCGACGAGGTGAGTTCAGGTCCCGCGAGCTTGATTCGAGCGATAACCTGCCAGACTGACATGCCGCTATGGCTGTCAACGCTACAGCTCGGAATCAACCTAAAACGTGCGGAATCCCTGAACGACTCTCCCATCTTCATCCGTGCCCTCGCGGACATGGTCTCGAACCATCTGAAGGAACAGGCCGAGGGCAAGGTCGGACCGACGAGCATACAGATGGGGTTGAGGTGTCCTGGCTGCACGAACCCTCGGTGTGGACAGGCGAAAGAGTTTTTCAGCAAGGGTGGGAATGCGCAGGCGATGGTCCAGCAGTGAAGCGGGAATGATGAGCGAGGTGTAAGATGATAGAATGTCACGATATGATCAACTGTAGCGATCGGATGGAATTCTCGATTGGCCGATCCGAGGTCCGAGCATTTCGATCGTTGCAAGACTCTCGTAGCTTCAGAACCTGTATACGAGTCGACCGAGGCCGCAAGCATTCGTGGTATTCAAGCATTGTCTATCCTACTACAGAACTTCCTCTGCTCGAGCGACGTCCTGAACATCGCGATCCTGGATCACCTGAAGGCGAGTTGCTTCGCTTTTGCGGTGATCTTCCTCTTCTTTGGCTACAGCTTCTTGTATTTCGGGGTCCAGTGCTATGAATGCATACGAGGGTTCGCGTGCGAAAGGAAATTGTAAATCAATCTAAGCTCAGATTCTCTACATTCCGTATGTATCCAGGCTAGGCTACTGACCAGAGTGTCCGATACTGAAACAGAACAACTCGAAGGCCACAGTCGCCAGCAGCCAGAGTCGGTGTGCTCCTCGATCGGGTCCCGTCCAGACGCTACCCCATCTACATGACTTGTACACGTGGAACGCGGTCATGCTCAGGAAGACCCCCTTGATCATCCGGAAATGAAGGCGCAAAGTCTGACTTGTGGACATATTGCCCCGGATCTTGGCGATCATCTTGGTGAATACCCAGGCCTCTGAGTGGAGGACGGCTTGAACTGGGGCGAGTGCGAGTGTCGAGCCGTACGGTTCGGCAGGGTGGGCGCCGGTGATGTAACTGACCAACATTTGACCGAAGGCCCAGCCCATAAGGCAAGCTTGAGTCCAATTCATCCAAGGTTATTTGTATGGTTTGCGTATGTTTTCCGCCGGGAGCCAGCATAAACGAAAGGTACAATCGGATCTAGAATACGTACCCTGCAGTCATCAAGTAGAGTGTGATCAGAGATCAGAGCGTTTGTTGACTTTTTCGCGAGGGAATGATCGGAGTATTTTCATTTTATGGATGGCTGATGAGAAGTCGCCGATCAGCAACGCTATCGCGAAGCGATGGCTTCGTATGGTCGGACTGGACAACCCTCTTGGGATAGGCGAGTAGAGAATAGTAGATGAAACGATCCAGGCCAGATGTCCAGCGTTCTGTTGGAACGGCCAGCGCTGCCCGCGGGTCGGGCGCGCTGACAACGCTCGATCAGATGAGACTGATGATATGGTAAGGCGGTGAGACGTCAATGCCGCTGATAGCATCTCAGATTGACGTAAGGGAATTGTATAGCAGGAACAAACAACGCCTCGCTCACGGGCTTCCTTCAGCGACCAGAGAGTATCCTCCCCGGTGATCTCCCAAACTTCGACCGAGCGGTCGGAGTCGAAACTGCCGAAAGCCATCTACAACTCGTCGTTTGGAGGTCGCCGGTCCAAGTATCGCCGGCCGAACGATGATGAAACCGGCATCGCACCTAACTATGGCATCTCCCCGACAGCGACTGAACGGGCAGGAGGTTCAGTACTAGACTGCTTAGATAACTGATTCGTGACCTGACAAGATCCCTTCTTCGATCTCGTCAGTCTGTGTCGAGGGCGATTTCTTACCAATCCCAGCGACCTAGCTGCAAAGCTGAAGCTGACAGATATGACTGTCAATCCAGGCGGGACCCGAAATCGTAAGAAGAACTCGGTTGCACGACGTCCCAAGATCGTCTTGGTCACATGTCTTGGCCACCCTCCGGCGGCAAGCCTCGAACGTCCCAAGTTCAGGCCGGGAATAGATCGCTCCAGAACCGCAAGGTACACAGCAACTGCCGCACATCTGATCCCGTATGTGACGCGTTGCTCCTTGCATCTCCCAGTCGAAACACGTTTCTGCGTGCAAGCGCCAACACACGGTACGGAATCGGAGCGGGACTTGTTTCCATTTTCACCTTCCCAGCCGCTGTCGTCTAGCAAGCGATCCGTCAGGAGACCCGGTCAGCTGAGAAGCTGAGAAGCTGGGGCTGATGACGTTCGTGTCGGGGTAGCCCGCCCCTCGCAATTTCTGGCTTCTAGCCTGCAAAGGTTCGGCTTGGCCCCGACATCGTCCTCGATTCGGATTGGGGGGATGACCCGCAGGCCCCCGAAAATTCGGTACGAGCTCGTGTGCCCCATGGCTGGGCAGACAACATATATAGAGCCCCGAAGGAAAAGACAGAGTGGTCCTCCTCATCCCCGCCCGCGATGTCGATACTTCGATTCACAACCGCAGATCATCTGGCCTTGTTCAAGGAAGAGTGCTATCCTTGCCCGACTTTGTGTCTTTCTTCAACAACCTCTTTAAACACTTAGACGACCAAAATGGGCGGTGGAGGAGCTGCTGGTGCCGATGCGGCTTTCGGCATCCCTACCCAGGGACCTTCGGGATTTAGGGGTCTCGTCAGTAACAAAAAGGCGTTGGGTCTCGCGACCTTCGCATCGTTGGGTGGAGTGTTGTACGGATACAACCAAGGAGTGTTCGCACAAGTGCAAGTGATGTATGATTTCCAACGAAGGTAGGTTTCGAGAGTCTTCAACAAGGACGACGACACGACCTCGAGACGAAAATCTAATTTTTCTGCTATCGATGTGGTGTTCGATAGATATCAAGCGGTCTTGGGTGATCCCGATCTCAGTCAAGAAGCTCTCGACGATAGCGTCGACGCCGTCAAGAAGGGTTTACTTACCTCTATCCTTGAATTGGGGTGAGCACATTTCGGCAGACATGGCAGGAATACGCGGAAACTGACCATACGACGCTTTGGTAATGTAGAGCTTTCGTCGGAGCCCTTATCGCTGCGCCGATTGCCGATAAGATCTCTCGTAAACGCTCGATCTCGATGTGGTGTGTAGTGTTCATGCTCGGAACAGCTTTGCAGGTGGGTTGGTCTGCTACGTGGAAGGGGAATAGGACGGAACCTGAACGCATGAGACTGTTGTTGTTTTTGCTAGGTTGGAGCGAACGACAACATCGATTTCATCTGGGCTGGACGATGGATCGGTGGTATGGCCGTCGGAGCACTGTCGATGTTGGTGCCCATGGTATGTTCTGACCGCAATCAAGGTTGGGTTATGCGACGGTGGTGCTCAACGTTATGGGATGCGTACAGTACAACGGAGAGCTCGCGCCTCCCGGTATTCGAGGATCTCTTGTCGCGTTGCAACAGCTGGCCATCACGTTCGGTATCTTGATCAGTTACTGGTAAGGATGTTCTTTCCATCCATCTGCGGACAAACTCGGCTAACGTTGGATTTTCCGTTTCGTCAGGATCTCATACGGCACAAACTTTATCGGAGGAGAGGCAGCCTGGAGGATTCCCTTGGCTCTGCAGCTGATCCCCGCCATCGTCCTCTGCGGTGGAGCCTTCTTCCTCCCGTACTCGCCTCGATGGTTGATGTTGCGTGGAAGGGAGGAGGAATGTTTGATGACCTTGGCGAACTTGCGAGATGCCGAACCCGAATCGCTTCTCATTCAATCGGAATACATGGCGCTGCAGGCCGAGCAGTTGGTCCAGGAGGACGAGAAGCACGAGCGATACGGGCCTGGAAAGAGCGAGTTCTACTATGCGATCCGGGATTACAAGCGACTCTTGACTACCAAGACTTTGCGTGAGTCGTCTAGCCCCGTGCGAGAGTGCCTGGTCGATCGAGAGGCTGACCGCTTGTGGTGTTTCACAGTCCACCGATTGTTTTTGGGAGCTTCCGCGCAGGCTCTCCAGCAGTGGTCAGGTATCAATGCGGTCATCTAGTGAGTATCTCTTCGCACGAGTCTCCGCGGGTTCTCGGCAGCTGACGGGCTGTACCTTGCCATAGTTACGCGCCTACCATCTTCAGGTCCATCGGTTTGCCTGAGAGTATGACCGGAATTCTCGCCACCGGTATCGTCGGAGTCGTCAACTTTGTCTTCACCATCCCTGCTGTGCTCTTCGTCGACAACTGGGGTCGAAAGCCCACACTGCTTCTGGGTTCCCTTTCGCTCGCCATCTGTCTCGCCATCATCTCCGCGATCGTCGCTCAGTTCGGTGACAATTGGACTGCCAACCAGACCGCTGGAAACGCCGCCGTCGCCTTCCTCTACATCTACATCGCCATCTTTGCCGTCACGTGGGGTCCCCTGGCTTGGGTCGTCTCGACTGAAGTCTTCCCCCTGTCTCTTCGTGCCAAGGGTATGGGCTTCTCTTCCGCCGTCAACTGGCTCATGAACTTCGTCGTCGCGACCATCACTCCTATCGCCTTGCAAAACATCGGATACGGCACCTACTTGCTCTTCATGGCGTTCATGATCCTCGGAGTGTTATGGGCGTTCTTCTTGCTGCCCGAGCTCAAGAACAGGACTTTGGAAGAGGTAAGTCGCGCGTTCACGGATGAGTGTCTTTGCCTTGTCTTTGTCTGACTCCCTTCTTTTGCATGTTCCTTTGCAGATCGACGCATTCTTCCGAGACCAGTCCGGTGCCGAGGATGCCGCTCGTCGTCAAAGGATCGCTAAACAGATCGGATTGGACAAGCTCCCTGTCCAGGAGGTCAAGCACCAGGAAGATGTTTCGCACGCTGCTTAGAGACAGATCTTCTCTTAAATCTTGTATACATGAAACGCCGCGTCAGCCCTGTGGCGGATATCCGCTCATTAATTCGAATAGCTCAAGCGGTCCGATCTTGCGATCGGTGACGTCCACGTAGACGGTGTCCAAGGAGTACCTGCTGTTTTCTCTAAGCCGATGGTTCTTGTTAGATATTGCAAATACTCGAAAGGCAGAAGGTTCCGAAACGTGTTCTTATCCTGGAGATGGTAAACAGTTGGATGTCCGTTGTCTCACGATTGCGCTTGGCACCCGTACGAACCTACAGTATTTCAAGTGAAACACCATTTCGAAACAGAACTCTAAATCGATCAAGCCGTGCCGAGCGCTCCGTCTCTCGCCTGCCATGCTTCCTGCGATACCCGAACTCCGCGCGCGGACGATTCTGCTGCGAAGACCGTTTTGAGGGGACCATCAGAAAATCCTCGCAGTCGGAACGTTCCTTTGAGCCCTTTGTCATCAAAAGAAATTGATCGGTTGGACGGTTTGATGGTGGATCGGCGACTGCGGGCAGTTTTTCCAGGAGACATATATATACTTCACGGGTCAGGAATCGAGATAGGATTCCTTTCTCGGTGATTGATTGGAGCGAATACTCTTATACCGCCTCTATCTTGGTGTTCTTACTCATTACTCATTGGATCGAAATCCTGAAACCAGATCTCAATCACGATCACCAAACGGTAGCAAACCACAACAAGACACGATGGACCAGCAAAATCAGTATTATCCACAAGTAAGCCGGCGTACCACGTCAACGTCGAACGCCGATCTAGCTGAACGAGCCGATTGGCATTCTGAGCGATCAGAATCAGGGAGGCTATCCTCCTCCAGGCGGACCATACGGCCAAGGCGCACCTCAGTATCCTCAAGGGTAAGTATTCGTTTGAAAGGGCTCCAGATTATATCGTACGAAGCGATGGGAGCCGATATTTTCGGTATCGCGGACCGGATGGGAATAGGGTCTACAACGGGCAAGCACCTTACGGCGGACCTCCCCAATCCAGTAAGCATCCGTCCCATTTCCTCCCCCTTTTCAGGACCGAGAAACCCGGTCCCGATTGAACATTCCTAACTTTGACTTTGTCTTGGATTGGATCTCGTAGTGGGTTATCCCGCCCCCGGCCCACAAGAGGTAGTGGTCAAAAAGGATGAATCGGGGATGGGATGTTGCGGGACCTGTATGGCCTGTTGTGCGGGAATGTGCGCTTGTTGCGCATTGGACGCGATCTTCTGAGCTTCAGGTCAAGGTCGATCAGGGTCTGAAGAAGATATCGAGAGGGCGATGTTGGGAAAGAGGTAGAGATGGCGATGTTGAGGGGAAGAGAGGAAGATCGGCTGTATGTACGGCCAAGCGCGTCCGGGCCGGAATATGCTGCATATGCGAAGCGTCTATCGGTACATTGGCCCTCGCCGTCCGAAGGTCGAACTAGCGTTATTGGTGAACATTTGTCTGTGCATGCCGGCGAACGGCGGAAGAGGCCGTTCGGGTTCCAGGAGCATAAGAACGGGAGACCAGATATGCGATACAGAAAAGTCGAAAAAGCCCGTGATGTCGAGCTACCGGTGCTTCTTTGGATCAACTGATACGATGTTATCGGAAATGGGACAGAATGAGTCCCATTGTTGGGATCAGTGAACGTATCCTAAGCGTTTCGACGGCACGGATAACGTCGCAGAAAGATCCCTTTGTGATCATTCAATGCGCACCAGATATCGACAGTCACCGAGCTGGTACTGATCGTTCCCTCTGGTGGAATAGGAAAGTGCCAGTGGCCCGAAAGAAAGGTACCCGACCCCTTACTCTGGTCTTCAGACTCTTCCACCCCGTCGTCACGTTTCACTGTGGCGAGGTGTCATCGTCTGCGTGGTCGAGCCGTCGCGAGGTGGTGGGCAAGCAAAGCAGGGCCAGGAGCGTATAGGTCTTTTGGTCTTCACACTTGAGAGAGCGAATAATTCACGCCAGTCGCTTGAGGGCAGCCTGGACCATAATCGCGACCTCATGCCTTCGTTGGAGCACATAAAACATCCATCTCCCTCAAGAGCCCGGCCTTGCGTCAATGACCGGGTTGTTTACTTTGTCGGGTCGGTCCCAATCGCGCGGAACCGAGGACCTCGCTTAAACTACTATTTCGACCTCTTGGAATGCCCCTCACTCGAAAATGGTCGGACGAAACTCGGTCCAAGACGGGGAGGTGCGTAAAAATCGGTCCTAAATCGTCACGAGGCCGAAATTTTGATTTAGGTCCTCGTTCGTCTGTATATCGACCAAACGTACGAAATCACACGCCCTTTTTGCGGCGCTAAAAAATTCATTTAGGTGAAAAACGCATATTCGCGGGTGAATTTATGCGTTTTCGGCTCGGAATAACAAGAAATATGATGAAACGTCGGATAAGCGATCATTTCGAGCTCGGCGACAGTCGGCCACGATGTGCCATTCCGGTGGATCCTCTGCTCATCCTGCCTCGATGGCTTCCGACTCGTAGAAGTCCATCTTTCAGGCTTTCACCCGGATTCACCCTGGGGTGGGTCAGTCGCCGGGTTCCTCTGTCTTTCCTGCCTCGAAGCCACATTCCCAAGCGCACCGACGATGGATGAACGATGGATCATCAGGTGATTCGTCGTTGTTGTCGTCCTGTGTTTGTTGTTGCTTGGCCTCGTCGTCTCTCTCCCTCTCCTGCCTCTCGCCTGCCCTTTCCCTTCCCCCCTCCCCTTCCCCCAGCGTTTGCCTCGTCGACACGTCGCTCCACCCCCCTCGCCCCCCTTGCTGGACGTGTATAAAGTCTGGACCGTTTCGAACTCGACTCGTTGCCCTTTCGCTTCTCTTCTCTTCTTCTTCTTCATCATCATCATACCCACACTCGCTTCACCCACACTCTCTTGCATACCCATACCACCTCCACCACCACCACCACCACCAATACCACTCCCGCCCCGTCTCAATAACCTCGCAGTGAGTACACTCAGTGTTTGTGATGGTCGTGGTCGTGTCCCCCTTTCGCTTTCCCTCTTCTCCTTCTCGTCTCGTCTCCTCTACTCTCGTCATCTCCACTCTCGCACTCGCATCACCTTTACTCTCGCACTCGCACCACCTCGACTCGCAACACCTCGACTCGCACCACCTCTACTCGCACCACCTCTACTCGCATACTCCGCTACTCGCATACTCCGTTACTCGCATACTCCGCTACTCGCATACTCCGTTACTCGCATACTCCGCTACTCGCATACTCCGTTACTCGCATACTCCGCTACTCGCATACTCCGTTACTCGCATACTCCGCTACTCGCATACTCCTCTACTCTCGTATACCGCCCCGCTCCGTACCTGCTCCGTACCCATTCCATACCGAACACAACCTTTACTCCGCACACATTTCCAAAACCCGACCGTCCCCCTTCCTTACCGTACTCCATTCCATACCGTATTCCTCGCAATGTGCCCACTCCGTTACCCCGCTATCTCTCTTTATACCCCTTCACCGATCGTCGTCGCCATAGAAGTTTCCGTCTCGTGTGTTTGGAAGAACCTCACCGCTGATCACCAAACGTTTGTATTCACTCGCATGTCCACCTCGCTCGCTACCCCTTATCCCCGCCACCGACGATCCCGCCTCGTATTCACCTCGACCCGACATCGCCACGCACCGACGACCCGCCTTCCGGCCCGACTTCGATATCCACCGACGATCCGCCTCGTGTTCATCTCTGGCCCGACATCGCTCGCATACCGCCGGTTCCGGTCCCTCCACCGTTGATCGCCCGCCGATCAGGGATGCCGTCGCGAATCATCACCTCCCGACTCCGCCAGCCCCACCCCTACTCGAAGCCCTCCCAAGCCCTCCTTTGCATGCGGCTCAAGGCGAGGGCGATCAGGGGCGAGGGTGGCTACACCGGTGGGTCCACCCTGTGGGTCTGGCCCGCGGCTGTTCCGGAGGACGTGGAGATGACGGATGTCTCGGGCATCTTCGAGATGTCCGAAGTCGACCAGCTCGAGGCGAACGAGGGCTGGACGATCAGGGACGACGACGACGAGGAAGAGGAGATGGAGGAGGAGGCGTGAGTACCTGATCATCGGCGTTGTCAGGACCGGTTCGTCGCTGATCTTCTCTTTGTTCTATTTCGCCGACTTCCGCCATCGACGATCCATCTCTACCCCTATCCCGGTTCCGACGATCCATCTCTACCCCTATCCCGGTTCCGACGATCCTTATCGCAATTCGATCCACCAGCGACACGGATGTCGTCATGGACGACTACGCGGAGGCGACCCGAAAGTGGACGTTCGGGACGAGCTTCGGGTGGAGACTGGCCATCAGACACCACGTAAGTCGATCGTCGTGATCATCGTCCGAGCCGTAGTCATCCCCGCTGATCCGCTCTTTGCGTTCTTTGCAGTGATGAGCCATGTGAAGGGCCGGGATTGGGCCTACGTAATAGATTTGGCGCTCGTTAGGTAAGTTTGCCGGATCATCGTCGGCGGGTTCGGGCTCAAATTCGGGATCGTCGCCCTGACTTGTCTTGTGTTGTTGTCGAACAGGGAGCGACCACGTAAAGGCATGCCGGTAGCGTCGTGAGCCTTGCTCCTTCCTACCGCCGTCGACGTCAGGCTGCTTGCAGCGTTCCCGACGGTACCAAGGCAGCCTATTATAAGAGGACGGGGTGGTAATCGGGTCTTCAACCGTGAATGTCATGCTTCCGAGCTTTCTTCACGGTCCCGATAGGCCACAAGGAGAAGATGGGAAGGGATAGGGATAGCGAGCAGGGGTAAGCGTTCGGTCCTCCTAAAAACAGTTGACGTCAAGGTCCATGTACCGGATTCGACGGTTGCCGATCGCCCCCCTGCTCGGGGTCGGATTTCTTCTTGGTTTCCGTTCTTGGTTTTCTGGTGGTGGTTTCCGGTCTTGCGGTCTCGCCTTATAATTTGTAACTTTTGGTTCTTGAATATACCCAAAAATCATTAAAACCCTCAAAAGCCGCTTCGCGATCTTGACTTCATCGTTCAGGTTTAAATTGTCAAGACGCAAGATCCAGTAAAACTCTTCATAGCCGTTACGCCTCTCCGAAATGCCTGTGTTATAAGATTGATATTCGTGCGAGACATTATTATCATGACTGACATTGCCGCAGTGCGAGTAGACGCAACAGATAGGGGACGAAACCCCTGTGCCGTAGACAAGACAAGATGTTCTCGAGGTCAGAGTCCTCCGGCCTCCGACGTCCCAGTTGTCCATTTCAATCTAATCAGCGCGATAGCATGCAATCCGCTTTTAGCGCTTCTCACGCGTCTTCGCATAGGCGAACCGGGTTTGAGTAGAGCCGTACAACGAACAGACGGGGAATGTGTTCACGGCTAGGGTGGATATCGAGTCGAAATGCTCAGTCAGACCGAGCCGGTTCAGGATGACGCGCATGCTGCTTCGGATGTCGGAAAGATGGCCGGGAAGGACACCGAAACCGATCTCAGCTGTCTCCTTCCATCGAACAAGCGCAAGAGCAATCGCGCTCTCGTTGCTTTCGACGGGACGTAGAAGTCTCGTGTGATGATCAAGTCAGGTTGAACACTGGCCGGCATGATGCGCTCACAAATGCCGACGCTCGCTCCCTCGGACCATTCGCGCCCGTTCGCAGGGCATAGATGGTAGGTGATGAATCGTTCTCAAGCACCCTGCGCTTCGACGCTCATCTGCGTGTCTGTGTTGAAGCATCGCGAATTTCGTCAGGGTATAAATGATATGGAATTTTGATACACAACACGAGATCCTTCTTCGGATCTCGATCATATCATGATCTCTCAAATCCATCTCCCGCCTCGATCGTCTTTCGATTCAGGCATTCGAGGCGTAGGCGCTATGGCTATACGAACCTTCCCCGGATGGAGGATTCCCCATTCATAGGCCCTGCTATCCCCTTGCCGTGTTTATCCAACAAGCCCGTCCTCTCAATCGCATCGACGTCGACATCTCCAGTCCCGGTTATAGGATTGTTCTTGTTATTGTTGTTGCTGATGGTGCTCTCGGCGGTAGTCCCGATCGTCCGTACCGACCCGGATTTGCGAACCGGGTCTTCAAAGGGAAGGCTCATCATCGAACGTTCAGAATCCGAGAGGTTGAACAGGGACGAGGTGTATGAGCGGAATTGACGGCGGACCTGCGTACGGTTTGGCGTCGGGGCGGTAGCGAGGTGGGTAGCAGACGGCGTCAAGTGAAGATGGAAGGGAGCGCATGTGGTAATCGAGGTGGTCGATAGATCGAAATTGCAGAAAACGAACGGTCAGCTTTCCCGTTCATCGATGCCACGCAGGTACGATCGTTGCTGGTACGGATAAGCGCAGCGGCCGTTTACCACGATGGTGGTTATAGATATGTGCTCGCCGTCGTTTGCAGTCATGCAGTTACGGATGCGCCGAGCGCCCAGGGTGGGAAATGGCCAAAACAGAAAGCCCGGCCTAAAGGAATTCCGGACTCACCGGTGAAAACACATGCTCCTTGTCCCCGAAATCGGCAAAGAGGACCATATACGTGCATGCCACTGCGGGTGTCGTCGATTCGCAAGGTCGGATATCGGATGTCAGGAATAGAATTCGAGATGGGATGACCGGATGGTAAGATCGACGGCGAAGTGAAGTGACGTGAGGCGCAGCCAATCGAGAGAGCAAAGCAAACGGAGGACGAAAACGGGACAGGGAGCAGAACAGAGAAGAGAAAAGAAAACGAGAAAAGCACAAAGGGAACGTAATAAGATCGTATAAGCAAATCGCATGACAAATGATGATGATATAACAACTACTACACAAGATGACTCAGGGTCCAGACGAGGTATCAAAAAAGTAAAAGAAAGGAGAAGCTAAACCCAAGTTCGGAAGTCGGAACTCACCTCCCCCTACGACCCACCCCCCGACGCTCAACAACCTCATCCCCCGCCCAGGTTTCACGTTCTCATTAGCGACCCTCCTGAAATACTTGTCCGCTTGATCAGCACTCCGCGGGGCTGGTAAACTGGATGAAGGAGGTGGGATCTCGTGGGGTGCTGTTTTGGGACGGCCGGCGAGGAGGTACGGGGTTGGACGAAATAGGGGCATCGTGGGTAAGAGAGGATAAGGAGAAAGAGTCGAGAGAGGGAGAAAAAGGTCTAGAGAGAAAGAGCGCCAGGTTGGATCAGCTCGACGTTCTCTCAAAAAAACGAATATTCGCAGTCCCGAGAAGAGGAAAGACGATCCTCCTCCGACAAAGACAACGACGATGACGACAAGGACGTGCTTGAGACCCCTCAGTGTAACTATGACAAAATGAATTGTGCCATCAGAGCGCCGGTGACGACCGCCAGCCCCTCCTACCACTATGATCCGGGCCCCCTCAGCTCCCCAAAGAGAGAAGAGGTGATCCTTCTCATTATCCCCCGCCCAAGACGGACGAGGAAAGACGTAGCGGGAATTGCCGGGGTCTAGAATTTCGTAAAAATTCCCCAGGCTAGGTGGTTTGAGGTTTTTTTTCATCCACGGGGTCTCGCGATGTCGATGTCTGTCGTCGCTGTCCTCTTCTTTAGGTCGTTGGAGAAGAAACAGGCAGGAGGTACTTACGGATAGAAATAAACCCGGAAGAAGGCCAGGTCGTTGTGAGTGGAGTCCGGAGTGACCGATAGGACTGATCAACAACAGGGAAGAAGATGTGCATCGAGAAGGTCATTGTCGAAATATTTCAACGTAGGCAGAAAAAGGTCTCGCTCGATGGTCTTATCAAAGTATTGGTCGACCGAGGAGCGTTTCGTGAATGACGTGTCAACCAATTATCGATCAACACTACTTGACTGCATATCGTCATCGGTCGATCTCTATCCTAGCTATCCTTGAGAAAGGGTCAAACGACGATTTGGTAACAACCCTCCCATATTCACCCAATCACCTACGTTCGCACTCGCCCAGGTCTCGTCAGACTGGCGAACCAAGATGCAATAACCCATTCCCGCCCTCTTCTTCTCCTCGACCAGCCCCACAACGCTTCCTCCCCCGGTCAACTGATCCGAAGTTGCTATAATGTCCACGCAAGTTCCTCCTGCTGCTGGGGAAGTCGCTAGTAGACAACCCCGGAACCCCAGGAGATCCGAGTATGATCGTCATCAAGCCCAAACTCACGGATTTGGTTCCCGATCAGGGAGAGGAGAAGGAGAACGAGAGCAGACAGGTGGAGCTGCGGACGGAGTTCGAGCTGGGGCCGGGGCTGGGGCTGGAGGTCGGTCGACGGGGAGCGGGAACAGGTCGAGGTCGATAACAGCTCCTCCGGGCGATGGTGATGCTAGAAACTCTGTGAGGAAGGAGAAGGAGAAGACGGCTGCGGACCTGGTCAAGTGAGTTATCAAGTGATCCACTTACGTACTTCGAGCTCAGGGTTGGATGTTTACTGAGATCTGATTCCTGCTTGTCTTTACTCTAACTGTGTTCGACTCTGCGGTACATCCAACGGCGTCTCCTTTGTCATCTTGTCAACTCTTACCTGCCCTGTCTATCATCACCATCAATGTCACCACCACCAACGCAATCTCCCGCTGCCAACAGGGAAGCCAAGACCCAGATCAAACTCTTGGACCAGCTCTTAAAGGTCAAAGAGCCTTGGGATAGGGAGGTGGACGTCGTTAGGAATCGGTCAGTCCCGGTCGAAATTTCCCTTGCTGGGTTTTGTGCTCGAGTTCCGTTTCGGAGGTTGAAGGGGGGATGATGCAGCACCGGTGGTGGAGGCCGGGAAAGGCACTGGGAGCTGAGAGCTGATAATGGCCTTCCTCCTATATATGTATCCCGGAACTCGTACGATCACAATGCCTGATCGATCTCCGCTTCTTCCATTTACCTAACACCCCGCTGGATTTTATCTCCACTTCGACACATACATGACATACTCAATTCCCCGCTACCCTCACGTCTATCGTCTCAACAACAACCACGGCACGACATTCGGAACCCACAGCATCCGAAGCGCCTACAAGACCATCCATTTTTCACATCCCACCTCTTCCCCCGCCCAATCCATCGATCATCTTTGGATCTATACTACCCATGTGATCATCGCTCGGTACAGATCGTTGGTCGCTAGTCTCGATCGTCAATTACAACTCCAACAACAACAGCTTCAGCAGCAGCAACAACAACAACAGGACTCAAACTCGAGAAGACGTACAGAAAGCCATAACGGAGAGAGGACGGGCCCAGTGGAGATAAGAAAGGTCATCACCCGTTTCAAGGGCTTCTTATCCTCTGAACAGGGGTTTTATAGGACCGTCATCTCGGACCTCGTCAGGACTTTCGGGCTCTGTCGGCTGGGCCCCCATTCAACGTCATCAGCGAGGGAGTCTGGTATGGCACGCGGTGGCGGTGGTGATACGAGCGAGTGGGTTGGCGGGCATGGAGCAGGGGGAGAAGGGCAACAGATGAACCGGACCGAAGGGGTCGAGATCGACGTCAGGGCTTATCTCGAGGTCGTCGGGATCGTCATCCCCGTTGACGAGGTCGAAGCGGATCCAAACGGCGCTCGAGGTCCGGCGGTGGGTCCGAAGACGATCACTTTGAGCCACGACGAAGCTCTCAAGAAAGTAGGGCTCGTACATAAAGCCCTGGTCTGTCTAGGAGACTTGGAGCGGTACAAGGAGCAATACGGGGTTGAGCGGGATAGACAGTTTGGGCAGAGCGGGAGACAGGGGCAGGGGCAGGCTCAGGGGCAAGGGAGGGGGAGGGGAAAGGTCGGAGGCAAGGGAGCGGCGGCGGGTGCACCGGAGTCGCAAGCGGATGAGTTAGGGGAGAGTTATGTCAAGGCCAAGAGTTATTATGAAGTCGCTAGGGGTCTGTTGCCCGATAACGGTTAGTCACCAGCGGTTTGATGATCGCGTCATGAAGCGGGTGAGCGGGACTGACTCTTGTGGATTCGACTGTCAGGGAACCCTTCGAACCAGATGGCCGTGATCGCGACGTACGCGCGGGACATGTTCACCTCGGTGTACCATTACTACCGCGCGTTGGCGTGTCAACAGCCGTTCCTCACCGCCAGACAGAACTTGGACAAGATGTTGAGGAAATGCCTGGCCGAGTGGAGGGCGAGTCGCGGGGACGGCGCGGGGGAGGCGGAGGCAGACCAGGAACGAGGGTTCCCAGAGCTCGACCCGTCCAATCCGCTCGGCTCGTTGCGATCGGAAGAGGTCATCCTCCAGGCCATCCTGATCACGGGGGATCCGACGCCGGCGTTCGAGAACCTGGTTGCGGATCACGCTGCGCATCTCGGGAGATTGTTGGCGGACCGGGCGGTGCCGGCCGAAGTCATCGTCAAGACGATCGTCATGGCCATCACCTGTCACTGGGATATACGATTGCGGGAAGTGCCCGAATCGGACGTGAACCAGGACGAGGATCACGAGGGCGCCGCCCTGTGGTACTTGTTCAATATCGCTGGGGTCATGCTCGACGTTGCCGATCAAGAGGTCAAGGACGGATTGGGTCCCGAGCGATTGGCCGGATTAGACAACGAGACGGTGGTCGTCGACGAAGTCATGACGGGGGACGAGGATGAGCAGTCGCTCACCGCGCTCTACCCGTACATCACCGCCGTTCTGCGACGACTCTTGCCGGCGCTGAGGATCTTTTCCAAGTGGCTCAAAGCCAACGCCTCGTTGTTGAGCGAAAATTCGATCGCGCAGCAGGAAGAATTCTGGACCACGTATGCGTCGTTCTGTCGACACCTCGAGGCCCTGTTTCCCCTATCACAACTGCCCGAGCTCTCCGACGCGCTCGAAGAGGACTTTGATATGCGGGGGTTCTCACCGTTGAAACGAGGCATGATGGAACCGCGCAAGGCGACCGAGTCGAACGACCAGAGTGCCCGGGACGCTAATATCGGGCACAACGTCAGCGACGTCCATCCGAACGAGGAACAGCTGATGCGGATCTCGGACTTGCTCTGCGATGGCAAGTTGATCGCCAACTATGCGGTGAGTGGACGTAGTCGGGTCGGCTTTGTTTCAGTTGATATTCGTCGGTCGAGCTGAAAGCGATTTGGCATTTCTCAGCCCGAATCGTTCAGACATATGGTGCAACCACAATCTTTTGCTAGCCGAGTCGGGATGATAAATCCGACCGCTCACAACACGTTCTTAGAGGATCGTCGGCCGACCTTGTCACTTGCCACTTCGCAACCCTTTGGAGCTGGACTTATGCCTCCCGACGCTCTTTTACGCGAAGAATCGGAGTTTGGCGACGCCGTATCGGTTAGCACGGCTACCGAAGACGACCCTGTTAACCTGGCCATGCGGGCCACTCTGGCAGACGGGTCCAGCTTGGCAGACGACGATGAACGTCTAAGTCTCGCCGAGGATGATGGAGAGGACAACGAAGCTGACGAGGACGATGACGAAGAAGAAATCATCTGGCCGAAACGGCAGAACCGCTTCAGTAAGGACGAACCAGCAGGTCTGACAACCCCAACCATGGCGGTGCACTCGACCTTTAATCCAACAAACCATTCCGTACAGGGGAACAGCCAACCAACCTCGACTCGCGCACACGACTTGTTGCATTCGTTGATGACCGGCAGCCCGGTCGTCAGGCCGTCATCGCAGACCAGCAGTCCCGCACCCAGTAATCCGGCAGCGTCACCCTTCTCAAACACTGCCTCGCCCTTGCTCTTCGGAGGGGTTGGTTTCTCGAGCGGCGGTTCGATCTGGACTCGTGGGCTAAACGAACCTGACGGCGAAGTGGAGAGGTCCAGGTCAGGATCAGGGTTCGCCCGGGCAGGTTCGGTCACTACAGCGCACGGTCTGCAAGGTTGGAGCTCGGGACCGCTGGAAGGTAACATGGGCCCGTCCTTGATACCTGGCGGACGACCCACAGCATTCCCGCCACCGAACGGACAAGGTAATCGACCGTATTCACCTTTTGGTTGATGCCACCGCCGATCGATCAACGTCAATTTCGAAACAAAACCAATCACTCGGGATGGGAAACCCATGAAATCTATCACTCTACAGGCCGTGTATGGTATAGTATGGATACAGTCAGAGGATACCTGAGCAAATTCCTGCGTATCCTGAACATCGCTACACAGACAGAAAAGTAGCGCCTCTTTGAAGAGAGGGAAAGGAGGTCGTATTATAGTCGTATTTCGCGGTCGTGAGAGCAGACGGAAACCACATCAAGATCCAGCCAAGGGCCATTTAAGCCGTAATCCATCTAGCCCTGGTAATCGTGTCGCACCACGAATCAGTCACGAGCGTCATGGCCATTTGTACCACAGTCTGCAGGACTCACATCGCATGTATAGCATGTCATTGACTGGACTTCGCTCTTTCGGAACCGGGGCAGGAGCCTCGCGCTCAGTTGCGCCCGCAAAGTCCTTTGTCTGGACTTGTTCGTCGGAAAACGTCTTTCTGACGTCGGACGACGGTCTGATGGTACCGAGTCGCTGTGTGAGCTGAGCCCGAACGGCTTCGTTACTACGGTGGCCACACGTCAACTGTCACGTCGGTCTGGCGAAGATACATGAGCGACTCACTCTCGCAGTCCCGACATGATGTCGATCATCATCTGGTTGGCGAGCTCCGGATTGTCTCTGCTCAATATTTGAAACCCTTGTTGAATCGAGTGCAGAGCCTGCAAATCAACCGCCGACTTCGCTTGAGACACGGTCTGCGGATGCGATTTCGAGCATAGTTTCGAGATGAGCCAAGATGTGACGAGAAGCCCGCCGCAGAGTGAACGAACCTTGTTTACAACGGGCAAGACGACGTCTCGTATGAGGATCTCGCCAACTCCGTCACCACTTGCGTGGAACGGGCGTTTCGCTTGCTGTTGAGCAACTGGGGCCTGCTTCATAGCCGGTTTTATGGTTCTGCGGATGCGTAGACCATCAGCCGGGAAGCCTTTCGCCATTTTCGATACTGCTTCTACTCACTGCTGCCCGATACTAGAAGACGATGCTGATACTGGGCGTGCCTTTGGAGTGTCTAGCGGAGGTGTTCTGACCTCGGTAGAGTCAGCTTGAGAGGCGCTGCCAGATGACTTGAGCGAAGGAGCGGTCTCAAAACCCTGTTAGGGGAGTGTCAGCTCAATTTCCGTCCAGCAAATGTCACTTTGCTGGCCCGTAGCTCACCTCTTCAAAACCTTCGGGAACGTCGTCGTTGACGATGAATGTACGCCTGCGAGCGGAGTCGTCTTCCGGGTAGGCGTCCGACAAGGAGGGTTGCATTTGGTAAGGCTGGACGTCTCGCTCAAAAACCCTCGCCTCCGAGCCTTTTCCAGGCCGGATGGTCCCGACCGTGGCAGGGTCTTCCTCCTCGGCGTTCGTCCCTTGTACCGAAATGACGGTCCCGTTCCCGAAATCCCACCCCTCGTCTTCCCCATCGATGGTTCCATCGATAGTCGGGTTCGAAATCGAAGTCTCGGAACGAGAGTGATTCCCGTGCAGTCGTTTGTGTTCGGCAAGTCGGTTGACGAGCCTCTGCAAGGACTGAACACGGCCGGCCTTGCGGATGAACGGGTGCTCGAGCAATTCGGCGGTATCCCATCGCTATTCGATTAACACGAGCGAACATTCAGCTCTGCCCGTTTACCGTAGGCCGACCTGACTCAACTCACGACATTCGGGTCCTTAACCAGACACTTCGAGACAAAGTCCTTGAACGCGTCGCTGAAGTCGCCTTCCAGCTTGGGCGGTTCCATCGAGGGGATCAAGAACAAGAGCTTCATCGGGTGCTGCGATCCATAAGGCGGTTTCCCAGCGACGAGCTCAATGGCGGTGATCCCTAGTGACCAGAGGTCGGCCTTGTGCCCATATCCTCCCTGCAGAATCACTTCCGGGGCCTGAGGAGCCGAGGTAATCAACGTAGTTAGTCAGTACCTGAGAGTCTAGTCTCTAGCACACGACGTTCATTACTGACCATGAACAAAGGCGTCCCGACAAACGTATTCTTGATACTCTTGGCGCTTCTCAACTGCCCGGACACGCCGAAATCGGCGAGCTTGACCTCGCCCGTATCGGAAAAGATGATGTTGGCCGATTTGATGTCCCGGTGAATGATTCCCTGGCTGTGTAGATAGGCAAGACCGTGCAGGATCTCACGGAGGACGATGGCTGCTTGCGGTTCGTTAAGAGGTCCCGGTTTGATCTGACGGTGATGTCGTTCAACAAAGTCAGCATAGCAAACTCAGGTCTTGACATTGCTTTTAGGTGCAAGCGACTCACGATATCAGACCCGCTACCTCCAGCGAGATATTCCATGATGATCCACAAAGTCCACTTCCTCCCGACGAACGATCCTAGATAACGGGTGATATAGGGCGAGTTGCACCCGGACAGGTAGACGATCTCGGATTGGATCTCAGAGATTTCTGTACCGAATTCAATGCCAAAGATGAGCGATCTTTCAGCTACAGGCAAGGGCGGAGGATTTAGATAGAAGGAGCAAACTAACCATCTGCGTTATCTTCGAGACCTACAATCAGGAAGTCAGAGACAACCAACAAATTAGTCTTCCCAGGTCAAACCCAACCCCCAGCTCGTGCTGTTCGAGATCGGGACTCACAGACATGTTTGATAGCCACGATCTCATCCGTCTCCTTGTCCAGCCTGTCCTCCCCAGAACACATGCGCATCGCATCAACGATACCACCCGAGCGCGAATGTCAGCATCAGCATCATCGTAAAAATCTCGACCAGGACCTGTCCGCCTCGCTCCAGAGCGGGAACTACTCGGACTCACGCCTTCCAAACCGTCCCGAAATTCCCATGTCCCAACTTTTGGATCAACTCGTACCTCTCCTCCGGACCCGCTGAGAACAAAGGAGCTCCAGCTAGGGTGGATCGTTCTCGAGGGGTGGTTATCAGGTTCGAGGTGTTATCGCCGTCTTCCTGGTAGTGATGCTGAGGGTACTCGTCGTAATCCCGGTCGAAATCGTAGGGGTCTCTCAAACTCAATCCCCCAACGTTCTCCTGTACAACCCCGTTCGACCGATCATGTTGCAAATGGGCGCCTTGAGGTTGTCGAGTGACCTGCCGACCCAGCTCCGCCCCGCCTTTATACGCGTATCCATCTAAAGTAGCCGAACTCCCTGTCCTTCTAGATTCGTGATCCCGGTCCTTCCGGAGCTTGAAAGTAGACCCTGCCGTGTAATCGCTCTCCTCCCCACCCTCATCCGGATCCGCATCATCGTCAAAATCCGATTCTTGAGAGGAGAACCCGCTAGAAGTAGATCCTAAACCCGGTTGACGACGAGCCTGGGCTTGCCAACTAGGTTCAGAACTCGGAGAACGGAATAACATCCCATTCGGGTTATTCGCTCCGGGTCCTAGTCCAAGATGGAGGTTCCGTCCAGGTCCGGATGCAGTAGGAGGATCGGCCGGTCTTCGTTGATGCCCATACCCATGTCCATGTTCATATCCATACCCATACCCTGGCCGATCTTCTTCGTTTGCTCTGATGGTCGACCCTTCTCCAGACCCGGACCCGGATCCGGAAGACGAGGAAGAAACGCTCCTACTCCCATGCCTTCGATCTCGGATACTGGTACTCTCCATCCCTAAGACCGGCGGAGCAGGGGTAGAGCGTGATTGGACCCGATGTAAGTGAGGGGACCGGAGTGGGAGTGGGGTTGCGGTGGTTGATGGAGGGGACGGCTTGCGGGATGGGGTGGAGGGTGGCATCCCGTCTTATTTGGTTCGGTAGTCGATGGGATCCTTTGTCGCTTTGTGAGGTGGATACTGCGGTTGACAGTCGAGGTCTACGGTAGGCAAGATCGGTAGGTGGTGGAATGTCTACCCTATCTGATCTCTGATCGAGGTCGCTATTCTCAGTTTGTTTTGTTTGTCGCTGTCGGTTTGTTGATCTTTTGTCGAGGAAGAGGAGGAGGTGCGAGCTAGGTGACGGAGGGGGTCGGTATCGAGGTAGAAATCCGTCTGATGTACGTATATGACGATGAGGAGTAGCGGTACAGCTGTGTGTAGGCGAAAGTCCTTTGCAAAGGTAGTTTGAAGTGGTTGATTATGTTTCGAGCTGAATGAGATTGCGTGTGTGATCAGGGGGAGATGAGCCGCGGGGAGGAGGTAAACCGAAACGGCTATCGGAAGTGAATGTAGATGATGCGTAGGTGCGTAATTGGCTAGTCGGTCGATCGATTATGAACTTGTGAACTTGTGAAGTATGAAGAGGTGATATGGTTGTTGAACAGGAGGAACGGACGTTGAGATAGGGGATTGGCTGAACCTTCTTCTTTCCAGAAGAGCCTTTTATCCTAATCCCCTCTGGCCTCTGGCCTGTTTACTCCGAGATCGTCGCATCATCATGTTGCACCTAGACTGGGCCCGCAGACAACGACGTCATGCCATAGAAGCTCTGTTCAGCACAGCAGCACAGCGTACACGGAGAAGCAGGGACACGGAGGCAAGGGGAGGAAAGCGGGAAGGAAACGAGGGGGGCAGAGGAGGAAACCACACAAGCCGAGCTCACAAGTTAGGGTGCAGGTCGCGCGGGACAAAGACAGAGAGACCTCGGGGCGTTCCAGACGTTTCAGATCATCGCGACGTGCTCAAACGCCCATGCGTCAACATCGGCTCGTCCGTAAAAAAAAGCCGTTTGATGAATCTTGCCTGATCAGAATAGGACTCTAAAGAATGACACAAGTTCGAGACTCGCTAAAAGCTGGGGGTTCGGTACTAACCCCCTCAAGCCCCCCTTGATCCTGATCGGTGCCCGAGCCGTGGGACGTAACTGGGAGTCTCCCGCCGCAACGAGGACGTGATCAATAATACCAAGAGCGACCGATGAACAGGGGCGATTGAAGGAGGGGCGTAAGACAGTACGTCATGAGCCCGCTGTCTACTGTCTGAAAGAGCCATCGTTGATGAGAGACAAAACGGGTAAACTTCCATTTCCTTCCCCGTGCTCCGTCCACATCTTTGAACCAGTTCTGTATCGAGCAGTCGCAAATTGGTTCCGTTCGTTTCGAATGCTTGTATGGACATCTGATCACGGTGATCATCTACCAGCTACCGGTTACTCGTTGACGGAAGGAGGGGAGACAAGGCCGAGATCGAAGCTCAAAGGCGAAACCTTACTGTACCCCTTGCAAAAGAAAAAGAAGAAGAAAAAGGGGAAGGAAAGAAACGAGCGTGAACGAGCGAATCCCATATCCGCCAACGGAGTTCTTAGGGAATCGACCTGGTCTTCGCTTGTCGTTGTCATACCCGTCGTTGTGACCGTTTTGATCAGCACCGCCGTAGCTCCGGTGGGGAGTTACATGTCTACACATGAGTATGACCCACGCCACTTCATTCCTTTACGATGCGAGCTGCCGGGTCGGGCCGGAATTTGTTCCGCAGGAACACTGTACTCGAGTACTGTACTGGTCACAACCTACTCGATATGATAAAGCGTGAAACGACCTTGATGTGAGAAACCATGGCCAAACAAAGCAGACCTATGAACCCATTAGACTTGGCACCCCTATAGAGCGTCAAGTTGTCGACGCATGTACGGTAAAAGTTGCCATCTTTATTTGGTTGATTGGTGGATATAAAAGTCTTCACTCAGGCGTCACCCTTGAACTCCAGATTTTGTTTCTTTTTCCAATAGGTGAGCTGGTCACAGTCACTCCTCTCCCTGACGAGTTGTATAGTTAACAGCAATATATGCAGTTGAGCCGCCGCTGACAACATCTGTGTGAGACCTGTTGAGTTTTCTTCCGCTCGTACACTCTCTGCCAATTCAAAGACTGGACTAGATTTGCCGATCAATGTATAGGACGAAACAACCGCTCTCATCAAGACTTTCACAGACAGTTCCAAGCGAGTCGCCAATCGATGTCACACATGTGAACCCCTCAGATCCAGACTTCTACGGCTTCCAGAATCCCTTACACAAAGAAGGCGAGGGCTGCGATGCTCCCGAAAAACCCATTGAACACACGTTGAATCTCATCCTCAATAACAGACGGTCGTAACGACTACATAGGGATATAACAGGCGCGAGAAGCATGACAAGTCCCACAAGTCCAACAGGTCTGTGGGTTGAGACCGAGTTCATCTTCAACCGAGACTGGGACTATCGAATGATTGGCACTAATCGCCGTAGCGGTGTGACAGTGCACACAAAAGCCGAGAACCAGCTCTGTTTTGCCTCTTCTGCGAATTCCGGTCATCGAGAGCATGACGCAGAGTAAGGCAAGTTCCCGTATAACAAAGCACGTCATGTCGCTGCGCTATTTCAGACTTACTGTATCGAAGCGTCGATCATCTCCAATGCGGGATCTGGTACCGGAAGCGCCTCCTTTCTAGATAAACATCCCACTCATGGAGAACCTCGAGTCATTTCAACAACACCCCCCTGATCTCTCTTTGGGTACTATACGATCACAGCTGACAGCGGCAAAGCCTCGGAACTCGGATCAAGCAACTCCCGCTGAGATTGTTTCCTTACCGAAAATCGGTACAAGAGTATGAAATGATCATCCATTCTCGTTTGAACTACAACCACGAGCGGTCTATCTTTTCAGTGAAACTCCCGCACATGGTGTTGCTCGAAGAATTAGCGGGAGGGCGAAATATCTATATCGATGCACCTTCCAACGTGTCTTGCTAGGGCGCCTGTGCGTGGAACAGCTTGGCGAGTTGTTCTCGGAGGCACCAGCAGTTGGTATCAAGGCCTCATGGATAGTGCAAGTTCGAGATATTGACGACGACCCGAAGGATTGGACGATTTCTGTGCGAAGTCCATCTGAAGATATCACTCAGGAACGGCCAACCTGCGACTACTGCCACAGCCACCATCCTACAGATGCTCGAAGCAAACATTTTTTCTGCCTGTAAACTAAAGTTTGTCCGCTGATTAATTGTCAAGGAACGTAAGGACGACCGGGAGGGTGCAATGCGCGGCCACAAGCAGGGAGGGCTTCAAGAGCTCCAGATTGGTGCACTACCACACCACGTCCCCGTCTCTTTCTCGATGGCCACATCATCGAACAGCTTCGGCAGGACCAGAAGATTCAGGCTGCGATATCATACTTGCCGCAAGCGAAGGAAGCCGACTACTCATACAGTGTGTGTTAACATCATTATTAGAGTCTCGTCGACCGCATTTATGGCTATTGTCGTCGCGAGCGGACACTTGCGAAAAGGCCGTGTTTGTGCGGGGAGAAGTAATTGGAATGGGAGACATTCGATTGAGTCTACTAAGCCTGCGCCACTGGCATCGTCATAGTCGTACGAGAGAAGCTATTTGCCGTACAGGTCAATCAGAATCGCTTTGGCGTTTAGCACCACGGAACTGAGGGATACTCAGACGTAGTGTCTTGCGTTCTCTAGATGACAGAAAGACAGAAACAGTGTCTATGCTATCGAGAATCCAAAATTCGCTCGTCCTGGAAGAGCTGATCACGACGTGGTGTTGATTTCGTCTATACTGTGATTGTCGAGCGTCAGGAACACTCGGAGATTTTTGAGATTATAAGGTAGCCGTCATGAAGGGCCTTGGAGATGTGTCGAGAGACGTCCGCTAGACGGGGTTTGACCCGGGTGAGGTCGATCGGTTCCTTTTTCGAGTTGTCGGCGAGTTTGAGTATGTCGGCGAGTTTGAGCATAGTGAGAAACACGTATAAGCCAGAATCTTGAGGATCGCATCGGATAGGAGGGAAGCGCTCCTTGGAAGGGAATTGAACGCCCTATAGATAGAGGATATGGTCGGGTCAATGGAGAGTTTGTATCTGTCACGGTTTTATGGGAGCCCTACGCATGGGTCTGGTTTGCAACTGATGTCCTGAGCAGCGACCAGTGCGAGATGTTCCTTCAAAGTGGTCCCGCTTGTCAGCAATTGTGGACATGGGACGGACGGAGTTTGACTGACCATGTTCTTCTGAAGGCTTGAGACTAGCTTCTCGTAAGTGCTAGACGGAGCGGTTCCAACCGGGTCCCAGACCATGATGGATTTACCATAGGTCAGCAGGATCCAGCTGATACCATCATCTGTCTGAACTTGCACGGGCAGCATCCACTGACAGATGCGGAGGTTCAGACTCAGCCCTCAGGGTTATGACTCGTCAATGTTGTAATATGGTTGTAATTTGACGTACCTCTTTGTACAGAGCTAACAACCTCACCAAGGATGGCAACTGTCCAGAAAAGCCGCAGCGCACCAGAATCACATCCCACTTCAAAGAGGATACGGGATCTTGCTCCGTCGAGAGTTGACGACCGAGCCGAGAAGGTAGACAGAGGAAAGGAGCTTGACCATTTTCATATTGCTGGATTTCAATGTGTTGCTGGATGAGCCTCGCACAGTCATCGAAGAGATCCGCTTGTGACAACATGCTTGGGGTCAAAGGCTGTCTTCCTAACAGAGATGCGAGACTTGGTGCCCAATGTTTGTAGAACGCGGCCGGCGACCTTTGCGATGTTGGTACGATTGGAACAGAAGGAGCCTTCGAACCGGCTCGCGAGGCCGATGGTGAGGCAGCCAACTTTCTGGGTGGGGCGGGAGGTTGTGTAGGTTGTGTAAGTGAAGGCTGTTTGGCGGACGGACCTGCGACTGGCTGAGTCGGGACTGGCGTGGCCCGGGCGGTCGTTTTAGATGGAAGCTGTGGAGGTACCGGTGCAGACACGGGCGTGGTTCCATCCCGGGGTAGGGGTTGGAATGGCTTAACCTTTCCGATTAGAAGTATACTTCCAGTTAAAACGGCCACCCGCACAATCCTCATGCGATCGAGATCGATGTCCCCGTCTTGTTTCCAACGTTTCCAGCATTTCTCTCCTTTAATGATACCGCTTGTGAGCCGACTCTGCCATAAATAAAGAGGGGGGACCGGTCCAGCCCAGCACTCTGGCGTATCACTTCCTGGACATCCAGATCGATAGACAATGACAATGTTACGTCAGTACAGCGTAATGCTTAAGAAAAAGGATCGCGAAGACCTTCTCGGCTTACCATCTTTGTAGACCGCCGCGTACTCTAGCCGCGAAAATGTGAAATCTTCCTCGCTTTCCAGATCCTGTCAACGTTCTGGTCTGAGTAAGAGGATGTATCTGAGCTCATATACAGTCTGCGTCACATACCTTCTTGGCCTTGATAGCCTTTCGGGCTAGGTATTCAATCACAGCGATCTCCGCAGCGACGTCTCCGTTTGTTTCTCCCATCTTGACGGTATCTAAGTCGATTGTACCAGGCCTGACGACGTAATAGCTAAGCCAGAGGCGAGAAGTATACGCAATGAGGAAAGTCGCTGAGGGGAAGAGCGATGAGGTTGAGCTGCATCGAATGAATACGGTGTGCATTTCCGACCAACTTCGAAGCGATCTGGCCACTCACTAGGGTGAAAAAAGAGAGACGATGCCACCGATGGTCCGTTAAGTGAGGCAAGATGGGTTACTGCTTCAAGGTCACACAAGAGGAACCAAAAGACAGTCCGATGACGACAACGGAATGCAAAGATGTAAGATGCCTGATTCGAGCTATGTGATCATCCGATACAGAACGGTGAGCTCATATTCAATCGAAAGCCGACGTGATTGTGGAAGTCACAGACTAGATGACTACAGTATACTCACAGCAATCCAGTTGACTTCCGAATCCGAGGAGGTTGCGGAGGATGGGGAGAAACAGTAGCGTCGTGACGTTGTGAATAGAGTAAGTTCAAGGGTAAGTAGAACCGATGGATGATTCTGATTTCTGATGAGATCAGATCGAGCATGATCGTTGTGATTTGTTCATTTTTTGATTCCGCGCGTCCGACTTCTCTTTTGTTCTCCATCGTGTTTCACATGGACAGACCAAGAGACCAAGCGCGAACCGCGAATGTTGGGCCTTACCCTATAGTCTTGTTACATACATCTTCGAGATTTCAGTATCCAGACCTTTTCAAGAGACTAGGCTTTGGTGAGGGCCCGTAGCAAGTCGTTGCCAACCCGCAATTGCATCGTGCGCTTGACCCGGTTGGTGACGGAGATCGGGCCGTGCGACCAACCACTGTGTCGGTCAACAAGCCAATTGTCGTACTGCATCTGTCGTCCAGAAAGACTGATCTTGGTTTCCGGCGCGAAACTGGGCCTAAGATAATCGATGTGAGCGCAACACGGTAGCCCCCGATACCTGCCGGGCAGCTTCAGCTAGTCATCGTATTCTCGTGAACATGCCAACTGATGAGTGCATTCCCGAGAGCAAAGGCAGATCCAGTCTGACGAGTACGACGAACCAGACGCTAGGCTCGCTGAGATCTCAACGGAACTTGTCCAAGCCATCAATGGTAAAGACCCTCACATAGCTGAGACACAGTCCAAGAAGTGGCACAGGGCTCATTACCCAAAGGTGTAAGTTGTCAAGCAATCACAATTGATGATAAGACCTAACAGAAGAAAAAAGATAGGTCACTCACCATGGGCTTCCAGCTCTTCCGTGCTGGAGGCATCTTCATCATCTTTGCTGTGCTCTGGGGCTTTGTGATCAAGCTGAAGGTGAATAAGAACAGAAGTGATTTAGTTTATCTCAAGTTTGATTTGAAAGTGGTGGCCTTCTTGTTGTCTTTCACTGATTTGTGCTTCGGTGTTTGATTTGGGGTTTGCTTCGGTACTACTACTCTACTACAGGTACGGCCACGCTCTGACGGAACGCGCGCCTAGCAAATCACTAACAAAGTGTTCCGTCTGAGCGCGATCCTCACGGTAGCAAGTCTGATATGTGCAGCCCGGTGACGGTGGTTGCATGGTCTTCCATATGAGATGAGGCCCCAGGATTTGACACATTCTAGATCGGCTCTGGTAACGGCGTAAGCCGAGATACGGCATGGATGCTATTATGAGCCCGTCGCATATGCTCGAATCATCTACGAATACAGTGTATCGAATCGCCATAAACCCCAAGTTATGCTACTGCCTCGCCGTTTGCGTGTGATCACGGGAGGTGCGTCCCGAATGCCATGTTCCCTTTACTTTGTTCCGATGTATACCCTTGTAGTCCCAAACCCGGATGTCCGACCGGTCCTCCTTCTTATCTGGTCCGACGTGGCGATTGAAACTCGTGCGACATGGTAGCCACGATGATATCGGCGAATTCGAACCGATCACGATCTGCAACCCGCGTCGACTCGATGTCAGCTTCAACTAGTCCTGGATTTGACTCTCCCGCAACTCACGTTCCTGCGTCGGACTAGCCGACCCGCTCAGTTCCCGCTCGTACACAAAATACGCATCCTCGTACGCCCTGTAGATCGACTCTAGGCTCCGGAAAATCATCGGCCTTTTGGCCGGTCCGTACAGATTGTTCGTACACCAGATCAACCAGCGACAATAGTCGGTCGTCATGTGCCGCATATGAGGCTGACTGAGGCTGCATAGGTAGATCATGTGTTGTTTGACATACGCCTGGGCCCATTCGAATGGTGTCGGATAGCCTGTCGAGATGGCGTTTCAGTCTACTAGATCAGCCTTCGGACGCCCTCGATGTTGTCGCTGATCAAGACAACAAGCGACTCGCCTGGCGTGTCAGCCTCGATAAACTGCGCGACGAACAGATAGAGCATCTCCCGCAGCACCCAGTTCATCCACAACCTGAGCACGTTGCCCGGTCGTTGTGATGATGGACTGTTGAGTTCGAGTTGCATGACGGATTCCGGTCCGATGGCCAGGATCAAGAGACCTCGGGCGTAGCTATTGATGTGAAATCTGATCGGCGGTTCGAGGTCGCCGTAGAACAGTTGGGCCTGCAAGAAGAAGGCGACATGAGGTTCAGGCTCGGACTGGGATTCAAAACTTGACCGTTCAGTATTGTGATTGCGTACCATGGCATCGAACTTTTTCACACCGATCTCCAGAGCCTCTGCGTCAGACTTCGGACCTGCATCAACACGATACGCATCAGCCGTCCGTATCTTGCGCGAACCTCGAAACTCCTCAGGAACCGGACTTACGAAAATCGGCCAACTGTCGATCTGACCACTACAGCGTTCCCCGGCAGGTTTCATCGCAACAGTCTGATCAGCCTCGCCACTTTCCTATAAACGACCGAAGCTAGAACGGATGGTCGACTTACGAACTTCAATATCGGATGGTCCAGCTCTAGCGTTTCCCACCATCGACCTTGATAGAGCATCCTCGAGGCGACTATGAACATGTCCGGGCAAAAGAGAGATGTCAGACGGTCTCGCATTAGCTTTTCTTATAAACATGGGCGGAGATGCAGGATTTGAGCTTACAAGAGAGTTGAGGGTACGATTCGATGACCTTGGCCATCTACTTCAGCACACCATAAATGAACAACCAGATCAGCGATCACACAACTTCCCCCTTCTTTCCCCCGGCTCGCGACCTAGACGATCCAAAACGTAAACGTACCAACCCCTCCGCCCCAGGCTTCCCAGCTACGAACCCCGCTATCCTCCCATAAACATCTTCCCAGTACGGATCCTCCCCCCAATCATCGTACCGCTTACACATAGCGTGTCTGCTCTTGACGTGGTCCTTCTTGCCCATAACGTGGTACATCAAGATCCCCTCCTTCGCTGTGGATGTGTATTCTTCGCACAGGGTACACCGGGATTCTCCGGGCCGGGAGGTGGATTCGAAGAGTGCGAGTTTGACGGCTTTGGTAGCTGACGTTAGGTGGGAGGATGTGGACGGGTCCGCATGGTTGTTGGCGGTAGATGAGGATGCGTGAGGGTTGGTAAATGCAGTGTTGAGAATCGGCAAGGATAAGGATGACGACGGAGGGATCGACGATGGGTTCGAAGACGACGATGGTCGTGTCAGTGGTAATCCCGGTCTGCCCGACTCGACATGGTTATGATCTGCAGCCCTTGGAGGTCCCGGTCCTTGTACTGGTACCTGCAGGTAAGAGAGATACTGATGCGGATGTGGCTGCTGATGCTGATGATGTGCTTGCTGTTGCTGTTGTTGCAACTGTTGCTGATACGCATTCTGGTAAGGTGAAGCCGAAGGTACAGGCGCAGTAGCAGTCGAGCTCGAAGGTCCTGCTACGATATGACCGGTACTGGGGATCCCGGGGAAGATAGTCCGACCGGGGTGTGGTGTTTGACTTGGCGACATCGTGTGTTGTTAATCTTGAGCCTTGGGTCACCTGCTGACTTGCTAGATCTTGACGTTTGAGGGCGTACGTTGAGTTGTCCAGCTGATGTAGCTGAATAACCTTTTTTGAAAGGTTCACAAGACGGACCTCGCCGCGAGAGAAGCCAAAGAAGCCCTGCACCTCCTCGCGCCTCTGTTCTATTGTCTCTTGTATATCGACGAGGAGAGTCGAGGTTGTTAACCCTGTCCCCGGCCTTTGCAAAGTTTACTACGACGTTGTTTTAATTGTCCTTCGTCTTCGTCGGACCATAAGATCCCGTTTATGCGACTCTCGTAGGCAAACCCCGAGTGTGGAGGTGCTCTGTAGGTGGAGGGGAGGGGGAGGGCGAGTCGCGAGGTCGATCGATCGGAAGGGATGTTTCACCCGCTCGAGGCTAGGCGAGAGATTTCATTAGCATGCTAGCGTGGGGGACAAGTAGTACAAACTGCACGACAGCCTGACTAGCATGACTAGCGTGACTAGGGAGCTGGTCTGAAGTGGGCTGTGCAACTCAACATGTGGAGGTTCAATGGGAACTCTAGCTACTGTAGCTAGCTACGTGCCACATGGCGAGTGGTGGGAAGGTCGGTCACCCTCTCGAGATCAACAGCCGCGGGAATAATCCGCGAACCGCGAGCCGGGAGCCGAGGCTAACCCGTACCAGGCCCACAATCACAGTGCGATCGAAGGGCGAATTCAACGAACAACACTCAGCCCAATGCACAAATGCACAACAGCTTTGAGACCCGTTCTGCACGGCAAATCTACGGTGCAGACGGTTCCAATATCACAGCTGGGAGTGATATCAACACCCGCAATCTCGAAAGTTGGTGATAAATTGATAAACACTTTCACAACGACGCCCTTGCCATTGACATTGACAGTCGTTGTCCCTGAACTTCGATCGAGGCAAGCACGACACCCATCTTTCGTCTCGCAAAAGGAAAGCAACACCATATCAGACCCAAACCGGAACCGCAACTCAAAAAAGCAAAAAAGAGGGGACGAGTATTCCATCATGCTTCCCGCGATACCAGAAAATCTTTACAATCTTGTAGATCAACGTTCCACGCGATATATTCCCCGTTCTGCCCCCTCTTTCCGTCCTCCGTCTCTTCCTTCTCTCTTTTTTTCCGACGTGGTGCTCCGCTTTCCCCGAGTTCGAGTTCTTTAGGTGCGTGCTGTACGGTCAATGTAAGACTACGTGATCCGAATGATCCATACACATGCGTAAAGCAGAGGAGTGAGATGGATCAGCGCGCGTTCCTCCAATATGTATGTCTCTCCCTCTAATCCAGAGGAGAGGGGTCAAGCGAAGAGAAAAAGGGAATGGGGAGGAGACGATCAGACATAACGTATTGTCCGCCGAAGCGGATGAGTTCGATTCCGTAGGAATTGTCGTTCAACGATTTATTGCGAAGAGGGAGTTCCATGTTCATCATAAAAAAGAGGTCCCCGGCGGGGCAGGGCGCCAGAGAGCAGAGTGAAAAAGAGAAGGGGTAGGAAAGGGAAGGACCCGATTCAAGCCAAAAACGAGAAACCAGACGCTCACCTGTCCCATACAACTCCCCCTAATCGAAACCCGACGCTCATCGGCTCTTGAAGTAGTCCAAAAGGACGTTCAAACCCTCAGACTCCTGACCGTAGTCCTTGACGACGACACAAGAGCAACCGACGATCTTCCTGGGGTTACCCTCTCGGTCGATCTTGGCCAAACCGGACCATTGTCCGAGGACCTTGGCGTCGGAGACCTTGATGAGGTTGATGTTGTGCTCGGCGCAGAGGGCCTCGATGAGCTTGAGGTATTCGGCTGCGAAAAGAGGTTGACGAGGAGACAACGTCAGCCCAAATGTACTCTAACGAGCGTGCGAAATGACAAATGGGCAAAATCGCTCACCCTCAGTGCAGGTCTCGACCAAGACACAGAGATGGGCCTGCCTCTTGTCCAAAGCCTTGGCACACTCCCTCAAACCACGGGCGAGTCCGTCGTGAACGAGAGCGTTCTTGAGGACCTCCTGAAGGGCGTCCTCGACCGACATGGCGCCCTTGGCCGGGGCGGCGACCTCGACGTCGTCGACGACGACCTCTTCAGGGGCTCGGGAAGCAGAGTCGGAACCAGCGTCAGACATTTTTATTGGGTTTGTGGGGGGTTGGGTCTTCTTCCGCGCTATGGTATATAAGAAAAAGGTTGGTTTCCGAGGTCAGCTCGGAGTTCGTGTCGATGTCGATTTTTTTCACTACTAACGTGTTTTGTTAAGAGAGAGGGGGGAGAGGTGAGGAGTCGAAAAAAAAAAGGAAAAAAAAGTTCTTTCTGCGATTCCTTTGACTAAGTGTTTTGGGGCTCGTATAGCTTTCGAGCGGGTGAGCAGGGGGATTGTCGAAAGGTCGAGGTCGATGATCTATCTGATCGAGGTCGTCGAGTAAGGTCGAATGCTAGTGGGTCGTCCTCGCGCGTGGGGAAGGCAAGAAGGTGACAAGCAGAAGCGCAACGGGACGGAATCTCAAGCGCAGATGACGTTTCAGCAATTGGCGGGAAGGCTATGGTCAAGGTAATGAAGGCAAAGGATCGTATAGCGACGCAGATTGAAGGGATTGCATAGCTACGAGAAAGCCACAGCGAGATTGGACATGTAGAGCGAGGGGTGGACTATATGTCCAATGCACTGAGGTCGCGATGATGTAGAAGCTCGGAAGACAAGGTGGGTTTCACCTTGCACGGCCGCTCGATCGCCTTAAGAATTGCGCATACGCGTGAGAAAGCGAAATGCCATAATCTCGCGGATGTTGATCGGATGAATCGGGAGATTTGGGGGTGCGGATGCTTGTGATTGGCCCGGTCGTCGTGGCGGGTCCCGTCATCGATCGTATGGGTTCGCCCCTCTAGTCCCTTTCGCTCTCGCTCTCGCTCTCTCTCTCTCTTCCTCTTCCTCTCTCTGCTCTCTGCTCTGCGCTGCTTGCCGTGTACGAACTACGACCACGACGACCAGCAGCAGCAGCCGAAACGCCCATCCCACCTCCTCTCTCTCTCTCTCTGCCTCCCCGCTTACCTTGTGCTCATCAACCTCCGCCGCCGGTATTTCCCCTGAATTTACTGCCATCACCCACCTCTCTCACCTCACACCTCACCTCGGCAAGACCCTCTCACCCAGCCCGGATCTAGTGCCCCATCACCGTCGTCCCCCAAGGGTGAGTACCACATCCTCCTTCCACCATCACCCTCGTGCTACCGTGCCGCCGGCGTTCCACCTCGCTGATCTGCCACTTCCTCTTCTCGCCTCTTCCTCCACCTCGTCTCATCTCCTCTGCTCTCGCTGCTCGACCTCCCTCCGTGATCGGTTGGAATTGGAATCTGACCCCGGATCTTCATCCACCACCACCACGGTTACCACCTCTCACATCCTGTCTTGTGCCCGACCTGCACACTTGTTGACATCTTCGTCATCACGTTTTTACGTTTACGTTCACATCCGGTCTCTTTCCTCTCCCTTCTCTCCTCTCTCCTCTTCCTGCTCGTCTTCCTTTGACTAGGCGGAACCGGACGACCAGACAACCACCACCACCAAGCACAGCAAAGCGTGATAGCTTCGGGCATCGTCCAGCCCAGCCCAACAATTGTCATCAACACCGGGTATTAGCTGCGGAACACCACAACATCAAGTAGGAAACACCAGGGATGAGTTGGAGCGTGAGTCCTTCTGCTGACCCCTAATCGAAAGGCTCTCTATCTCTATCTCTGTTACCGTCGCTGACGAGCCCACCGTCATATCACTCCGATACAATAGTATCAAGACCGACAGGCATCGCAAGGAGCTACCTCGAGTACACCCGGGTACGCTCAGGCCGATCCGAGGTACACCGCCTACACGCAACAACAACAGCAACAGCAATCGCAACAGGCAAGAGGAACGTATGCGGGGTATGAAGGGCAGGATGGGTATGCGGCGGGAGCGGGGGGACAGGCGGGTTATGCTGGTTATTACGGCGAGTGAGTTCGAGTTCGAGTTCGAGTTTGTGGATTTGAGCGATGAGGCAAGACGGTTTGCTGACTCGTGGTCATGGTCGTGATCTCGCTTGCAGTCGCTCGAACTTCCCAGCGCAAGGGGATACGAGCTCGCCCTCGGGTCGAACGGTAGATCAGCAGCACGACCGAGCGACTTCGTACCATCACGATTCGCCCCTGTCGCCCGCACCTAGGAATGTCAGTCGACCGCCCGTCCAGCCCGCTACTGCTCCTGCGACCGGTGGTGGGGGGTACGAGTCGGCCCAGCAGCAGGGGTACTATGGCAACTATTCGCAGTACGCTCAACAACAGCAACAGCATCAATCGTCGGCTTCACACCCTTCGCAAGCTGGTTGGCAGCAACACGCTCAACGCAGCGTCTCTGGCGGATCGGCCGGGCAGGGAGTGTACGGTGCGACCACGGGAAGCGGGGCGTATCAGACCTTGTCGGCTGGGAATCAGAATGGGACGCCGACTTTGCCCGCTTCAGCACCTGCGCATCAGGCGTCGACGGCGGCTGCGGGAGGGTCGGGGAGGAGTGCGGCGGCGAATGGGGCTGCTTTCGGTGGGTATGGATCTCAGCAGGCGTATACGGCTGCGCAACAACAACAACAACAGCAGCAGTATTACTACGCTCAACAGCAGCAGCAGCAGCAGCAACAGCATCAACAACAACAGACTCCGGCTTCCGCGCATTCAGGGTATTATAGCAACGCTTCGTACGCTCAACCATCGGCTGTCTCGGCTGGAGGCTGGACGAATCAGCAATGGACGGACCCGAGGTACGCAGCAGCGGCCGCAGCAGGTCAGCTTGGCCAGACGGCCCAGACGGCGGCGGGATCGGGAGGATACAGCCAGAGTCAAGCTCAACAGGCTTACTCGGCTCAGGCTCATCAGGCTACCTTGGGACACCAGCAGCAGCAACATCAGAACCCGCATTACGCTCAGCAGTTGTACGCTCAGCAGGCTCATGCTCAAGCGCACGCCCAGGCTCAGGCGGATATGCAAGCTCATCAGCATGCTGGGTATGCCGGGTTGGGGAAGCGAGGTGCAGAGGATGATCTGGGGGCTGGGGTCAAGGGGAAGAGGGTCAAGGCTGGGAAGGAAGAGCCGGTACATGGTCAGTCACTCAAAGGACTTTTGGGCGGGGGTTTCCGATGCCAGTGCTGATACCTGTTTTGTAACCGACAGTGTCGCCACCTCCACCCCCTGCCAAGTCGTTGCTGAAACCGCCCAAACAGGCTGGGAGCGCTTGGCAGTTCTTCTTTACGGACCGACTCAACGCGGCGAAATCGGAGCAGCAGACGGGCCACAAGCTCAACGTTGCCGACGTCGCCAAAGAGGCTGGAGTGGCTTACAACGAACTCTCCGCCGCACAGAAGGACGTGTATATCAAACGTGCCGCCGACGCTCGAGAGGTGTACAAGAAGGAGTATACGGCATGGTTGGGGACTTTGAGCCCGGATGAGATCAAGCGGGAGAACGAGTTTAGGACGGGGCAACGTAAAGCGGGCAAGAGTAGGAAGGGAAACTTGAAGGACCCGAACGCGCCCAAGAAGCCGTTGTCGGCGTATTTCTTGTTCTTGAAGGCGATCCGGAGTAATAGGGCGTTGACGAGGATCGTTTTCGAGGATGCCGAGGCGACGACCAAGCAGAGCACGTTGGCGGCTATGAGATGGAGAGGTTTCACCCCGGAGCAAAAAGGAGTGAGTACAGATGTCCCGGTCGAGTTGGTCAATATGGAGCGGTGCTAACCCACAACATGTCGCTTCGCGTAGCCCTTTTTGCGACAATCCGAAGCGGACAAGGCCGAATACGAGGCGGTGCGCAAGCAGTACGATCTGGATACACAGGCGAAGGCACGCGGGGAAGACGTTCCCGAACGACCTGCTGCCAACTATTCGCAAGACCTGGTCAGCCCGCGATTGTTGTGTGCCGTCCTGCCGGACGGCCCGGAAGAGGATCTGGAAGAGGTCAGGAAGGACGCGGATGAGGTCTACAAAGCGCCTACCAAGGCTTCGAGGGCAGAGGCGGAGCACGAGGCGGGACTCGCCAACGTGCATCAGGGCGATGGGGACGACGAGGATGGCGCGGCGGATACCACTCGGGATGACGATGTCGGCGTCTCTCCCGTCGTTGCCGAGCATGTCGAACCCGAGCAGGTCGCCTCGACCGAGGAGACACCGTTCATGGACATTTCCGCTTTCGTCCCCGGTGAATACGCTGGACAGGACGGAGACGACTACAGCCATCATCATCATTTGGCATCAGAAGACGTTGCCGCGGTCGATCAACACCAGGCGGTCATCTCCACGGGTCAGGAACCTCACAGTCTGGATTTTCACGCCGTCTTTGAGACGAGCACGACGCCGGGAGACGATACCGTCGTCAAGCCTGAAAACGTCGTGCTGCCTCATGTGGAGACTGTTTCGGCCGAAGGCATCTCGGCGGATGGGAACATGGCGTACAGCTATTCGTCTACTACGATGGTCTACGATGGACTTCACCAACAGCAGCATCCGCAGCAGATCGAGCAGCCAACCGAAGCTAGGATCGAAGAGTTGCCCGACGAGCCGCAGCAGCAGCAGCAGGATGACGACGACGATGACGATGATGATGACGAGGACGACGATGACGACAATCACGCGGGACATGGGAGCGAGCAGGAAGAGACTCCCGCCGGCGATTCCGATGACGCCTAGTCTTGCAGTCTTCAGTCCTCGAGACTTCTTCGACCGTCTTCCACTCGGACCCACTTCTTTCGACTTTTCGATCTACCTCTTCTTTTCGACGGCAAGATCTGTGCGCGTCAACCATTTACTTTACGCATCTGTTTCTCACTTCGATCTCGTTTCGACTTCTCTTCCCGTAGCGATCCTTGTCATACCCGCCCGAGTTTGTATCGGGCCTGTACATATACGATATGTTGTGGGATATATCGAATGTTATTGTGGTCTCGAGGACCGTTGTTGGGTCCGTCACTCCTTTTGTCGACGGAAGCAGAATACGGTCGATCACCGTCTATTGTTGTTGATTGTGTGACATTTTGTGAAAGGGTTGATGAGCTCGAGACAAAGACAGTGTCATGGTGATATCACAACCCCGACTGTTCGTTTCAGGCTCAGGAGCCCTGCAGGTCATAGCATATATCGATCTCCCTTAGATCGTGTCACGACAACAGGTGGTGATCAGAAGGACGACCGTGAACTCGCTGGTAGAGTCACCCGTTCGTGTGGAACCCAAACCCAAAAGAAGAACGCCGGTCTGGAACAGACAGCAAGCTTCTACCATCACTACTATTCACGACATTGGGAATCCCGCATCAGCAATCCTTATAGGACCACATTCTGCTCCTGATCCGTTCGAAGCTGGGACTCGGCAGAGTTTGACGAGTAAAAGTTAGAAAGCCGACCCTTGATCTGAAACTCGAGGAGAAGATCTCGCAGGACGGGCTTTGGGTCAAAGGAAGCGATCTTGCGAAAGCCTACCGGACAGCAGAGCAAAAGGGGACGACAATACCATTCGGCTGAAGTTGAGAGGAGCAAGTCGAAACTTGAGAGACTTGGAGCAGTACTTCAGAGCAACGGCAGAACATTATAACGGAGTTCATCTCTCCATCAAAAGATAGCTGGTAGCTATCACGGACGAGAGCGCATTGTCAGGATGTGCTGTCAGGCGAGATGGAAACGAGAGGTCGTTCAGGGTCACAAGGTGAGTCGTCTACCAGGCTTGTGAACCGTATACACCTGAAATCTGATTGAATTGTGTGTACGGATAGTTCGACTTTATCAACATTCACGAGTATCACCTGAACGACTGGTTCACACGACTACGGTGAGTCCACAATTACGGACCAGGCCTAACCCGATGAACTCACAGCTGATCTCATGCCATATTTATATTGATCAGATACCTCTTCGTCTACCTCTTGCTGGCCAAATCGTTCGCCGTCTACTGCCTTGACATCTTCACCGCCATCACAATGTTGTCGACGGACAACTGGACCAACGCGATCTACCGAAAATGTGGGGACGATTGTGTTGTTACGATCAAGTTCGAAGTGGCCAAGTGGATCTTTGTCGGATGCATCATCGCTTCGTTTGTGCTCGTGAGTATCGACAAACCCTCTTACCTGTCACCTGGATCTAACCCTTCGCACTTGCTCTTGCGCTTGCAGCTCGCTTACGAAAGTTGCAAAGCCAGGCTGATCATCCGTAGTCGGGATATCGCCTTTGCCTATACCAACGTCATGGCCAACGATTACTACTCGGTTCGGGATTACGACTATTTCTGCTTTTGGTGCCACGTCTCGGAATCCGAAAAGAAGAAAGACATCATCACCGGATTCGTGTTTTTCACATTCAAAGGTTCGCTTTAAAAAGATCCCGCTCATGTGCTGCGGTATCGTTACTAAGTATCGCTGCTCTCTGCGATAGACTGGAAACGTCTCATCGCTGCCGACGGACCTCGTCAGAGCATCAACGCTCTCACCCTCTACTCGTTTGCCTACGCCAACGATTTCCAGACGCACGACCTCCCGGCCTATTGGGACAATTCGATCATAACCCTACTCTTACTGTTGTCCATGATCGCCACCGTGCTGATCTGGCTGATCAGCATGTTCTTGCTGGTTATTGCGGCTGTCTGTTATATTCCGCTGTTGTGCTACATCCAGGGCAATCTCAAGGTGGGTCACGGTGGCGGTACGGAGTCTGTCGAGTACGAGGCTGACATGCGTGGAAGTGCGCGTCAAACAGGAGTATGTTTGCCACAAGGTCGACAAGGTGAGAAGATTTCTTTTTACCGCTCTCAAACTCATTCTAACGATCCCGATTTTCCTCTCAGCGAATCGCCGAATTGATCCGCCGCAAACAGCGCCAAAGGCTGAAACGCAACATGCTACTCGAAAAGCAACTGGCCGAAGGCGCTCCCATCAAGGACAAGAAGGGCCAAGTGCTTCGGGGCGTGCAACAGCCTACGATCCCCGTCGTAGCATTTGACGAGTCGGACGAGGACATGCGGATGAGGATGGACAAAGGTGGAGCTCGGGCGAGACCGAGGTACAAGCAGAGTCCTAGCGACAGCAATCTGGCCGGTACCGACTATCCACCAGATCAAAAGTACCATCCTCAGCCGAGACGTGAGTGTGCAAGTGGCTTTCGAGACATCCTCGTCCTGACGGTCACTGATCAATCCGTCTTGTGTGATCGCATTGCAGGCCAATTCTCTACTCACAGCGGCAACGACCTGTTTGATGGGAGCTATCCGCCCACGCTGGAATACGGCTATCAGGAGCCTGCTCCGCTATATGGCGGAAATTATCAGCATGAAAGGCAAGTGTCTTGGTCAGCCCAGCTTTAGCGAACCCACACTAATCTCACTCTGCGTTCATAGCTCGACCAATCTGATGGCCGGCGCTGCTCCACCAGGCATGTCTCAAACGATGCCTACGCTTGAACCTCAACAATCTTACGAATATCAGCACCACCTACGGCCGAGCGATTCGTGGGAGCAATATCCTTCGCCCCAGATCGCCGACTATGCTCCGATACAACACCCTTATCCACCGCCACCGCCTTCGAAACGGCACAGCGGACTCGCTTACGACGACCCGACAGACGAATTGACTGCACACGACCCTTATTCACGACATACGAACCCGTCACATCGTTCCTGATCATGTTTACGAACTCTCGAATAGAACTTTTCCTGTTCCTTTTCCTTTTCCGGACAAGCATGCGTCTATCTTTTCGCAATCGAAGTTGTATCTTTAGTAATGCAAGCTTTCGCTCCAACCATGAAACAAGCTCAACTGCGGTTTACGTACTTTGATAGTACTCGTACATGGTCGGGATTGGCTTACTCTTGAAACTGTCCAGCTCTTGACTCGGTTGTTGCAAGGATTGCACCGGTATCTTTGGAAAGCTCCCAGGTCGTAATCCACTCTCCGTGTTGGCGCAGGAGAGCGTCGTGCTCCCTCTCCATGATGTCCGACACCTCGAAGAGGCCTTGTCTGACATGAAAGAGACAATCAGGTTGCAAAGGCCATGAACGTTTTTGGAGGGGGAAACAGGGATCCGCAGTAAAGATGGCCCTGCGGTGTTTAAGGTTTAAAAACGCTCCCGAGATCAAGTGACATTTCGTGCGGCCTCTGCGGGTCATCTTCGCAATCCAAAGACCGGGAGAATTCATGGTAGTAGGTACAGGTACAGGCCAGCGCGATCTACGAACGAGAGAACCTGGATTGAGCTCCTTCGCATCAGGCGCAGCAGTGCGCGACAGTCGCTCGGTTCAACGATGCTTTTTAGCAATACAGTCCGAAGATCGTCGTCCAGGCGCCGCTCCTGAGTCGGTCGGTATTGCCTAAATCCTTCGTCAACAGCAATGACTGCCCCGATGAGATTGTCTCCGCATAATCCTCTGTACCGCGAAGCGAACTACCCACGGAGGAGCCGTTGATGGTCGGCGGGGTATTCCGTCGTAGCTGACGACGGGGACTTCAAGAGTGAAGCATGTGGCGTCGGCAACCGATTGATTATAGACTTGATGGCTGGCAGCCTCCCTCTGGTCTGCGTCGGCCAATCTTGCAATTTCATCGCTGATGCTGAAGATGACAGGCCAGCTCAACCTTGTCGAGGGATTTTGGTGTCGACGAAGTTGATGGCGATATCCACGATCTCTCTCCAATCCGTCATCGCTCCCGGTCCTGCAAAAGCAGACAAAAAACCACAAATCCGCATCAGAACCCAGGATCAGCTCTTGGTAATCTCACAGACAATCGCACTCTGATCAGAATTCAAAGTGGTAGCGCAACTAACCGATATCCCCACAAGCCAAAGCCTTGCCCGCCTGAGGCCCGTGTACCTCGTACCCGATCTCATCCTTGACTATCCGGAGTTGTTTAGCGGTGAGCGGATGGGTGTACATGAGGGTGTTCATAGCAGGGAAGAGGTAAGTCTTGGTCGTCGAGGGGTCGAGGGCGCGGAGGAGGGAGGTCTGTGAGAGGACGAGCAGGGAGAGCAGGGAGAGCAGGGAGAGCAGGGAGAGCAGGGAGAGCAGGGAGAGCAGGGAGATCGGGTAAGTAGGTTGTAGAGGTGAGAGCGAGGTGTATTTAGGAGGATTAGTAGGAGAGGTGGGAAGAGGTGGACTGACGGAGAGGTTGTCGCAGATCCCGTTGGAGATCTTGGCGAGCATGTTGGCCGAACAAGGACAGACGAGGACGAGGTGGGCCCATCTTCGGAGCTATTGCGGGAAAGATAAACAGGATCATGATCATGTTCAGGCCAAGAGTCAAACTTGAGTGAAGTCTGAAAGGAATGAGGCAGGAACTCGCCTCGATATGTAGGATCGGGTCGCCGATCTTGTTCCAAGTCTACATTCCAGAGATAATCTTCAATATCCCCGAGATCAATTGTGAGAGCGAGAAATGCATTAACTTACACCCCACTCGTCGTCATCCGTCCATACCCTGACCCGACCTTGGCTGGCTTTGAGGACTTCCTCCGGGGTATAAAAGGTCAGCGAAGTCTTGGTAGCCACCACTTGGACGTCGATTCGAGAGTCCTATGAGCACATAGCGAATTCGAACGTCAGCCCGTTAGCGACTGCTAATCATCTGTCTCTTGTTGTACGGAAGGAGCGCACCTCGAGCGACGCCTCGACGATGAGCGGGATCTTGATGCTGGCCACGCTGCCGCTACTGATCAGAAGAACGTTGACCTTGCCCGGGCGGGTGTGTTCTGAAGCGATGAACATGGTGGTAGTGCGACGAATTATCGGTCTAGGCTGGTTGCTGGTTTGCAAGTCGAACACTCGCAACTCAGATCCTTCTTCTTGATCATCAATTGATCGGAAGCTGATTACGACATATCTCGGAGGTATTTCTGCTTTCGGAGCCAATTAGAACTCGGATCCGGTGATTTCTAAGCAGAAACGGCGAGAGCGGCGACTGAAGTTGGTCAACGTCGACCTCGCTTCAAGTCTCTTAACTCTCTTCTATAACCAACAGCGACTACCGATCATCGCCACCCACCCTTGTCACATCGCCTCTATCTTGCCTACTCTCTCCCATATCATCTACGCTTCTCGCCAAGCGACCTATTCAACCTGGCATCACTCGCCCCGCGTTCACTCTCGCTCTCACGCAGCAGCGTCCGCGCGATCAACTCTGCACGTTCGATCCATACCACCACCACCACCACCGTCGTTTCCGTTCGACCTCAAGCTCAACGAACTCTTGTTACCATCGGATCAAGGCAGAACGCTTTGAACACCATAACTCCCAGTCGTAGATTAGATCAAGTACGCTCGGCTACTTTTCTTCTGCCTTGCAATCTACTTCAGCTCGATTCGATCCGGAGAGGCTGACCTGACCTTGGCGTCCGATTAACTTAGGCGTGGTTGCAGACCCGTAGGACACTCGCTACTATGCCCCCTATCACCAAGGACGAAGCTGAAGGTACCGAATACGACTTGTTCGTCATCGGAGGAGGATCGGGAGGACTCGCTTGTGCTGTGAGTACAGCAGAACAGCCTCTGTGCTTTGGAGAAGGATTAGAGATCGTTGTTCAGGGCTGACTCGACCTATCGCCTCGATTTCGATGGTGAAATGTGTTGATTGCTTGCCCTTCGGTGTTCTGTAGAGACGAGCTTCCGGTTCTTACGGAGCCAAGGTCGGGCTCGCTGAAGGTTCGCCTCAACTCGGTGGAACCTGTGTCAACGTCGGTAAGTCTCGAACAATCCCGCTCCCATCTTTCTCTTCATCTCTTCATCCCGGAATGACCAAACCTGACCACAAAATCGCATCACATCACACCAACTTGCCTTGCCTTCTGATCGCTCTCCGCTCCCAAATCTCAACTCAAAAACAACGTCCACGTGATTGTGACAATCCAGGATGCGTCCCCAAAAAGGTCATGTGGTACACGGCCGACGTGGCCGATAACCTTCGTAAAGCCCCTTATTATGGGTTCGGGGACGAGGCTGCTGAAGTGGCCATCCCGAAGTTCAAGTGGAACTATTTGAAGAAGAAGAGGGACGCTTATATCAAGAGGTTGAACGGGATCTAGTACGTTAAGACCGGGGCCGATTGTTTCGGGACATGGCTGACCAGAGTGATTTCGGTTGTAGCGAAAAGAACTTGGTCAACGACAAGGTCGCCTATCACCAAGGTTGGGCTTCGTTCGTCAGCAAGAACGAGGTCAAGATCACCAAGGATGACGGGACGTCTTACAACGTCAAGGCCAAAAAGATCGTCGTCGCCGTCGGTGGAAGGCCGACGATCCCTTCGGACGATGACATCCCCGGAGCCTCTTACGGGATCAACTCGGACGGGTTCTTTGAGATTGAAGAACAGCCCAAGAGGGTCGCCGTCGTCGGAGCTGGGTATATCGCCGTCGAGCTCGCTGGGGTTTTCCATACCCTCGGTACGGAGACTCACCTGATGATCAGGCACGACAAGGTCTTGAGGACTTTCGACCCTATGCTCCAGGACGTCTTGGGCGACTACATGGAAAAGACCGGGGTTAACATTCACAAGAACACCAACGTGAAAAAGGTGGAAAAGACCGAGACCGGGTTGAAGGTCTACACGGACTCTTCGGACGAACCCGTCGAGGTCGACGTCCTCCTCTGGGCCATCGGAAGGCACGCCAATACCGAGAAGCTCGGATTGGAGAACCTCCCCAACATCGAGCTCGACAAGCAGGGCGATATCGTCGCTGACGAGTACCAGAACAGCAACGTCGAAGGCGTCTACGTCATCGGGGACGTCGCTGGGAAGGTACTCCTCACCCCCGTGGCCATCGCCGCAGGGAGGAGGTTGAGCAACAGGTTGTTCGGACCGGAGAAATTCAAGGACGACAAGTTGAGCTATGAGAACGTTCCTAGCGTCGTCTTCAGTCACCCGACCATCGGGTCGATCGGGATGACCCAGCCCGAGGCCGAGGAGAAGTTTGGAAAGGACGATTTGAAGATTTACAACACGAGCGTTAGTTTAGCTTCGATCCTCTGACCGAGGCGTATCTTTCAAGGGGTCAGGAAAAGCTGATGATGTATCGTTTCATCTGTTTGGCGCGACCGCAGTTCAAGGCCATGTCGTTCGCCATGCTCGAGGAAAAGGACAAGCAGCCGACCTCGTACAAGTTGATCTGCCAGGGCGAGAACCAAAAGGTCGTCGGGTTGCACATTATCGGAGAGGGAAGTGACGAAATGTTGCAAGGATGTGAGTCGAGTCGATTCGAGCTCGAGCGATGATGGTCTCGCGAGCAAGAGGTTGCTGACAAGTTTGGCTGTTGTGTCGTTGCGCCTCTCAATAGTCGGAGTGGCCATCAAGATGGGCGCCACCAAGGACGACTTTGACTCGTGTGTCGCCATCCGTGAGTGTTTCTGTGGGGGGGGGAGATATCGTCTAGTCGATCGGGGATGGCTGATGATTTTGTTCCCGTCCGGCCGCCCCGACCTCTTGACCTTCCTATCCGCTAGATCCCACCTCTGCCGAAGAGCTCGTCACCTTGCGATGATCGTGCCCTACGCAGTGGTGTGATGTGGATGTAGCACGTCTAGTCTAGAAAGCATTGTTCTTATCGAAATGAATGAATGAAACTGTCGTCTGTTGTTATCTGGTTGTTTGGTCGGGCTCCTGAGTCAGCATCGTTTGTGGCCGTCGGCGACGGAGGGGAAGGAAGGGGGACTACGTCAGTTTCGGCGCGACGCGACCGACCTCTTCGAGCGAGCGTGACCAAGCTGCGATAGTACTTTTCTCATCGTCACCTTACCTCGGCATACGATCACATCGTGTCGCAAGCTATCAAAGATATACCTCTCTTCGAAATCTAAAGTTTGGCCCGCCCTCATGGTCACTACACGATCCGGCACCGAAGCCACACCGCCTACCGAATCCGCACCTTCGACCCCAACCAAGCAGAGCCTCGTCAAGAAGTCCAGCCTCGCGAAAATGAACCAACAGCAGGGACAGCAGGTCATGAGCAGCAAGACGAACAAGTCGAAGGAGAGCGTGGATGTGGATGCTAAATAGTCGGTCGAAGCTCGAATGTTGAAGTCAACAATTTGAAGGAGATCGGGGGAGGGCTGATTCTTGGGGAACTCGTTTGCTTTTTCCTGCGATACAGTGCGGTGGATCTTGCGTGAGTTCGGTGCGTATACCTAGTATCCGGATATCTGACCTGACAGACGTTATCCATTCGTAGCACACTTACCACGGATGAGAACGTCTTTCTGTTCGTAAGTAACCCCCCAACCCGTTTTCGCAACCTCGTCATGTCATGATTAAACACTCATCCACCTTCTTCCTTATCGTTATGCCCATTTCTAACAGGTTCCCAACCTGATCGGCTATTCCCGTGTCGTATTCGCCGCCTTTGCGCTCTACTACATGCCTTACCACCCCAAGGCCTGTACGCTATTGTACGGAGTGTCCTGCTTGTTGGACGCCGTGGACGGGATGGCGGCGAGGGCGTTGAACCAGACGAGCAAGTTTGGGGCCGTCCTTGATATGGTCACCGATAGGTGAGTCCGACTTTCCTGCGCTCTTCTCTGCTTGATATGAAATAAAAGAGAAGAAGAGAGGGAATCTTGGCTGACCGAGTTGGGGTTCGAATGTCGGCTTCTTTAGGTGCACGACATCGTGTCTGCTCTGTTTCTTGGCTGCTGGGTACCCGCGATACGCCTTGCTCTTCCAAGGTCTCATCTCGCTCGACTTTGCCAGTCATTACATTCACATGTATTCGTAAGTCCCAAGTCTACGCCTTGACAAGTTCAAGAGAGCCAGGGTCATTATAGAAGGGTGAGCTGATGTGAAAGATGGTCTTCGTTTTATGGTACTTTTTTAGGTCCTTGGCTACCGGCTCGACTAGTCATAAGACGGTCAAGAGCGATGTCAGCCGAATCTTGTGGTACTACTACAACGACAACGTAAGTCCATCCCTCGTTCTACACTCTGCGCCGTTCTACGCCTTCTTACCTTGGCTGACTTCACACGACCGCCCCTCGAACGAATCCCACAGCGCACGCTCTTCTTCGTCTGCTTTGCCAACGAACTCTTCTACGTCTGCCTCTACCTAAACAAATTCTACACCACCCCCTTGCTCCCTACCTCGTGGATCGACTGGCTCATCCACACCTTCTTGGGGACCACGGCAGCTCACCCTGAAAAGGCTTGGCGGCTGATCCACGCGTTCCCCGGATGGACCAACTTGATCGTCTGGTTCTTGAGGCAGTTGACTTGGCCCCAGATCTTGGCGGCCGTCACAGGCCCGATCTGTTTCTTGAAGAACGTCATCAACGTCGTCCAATTCTGGAAGGCTAGCAAGATTGTCAGTCTAGGATTCGAGATGACTCGTTTGGTGATCGAGTTCGACGCTGATAATATGCTCGGTATTCCTGTTGTTCGTCATCGCAGCTGGTCGGACTCGACTTGCACGAGCGCGCTGTTGCCCGTTCGAAGAGGGAGTAAGGCGACGAGAAGTGGTGAGGGATGGTTTTGAGCGAAGGGGAACAGAGGTTTCAAGGTGAAGAAGAGGGAGAATAAGTCGGGGAACGATCTTTCGAGACTGGGATGTGTATATAATCTCTCGAGACCGCATAAAACTATACCGTCGACTTTTACACTCCGTCGTGGACGCCCTCGTTTCCACAATTCTGGAGCATCGATCATGAAAGAAGGTGTCACCAGCGGCATATGATTTGAGACGAATGATGTATAAAATTTCGACACGCTCATCAATCGACTCCATCCCGACGACCACTCCCCGCGGAAAAAGTATACAATGATCCCCTCTCTCCAGCACGACGTGATCGCCCCGATCTCCGACGCCTCGTCCGTCCGGCCGCCATGGCACGATCCGATCAAGACTCGACACCTTAGATCTCGGTACGGTCGGTACCCCTGAGCAAACCAGTCCTCCTGGCGGCGATGAGACCGGCCTTCTGACCAGCGCTGGCGTAACGGGAGATGGTCTGCATAGAATCGTAAGAGAGTCAGCTCCCATGCATAGAGTGCATGATATCGATGTTCGCCTGCTTACCGAGGCCTTTCCGATATGCTGGTGGTTACCACCTCCGTGAGGGTGGTCAACGGGGTTCTAAGTAGCAGAAAATCGATACGTCCAGATCAGCACACGAGACTCGAATCCTGCAAACACGGGACGCAATCGCTCACCATGGCAACACCTCGAGTCTTGGGCCAGTTGTTCCTCTTGCCCTTGGCCCTGAAGAACGCTCGTCCGGCCTTCAACAAGGGCTTGTCAACTCGTCCACCTCCAGCGACGATTCCGACGGTAGCACGGGCCAACGACGAGATGGTCTTTTTGGAACCGGAAGGCAACCTGATTCGGGTCTTCTTGTCCTCGACCGAGTGTCCGATGACGGTAGCGTAGTTACCCGAAGTTCGAGCGAGCGAACCTCGGTCCCCGGTCTTCTCCTCGATGTTGCAGACGATGGTACCCTCGGGGCATTGTCCGATGGGGAGGACGTTGCCGATGTTCAAGGTGGCCTTCTTTCCGCAGTAGACGAACGAACCGGTCGAGAGACCCTCGGTGGCGATGAAAGTCTCCTGTCGGATCTTGTATCGGTAAGGGTCTCGGAAGACAACGGTGGCCAAGGGGGCACCTCTGTGGGCGGGGAAGGAACAGGAACGTTAGAAATACGTCGTTTTGCAAAGCAAGACGAAGAGGTGCAAGGCAAAGCGAGCTTGGTCGTGTGTGCGTGATCTTTGCTGCTCCATTCGTTCTTCTCGTCCCCAATTGATTTCTGCTCTTCTCGTATGTCCGTCTCGTCCTCTTTTCCAACACCCATTCCATGCACGTCCCGCACACACGACTCCGGCTCCTCCTTGCCCGCTCTCCTTCGTCGCCTCGACCCCGATCCAGCAGACTCACCGACCAGTGTCGTGGATGATGTCCTTGACAATTCCCCTGATGTATCCGTTCTTCTCGGCAAAGTCCAAGGGCCTGAGCTTGGCAGGGTTCTTCCTGTTGTGGGTGTGGGCCTTGAAGATCCCGCCGGATTTACGTTGGTTCCTGATAACTCGCTATGTACGTAGAATATGTGTTGCGGTATGTGGTTCCATGGCAAGCATTCAGAGGTGACGTTTCGAGATGAGAATATGTCGACGGGGAAAAGGAAAGATACGCATAGCAGAAAAGAAAGAGATTTTCACGACGCAGTCTCGACGTCAGCCTACGTCCCTTTCGTTCGATCCGTTTCCTATCACAAGCGTTGTACTGACACCCATTCTGACTTCTTTTGTGGTTGGTTTGGCGTTGGTCGACGGTGAACACGGAGGGAAGAAGAGCAGGAGGTCGTGGTTGTCAGCCTTGAGGATATCGATTGACCTTGGTCGAGATCGATCTGGACCGTTGCGAGGCGTGGGAGCAGCAGCAGGGACTCCCAGCCAGACTCTCTCGCCCACCCAGCACCATCCAGCAGCAGCCAAACCTCGCGCTCAGCCAAACTGCCCCCCCGCCTCTCGCACACACACCAAGTCGAACTTTGCTTCCGACGCGCAAACCGGTTGGTCCTCGTCTCTCCAGTATCTCCTGCTTCCTCGCCAAAGAGAAGCGCAAGCTCAACAAGCGCGACGCGTCATCCCTCCTCTTCCGGTTTCCCACGGGTTAACTCCGATCGCAACAGACCCATCGATTGTAACTCGACCCGATCGAAGGCGTCGTCACGAATCGGCATGCATCGATTCGAACACACTGCATCAAAGAGGGCCTGCTAAGCTTCGAGCGTTCAGGTTAACGAGCTATCCCGTTCGAGCGTTCCTTTTCCCGACGACCATCTAACCGCCGAAGCACGAAAATACTATTTGTATGGCTCGTATCAACGTTTACTCGATCTGCCTCGATATGAAAGCTTCATGACACGAATCATAGCAATAGACGTTTCGTCCAAATCTAGGTTCGAATTACCGATGTTTCACATCATCGCAACATTAAAGCTTCTCGACAACTTTGAACAACCTAGTCCGCTCCCCGCTCATTCAGATAAAAGCTCGGCATAGCACTACTACACGCAAAGCCGTCCGTACGGACGGCGGTTGACGTGCTGCGAAGCGTATCTCTTTGGCGTGATCTTATCGTCGTATATCCGAGCTCTTAGTCGTAAAGGGTCAGAAAGGCGTGAAATGGCACGCGTTTTCCGCGTTTCACATCTGCATCTGCACGTCGAGCGATGGGAACCCTTAGAGTTGTGATCGTGGCGACGATACGCGTCTGGCTCGTCCAAAACATATACTGTACATATGTTACAGAGGCTGACGTCCGCGAGACAATCTTTGTGCGATGGCATGCAGGTCATGGGGCAGTCCCGGCACACGATGACGAGAATAGCGACTGTTTCAGGATCGTCGAGATTGAGGGTCCGTCGAAGCTCAGGATCAAAAGCCTGGGCGCCGCAGGAGCGTATTTCAGGCCTGATTTGGGTAGGGCTTCGGTCGATCGTTTTGGTATATGGGGCGAAAGGCAGACACACGAGCGCGGGTCTGGCTGGTCTTCGTGCTGGATGGTACTGCTTAGAGCCTTCGTCTTCTGAACTGTGGTTTCGCGTCGATCAAGGCAACGAAAGAAACCGAGTATCTAGTCGAGAGGGAGCAGGCAACCTTGACGAACTGTACGATCTGATTGGGAGATTTTGTCAATGATTTTCTAGCGAAAACGGTGTATCTACGGTTCATGGGCGGTGCTATGTCATCTCGAAGCAGGAACTATCAATACGCGGAGGCAAGAATTCACGGCGATTCGCGTGTTCGGGGGGTTGATACTGCAACGCGGGCGGGTCCTGTGATGGAGGAGCGGAGGACATCTCCAAAGTCGATCATCTCGAAGTCGACGCAATGCGGCACAGTCCCCATTAAGAAACCATTTTACAGGAAATCATCAGAAAGTCGACTGGACGGTCGGATTCCAGCTACGTTTCGTGATTCGCAGCGGTTGAATCAGTACCGCACGCATTCCTCTCGTTCATAGGTCTCTAAGTTGGACGGTTCTGAAGGAGCTGGTTCCCGCTTGACTCGAAACGTGGGAGGCGGTTCGGCGCAGATACCTCGATTACTCGATGATGGCTCATTTAACTTTTACACTGTGCCTTGTCGAGGCCCATTAATGTGAAAGCCATCTGAACCACGGCAAACGTGGCTAAGGAAGCGTACAGATACGAACGCTACGACTAGGTGGGGACATCACTCACACTCAAAGCTAGAGGTCACGGTCGCATGCCCCATGAATATGAGATTCTAGCGTACGACTCGGACCGTTTGAACGGTCGAAAGAGATAGGATACGGCAAGCGACTCGACCGGGAAACAAACGACATCTTGTGATCGTTCTAGAGAGAATAGCGTCGGCGTTTCCGATCGTCGAGAGGTCTGCTTAGGTGCTCTCTGTCCGATGAAATGGAAGATCCCCGAATCAATATCTCATCGACCAGTGGCAACGCAGGGTTGTTTGCTATCAGCTTGCTCTATGCTAAATCCTCGCGTGTAGGTATGGGCGCTCTTGCCAAGGCAAATTGTATGGTGACGAGTGAGGGACGGAAATGACATTGTTGGCTCGATCTTGACATTGCATCTCATGCAATTGAGTCGCCTGTCTCAGGATTCCACGCGGATGGTGTAGCGGCTGCCCGCTTCTGAAGTCCGTCTTTACGTAGACTCCCATTCTCGTTCATCCATCATATCGAGAAGACATGACTTGGTCGCTTCGAGCAAGCTGCATAGCGATCATGCTATCGCTACGAATTCATACATTTTCTAGCGCAGGTTACTATAACGACATGCTAAGCTCTACGACTGACCTGCGAGGAGCGGATGGGCTCGAACACAAATAAAGAAATTTCCATGGAGATCGCGCGTGTTCTGGTTGATGGCCCGAGGTTCGTGCCTTGTGAAAGCGGCGTACTTGACCAAAACTGCGTCGGGAATAGTAATCCATATCGATTTGCGGCGGTTAAGATACAGAAAGCTGTGAAACGACGAATCGAGGTGTGTTTATGACCAGATGAAGTCTGACATGCGCAGTTGCGGCTCTTAACGCACACATGGACTCGAGACGGCCATAACGTTAGATCACTTTGACGCTGTGTACTGTAGTGGGTCCGTTGCCGATAGCGCTTGGTTGCTCGCGATGCAGGATTCGCGCGACGAGATCCTGTTGTCAATTATCGTTGTACTAAACAGAAAGGTTCCGGTGAATCCTTTCATGCGATAAGGGGGTACTGAACACGATAGATCATTCTCGCGGTGTCTCGCGTCTGATCTGAAACGCGATGATATCGAAGCAAGGGCCGATCGCCTTTCTCGTTGTAGGCTTACGGTCTCGCTTTGGAGCGTAGCTTAACAGTCGGTCTGAGCAACCTTGGAGGCACCGAATAAGGTCGATGCTTTGTTGTGACCGCCGGCAGACTCGGAAGCAAGCTGACGCTCTGTTTCGCCATGAAAGATTGATTCTACTGGGCTCGCCCGTCAAGGGCTCGAGTTGACATATTTTTTTCGCCCAAGCGTGACGGTTCGAAAGCTGAAGGACCATGTTGCCTGATATCGACATGTAAAGGCTGATTACTCGGTGCCAGGAACGTTCCCTTATTACGGGCAAGTGACGCGCTTCGAGGGAAAAGAACTGATATGAGCGGAAATATACATCGATTAAACAGCACAGAACGGGCAAAAAGTTTTCTTCCTCGGCAGGGCTCGAACCTGCGACCCCCGAGTACCGCGCAACATCTAAATTGTTTAACAGCTCGGTGCAACTACCACTGTGCTACGAAGAATCAGATGTTTGCTGTTTTGTGTTTTTACAACCATACAGAAAAAACGAAAGCAGGCGTGTCACAAAGTAAACAACTTTTTCGCGCGCGCGTTCGGGTGCCACGTCATCAGGGTACAACTCTTCGCGCTTGTGGCTCGCGGCTTGTGGCTTCCGGTGCCGCATATGAACGAATCGACCCAAAACGATATAGTAGATTCAGATCGAGGCGGTTCAAGAGTTGCCAGTAGTCAATCGTTCATACCACTTGACAACAAAGGGTTGAGCTTGTTACCCAATGTTCCTCGCCAATCGCAAAGGCCAGCTACTTTCTGCGTCGCCTGAAACCGCTCTTCACAGTTTACCTGTTTCGCGCGATGTGACAATTATAAGCATAGTTGTTTTCGACCACACATCTCGTTTCCGTTCAACCGTTCTCCATGCACTAATTTGTGTTCTGTATGTAAGGGTACCACCCTGGGCACATTTGGCTTTTAGAATGACTTGGTGGGAGGCAGGCCGACTCGTTCGATCGGTCCGTATGTTCAAGCCCTGACCAGGAGACATCGCTGCATAGGCAAACATCTAAAGGGTCGCAGGTTCGAGCCCTGAGTACGGGAGCTCATCTGTTGGTACAAGGGATCAGACTCCAGTTTCGGTCTGTCGTCTGAACCAGGAACCCCATATCATCGCCTCTGCTCCGCAAGGAGATGGGTGTATGCTGTGTCAACCACCGATTTGGCAAAGACCTTGGCCTCAACGAGAGGGTTCACAGCGACAAATACCTCCCCATGGAAACCCTACGTCAAACAAGGTGCGCTGTTATACGCCAGTTACTCCTCATGAAGGATCACGCCAATTGAACCTCGTCATATCATAGCTCCTCCTCGTGGACATTACGATGGTCTAGTCAATCTGGTCAACATACAACGCCCCAAGATCCAACGGCACTTATAGGCAGCCGAGCAGGTGTATATCGCATGGAGGATGATTCCGCACCATGATGATTTGTTGATAATTTACCCAGCGCAGGACATTCGAATGTTCTCAAGTAAAACCGTCCTCAAAACCTCACCATCTTCGACGCCAAAACGTAGCGCTCACGGCTGATACGAAGTAAGATGAAGGCCATTTGAGGAATGAAACACACTGGCCGTCTCCTAGTGGTGACACGGAGGATCAACGCATGAAGGTTTATTGTCAGGACCTCTTTCATAACGCACGGGAGGAATCCAGGGATTCAGGGACTGGCTACGGGGAGAGGCTCGGCTGAGACTTGCTAGGCTCGCTGAGCCCATTACGCAGGTTGATTTCGGTTTCGGTGGAAGCAGGAAGTCGAACGATAAAATTTGGAGTACAGCGATGGCTTCAGGTAGCGGGGCGCGGTCAATTGCTTTCTACAGCTCATGGTTGAAGAAGAGATCCATTCCGACGCGATCATCTTGATCCGTTGGTGCTTGTCCCTGGCGATTTCAAGCTGCATCTGAACAGGTGAGCCTTGACCTGGTGGGGATCCTAGATTTTGCTTCTAACCTATATGTGGGACAGATGATGTGACGTTAACCCAAGTGTAGCTGCATTCGGCTATTGAGCAATTGAGGACAAAAGGGCGAGTAATGGCAAGTTCCTTGCCAGAAGCGATTTTCTGCTATGTGTTGGACATGGATCTATCAACCTGAAGGCATCGACGAGATGCTGTCCTTGTTGCCTTTCCCAATCGACAGGTCGAGTCTACTTCACTTGGGCCAACGCGATGAAGCTGTCTGACAATTCAACAGTGCGACGGTACGACAGGGGCCAAGTTGAGAAATGACGGTCAAACCAGGTTATTACGCTTCTTGTCGATGACGATATGCTACGCGTGCTTAGCGGCATAGCTCCTACTGTATGAGGAGCGTTTGGTGCCCATGGCTCATCCTGCGTCTCGTCTTCCTCTTTCCGCATCAATCGATCTTGCAGTCGATCGGGTTGTTCGTCGTCGTAAGATATCATCCGCATAAAACGCAATACATGTCATTAACCACAAAAGATATATATATGCCCACATCACATGCAACATCGGTCCGAGTATGCCTGAGAGTCCAGACGGAGCCTAGACCGGCCTACTTTTTCTCCTCCTCCTTCGCCCCTCCTTCCTGTCCTTCCATACTCATAGCGATCGCCCTCAACATCGCCTCGTCCTCATCCTCATCCTCTTCCCCTGCACCATCACCACCCGCACCTGTCGGAGCCGCAGCTTGGTCCATATCGACATCATCATCCGACAACTGACCTGGCACCGAGATCGGCCCCGAAGTGTCGGATGGCATTCCCGTAGCGGGATGAGGTGGAGCTTGGGTAGGTTCGGACGAGGTCGGCATGGCGGGTTCGGGAGCGGCGAGTGGGTCCGTCGGGGTCTCGGTAGGGATAGGAGCCGGGGCGGAAGTCGAAGTGGAAGAAGATGCGGTCTCGGTTGATGCGGCAGGTGCGGAGGCTCCGGCTTCTCTTCGTTGACGTTCTTCTTCCTCTTGCAGAGACATCCGAATGGCCTATATAACAAAGACGGTCAACCGGTCAATCGAGTGTAAGGAACGACGGTGATGCGCGCGCCGACACTCACCATGGCCAACTCCGGGTCCATATTCGGGTCGATCCCAAAATCACCCCCCGCACCACCTGCACCCCCTGCGGCCGCTCCGAAATCACCATCTTGGTCCATCCCCTGGGCCATCCCAGCTCCACCTTCACCAGCGAGGATAGGAGAGGTAGCGAGCAGGTCGGAAAGGAGGTGAGGACCGGGTGGGATCGTCACCAGGTTGCTGAACGACGAGGATGATACCGAATACGAGTCGGATATCAGTATACGATTCCACCCCTCGACGACGACGAAGATGACGAAGACAAGCTCGCTTGTCAGAGCATGGGACGCAGAGGATAGACTCACCAATTCTCGCTGTTCTGCGTGGCCTCGATAAACTTGGACAACACCGCCTCGTTCTCCATCCCTTCGTCCCCAAAAAGCACCAGATCCACAGCCACATTGTTCTTCTTCAACTTCTTCCCCAACTTGACCAAAGCCTCTTCACTTGATCCCTTCCCCGCTGCGTCACTGCTCGAACCGATCCCAGTGCCGAAGGGATCGACAAGCGGAGACCCCAGGAAGACGACGATCCTCTGACGTTGATTCTTGTTCTCCCGATGTTTCAGAGCCAACTGGGCCACGTTCAGGGCGGTCGGGAGGTCGATGGATCCTCCGATGTGGTTGGTCTGGAGGGCGGAGAGGACTTTGCCTAGGTCTTGAGTTAGGGTCGCTAGGACTTGCGGGCTGGGTGATTGCACGGAAGCGGAGGATGGGGGATTAGGGGATTTGTAGATTTGATGATTTTGTTGATTCGAGGAACGAGATTGAATGTCACATATGAAAGATAGTTCAAGCCACAGATCAGCCACCAGCCCCTTTCACCAGCACATCCATTTCCATAACCACAACCACAAACGATCAAAAGAGATCGACATCTCACGAAAATGAACGCCAAACTCACCTCTGTCCGGCCATACTCATCACCCCACACGTGTTCTCGGGGTTACTCCCCGTCTTGGAGTTGAATACCATGGAGACGGCATCGTTCTGCGCTTGAAAACGGTTCGGTGCGTAGTCTCCGTTCCTGCAAGGGAAAAGCGATGTTGATGTAGGTATAAAGTGAAGGGATTGAAGGTCTTAAAGTTAGCGAAAGGCGAGCGATTGGGCGAGAGACAAGGCTGGTGGTAGTAGTAGGGGGGGGGGACTGACCTCATGTACTCGGAGTTGTCGATGCTACAACGTATAAGAGATCAAGAGCATGACGACAAGTTCAAATCAGCGATCGGACGTCGGACGTCGATATGAAGAAAGCAAGGCGAGATATTATCGAGCTCCGAACTTACACAATCATGGTAGCTTCGAGAGGCATGATGGGCGGGTCGTCTTCGGTCGTTAGGAGGTCTTCTGGGCTGGTGGTCTATCCGGTGTTTGACAATCTTTAGGGCGGGTCGGGTCGTAAGGCTTTCGACCGATGCTCGCTATGTTCGATACAGTATGCTCGATCCTGATATCCTGAGCTGACCACGACATCGGATCGCTGCAAGTTGTGGTCGAACGCTTCATCATCATCCCCCGACCACACGTCATGTTTATTCACAGAGTACCAGTTGCAAAGACACGTCATGGGCCCCCCCCTAACGATCAAGCTTATCAAACAAGTTGCTCCTGTTCCTGCGGGGCAACCGGACCGCGTGGGATGGTGAGAGGGGGGCATTCCATTGGCCCGGACAACGTCACTCGACCGCCTCGTCATCGCCCAAAGGTCCATCGGTCGACTTGGAGTCTCAGCTCAACTAGTTCCCCTGCTGCTCTTGCCCACGCGCTGTCACTGCCAGCGAGCCATCTCCCAGCGACAGCCCATGGGTGTCGTCGTCACCGCTCTCGACGTCGATGGGCCCATCGATCCCCAACCTCGACCTCGACCACCATATCCATATCGCAACATCGATTCTCCTCATATCCTACAACGACTCTCGTCTTGACTCCTGATAACCAGGACATAGCTTCGTATCTCGTGAGTACCTGCACCTTGCCTCTGCTCGAACCGTCTGCGTTCGGAACTAGCACGTCCCGACCCTAAGAAGCTAGCTAGGCTGACGCATCATACTTCGTCCTCATCTTCGTCCTCGCACAACAGATCCTTCATCTCATCTCTTAGAGACCCCCTTCAGACCCTCAAACTTATAGATAAACGTGAGTACATTGCCCCTAGCCGTCGGTCGTATGAGACGAGGGATGGGGACAAAAGGCAGGCGGCTCGAGCAAGGGAGGATGGATGGGGGACGCGTAGGCTGCGGGCACATCGGACGCTAGACAACGACGAGGACGACCACACGGTTCCATAGGATGATCGAATAGATCGAACGTGGTCAGGTGGAGATCACAGTCAACTTGATCTTCGTCTCGCCGCAGCATCAAACAGGAAGATGAATAGGGAGAGGGCTATGCTGCACCGCCTTTGCTGGACGCCGATCCTCCGTCCTCCATTCTCCATCCTTCGTTTCCCATCTCCTCTTCCTACTTCCTACTTTCTGCTGTTCTTCCTCTTCTTCTATCCTTCGGCTTGCTTGTTGCTGGAGATGGGATATAAGCTGACCAATACCCCCCATACCATCACTTTGCATACCTTGCACCATTCTCCCTCTCTTCCCTTGATTATACGATCCCAATTGAATCACGTCTATCGTGCCTCATCGTCAATTTCCTCAATCTCCTGTTAATCATCGGGTCGATATCCTTCCTTCGTCGTCGTCTTCGTCGAATATCACATCACATCATATCGACACTCGAGTAGAAATCAGCCAAAATGTGAGTCTTACCCTCTTCGTCTGGACTTAGTCTGTGCTTGTCGATCGAGGTTTTGGAAGGGCATCCGCTGATCCTGTCCTGCTCGCCTCACGTGTCATGTTTCGTCTACCTCGTCCGGCCATGAAACAGGGATGAAGAAGGTGAGCCCCCCCCATTCTCCTTCCTCAATAAATACGAAAAGACACAGTCCAGCTCACCTTCACCTCACCTTCCCCTCTTTGTGTTGTAATGCCGCAGTCGCCGCCCTCGTTATCGACAACGGTTCTGGTATGTGCAAGGCCGGTTTCGCCGGTGACGATGCTCCTCGAGCCGTCTTCCCGTGAGTTTATACGGGGCGTGTAGGTGTGTGCGAGGGTCAATGTGATGGGATGGCTCACCTCGCTTTGCTCGCCCCTGCTCTCCGCTGCGCTCGTTGCAACTCGCGCAGTTCCATCGTCGGACGACCCCGACACCAAGGTGTCATGGTCGGTATGGGTCAAAAGGACTCTTACGTCGGTGACGAGGCCCAGTCGAAGCGAGGAATCTTGACCTTGAAGTACCCGATCGAGCACGGTATCGTCACCAACTGGGACGACATGGAGAAGATCTGGCACCACACTTTCTACAACGAGCTCCGTGTCGCTCCCGAGGAGCACCCCGTCCTCTTGACCGAGGCTCCCTTGAACCCCAAGCAGAACCGTGAAAAGATGACCCAGATCATGTTCGAGACCTTCAACGCCCCCGCATTCTACGTCTCGATCCAGGCCGTCTTGTCGTTGTACGCTTCCGGAAGGACCACCGGTATCGTCCTCGACTCGGGTGATGGTGTCACCCACACCGTCCCCATTTACGAGGGTTTCTCGTTGCCCCACGCCATCTTGCGATTGGACCTCGCCGGACGAGACTTGACCGAGTACCTCATCAAGTGTCTGATGGAGCGAGGATACCCCTTTACCACCACGGCCGAAAAGGAGATTGTCAGGGACATCAAGGAGAAGCTCTGTTACGTCGCCCTCGACTTTGAGCAGGAGATGCAGACCGCCGCTCAGTCCAGTCAGCTCGAAAAGTCGTACGAGTTGCCCGACGGTCAGGTCATCACCATCGGATCCGAGAGGTGAGCTTTTGCGTGTATACGTCGGGTCAAGTGAGCTCTCTGTGCTAATGTGATATGTTTTTTTTTGCCGACCTTGCGCGCAGGTTCCGAGCTCCCGAGGCCTTGTTCCAGCCCAGCTTCCTCGGTCTCGAGGCTAGCGGAATCCACGAGACGACCTACAACTCGATCATGAAGTGTGACTTGGACATCAGGAAGGACTTGTACGGAAACATCGTCATGTCCGGAGGTACCACCATGTACAACGGTATCGGTGAGTGCAGTGCAGTGCATCACGTTTGTCGAAGGGGACGGTTTGGCTGACGATGGATACGTGATGTGATATATGTGACCCTGCAGCCGACCGTATGCAAAAGGAGATCACCACCTTGGCTCCTTCTTCGATGAAGGTCAAGATTGTCGCTCCTCCCGAGCGAAAGTACTCGGTCTGGATCGGAGGAGTGAGTGCTAGAATCGAGCGTCGTAGGATCCCCGGGAACGACATGCTAACCCATCCTATTTGTTGCGTGTCCACAGTCCATCTTGGCCTCGCTGTCGACCTTCCAGCAGATGTGGATCGCCAAGAGCGAGTACGACGAAGCCGGTCCTACCATCGTTCACAGGAAGTGTTTCTAGGCGACATGATCATCAAGTGTCGTTCTTGGGTCTCCTTCTTTCTGCGTACGATTGTTCTCCTTCGGCTTTTTATATATATAAACCCTCACCAGTTGTGCCTCGTTTCTTAAACCTTTCTTTTTATGTGTGTCTCTGATCTCGGGGTGTCTTGTAAAGTGCCTCGGTGGATGATGATGAAATTATTCAAAATGAGTCTAGCGGGCATGGACAGGAGACGATCTGTGGCCTGTGGATGACGTTTCATGATCTCTTGCGGTCTCGGATCTTACTGCAGCAATGACAAGAACAGATTGCTGCGCCTTTGCATTCGATTCAGATTCCCCTGTATCCTGTTCGCGTTCGTCGTTAGAGCGAGTTCTATATTACAGGCTCCGACTTGAGAACCATGTGAATGAGGTTCGCAACGATGCAAATCATGTCTCAATTCGATGCGAAAGCAGGCCAGCCCGAGTGCGCGAGTGAAGTGATAGATGTAAGTGAGCGCGCTCGCGCAGAGGACCCAATCCCTATGCAAAGGGTGAGGACCCAGATGACCCCATTATCTCAACAACGAGCACGGATACCCCCATTTTAGACTCCAAAAATGTGGTTAGGTGGTCAAAATGAACATTTTGTTGCATTTCCGGTTTTCTGCAAATGTGTGACTGGTGAGTTATAGCCACTTAGAATCTTTGAATCTATTTCTAGACAGCTAGACAGATTTGCAGAAAACCGGAAATGCAACAAAATGTTCATTTGATCTTCTTTACCAACCCTAAAACAAGAAAAGTGGGGGTATCCATGCTCGTTGTTGAGATAATGGTCATGTTGTGCATATCTTGAGCCAAATTCAACCTCCCCACGAACGACGCCTGACTTTGAGCGCGGCCATCGCCGAAAGAGCAGCAACGGCCATCATGGGCATGGGTCACACACATTTCTGATAGCTGACAGTTTCCATCAACTCAAGATTTTCTCTATTCTCTATATGCTCTTCAGCTTCGATCAATTCGTTTGCTTGAATTGCTCGGCACTCAAAGTGGAATAGCACTCAGCATAGGCGGATCTTCCTTTAGTCGAGGGACTAAGATATTGCTTGATGGCGGCGTATTCTCTGGCCTAGTCGTTGAACGGACGGTCGAATCTCTCACTTGAATACCGGTCAGTACCGTAAAGGTCCCTGCCGGAGTTGTATATCAGCCGGGAACTCATCTTGTATATCGTGGTTTACTGCTATAGCTCGGCACGATCACATCTCCGGCTGGCGAAACGTCCTGTCCCATCACTGTCGACTTACAAATCTTGATCACCCAAACCCATCACCTTGTTCTGCCATCAGTCCGATTGCTCGGACATCAAATTCGAATCGCATTCAACGTAATTTTCGCTGGAACGCTGGAAGTCCCGACTTCCGGCCTGGCAGGCAAACGTTTGACGGGATTGCTCGTTTCGAATACCAAAGGTGCGTAGGTCCAAAGGACCCTTTCGGGTTACGGATTGTCGACGTTGATTTTCGGCTGCCAGCTCATCTCGCATATCGTTACCGACTGCCATAGCTCGACGAAATTCCCTCAACCTCCCCCCGGCGAACTTCACACAATCACTTTCGCTGTCAGCTGACGCATCCGGCAACGAACCGACTGCGAGTGATCGCACATCGCTAGGATGGCGGACACGAACGATGGGGATATCAAGGCCGAGATCGGCGTAGTGTGTTACTTGGCGAGAAAGGCCACCAAGGCTCAGAAGGTGAGTGATTCGCACAGAGCGTAGTCATATGTGTTCTTTGCCCTATAATTGTTAACATCGATTGGGGCATATCGTAGGAGCTGGAGAGCGAGGAGGAGTTCAAGTTCACGAAACTGGAGTACGCCGCCATCTACGCGGACGGTAGCGAGACCCCTCAAGTCTGGGCGGGACCGGTTCCAGCTCTGTACCTCTGGGAAAGCCGACTGACGAGTGGGATTCTACGAGGGGATCAATCATTGAATCACTGGGAACGTGAAGGCGAAGGAAACGTGGTCTTGAGTGATGACCGCATCACGCGATTATCGATTTTGGGGCATCAGATTCATCTGCTTAGGAAGGCTAAGCCTGTGGCTGTATCGGTTCCCATCGCTTCCGGTAGTGGAAGCCGGGCCCATATCCAACCCATCATCAAACCGGAGCCTGTAGATGCGGCGGTCCCGATCGCACCGAGCAGCGAGCCTGCTTCCACGTCGAGGAGGTCTTCAATCGAGGTGAGTTTAGCGTCAATTCATTCGATATCATTTGCGTAGCTGAAGACGATGTCCCCCTTCAGCCGAGGACCATGCACAAGCCTTTCCAGATCTCGGGTTACTGGAAGGTTCACAGAAAGATTCTGGCGCCCGGGGAAGAACGGCAACCCGTGACTGCAAAGACGCTGCAGGAGCCGCTAGTGTTCAATGATTGCATTAGGCTCCTCCAGAAACGTATCGAAGCGTCTGAGCTGTTGGATGAGCAAGCTCCCTTTCTGTGCCTGCCGTCCAAGTTTGGCGACGGATTTTGGGACCAACTCGCCGCTTACGGGGATATTGAGCAGCTTGAGCAGTTCACCGAAAAGCGGGTCACCCGAAAGAAAGTCATCCAAAAGCGGGTCGCCCGAACGACCGCAGCCCACAGTGTGTATAGCGCAGATTTTAGCGAAGAGATTATCTCTTGGAGCGACATCATGAAGGAATGCGGATTCCCCGATAACAACCAATTTAAGGAGAATATGTTCAGCAAGTACAAACGGGTGGGTCACCTGGATCATCACTGGTCGCGGCTCACGCTCTAACAACTATGCCATAGTGGATGATTCCCCTTTACAGCTGGGAAAAGCACGAGTGGTACTTGCTGACCTATAGCGGAGGTGCCATCGCTGCATGGGATCCGCATGGTCGCTTCCCGTCTCCGTCTAAGAAAAGTCTGCCTCGGTTGTCTCATTTCGGACTGGAGCTAGTGGGTTGGGCGGGGTCAATACGCAGAAATCGTGCTGATTGACGGCGTTATTATTCTCACTCAGTGGGCCTTACACGCAAAGACAGGTCACGCGGTTGGCGAGCCGGAGACTGCGCCTATTGACTTTCTGTTAGGAGGAAAGCCTTTGTCAGTGTCAAAATCCGGCAAGGCGAATCGATGCCTTCCCGAGGAAGACGGATTCCTCGTGTTCCTCGCTATGGTCGGACGAGTCGCGCATCCAACGAGACGGATAATCGATCTCAGTTGGGTCCAAGCTCGTATGGAGGAAGTTTGCCAACGGATCACTGAGGATCTAGAACGGGGTGTCTTGTCCGATTGGAGCGACTTTTTCCCCGAGGTCCACTCAGCAGACGACATGGAGGACGATGAGAGAAGCGATGCTGCTACGAACATTAGCGATCACAGTTACTGGGACACGGACAGCGATAGATGGTAACGACAAAAACACATGACAATAACGAAACCTAGCGAGGTTTATTGTAGACTCCGTTCTTATGCTTCTCGATTGTACGACGTCACATACGCGCTTGATGCGCTCGAATATCCTACTGCATATAACACTTTCGTGCAAGAACGATGCTGAAAATGCAAAATCCCTCTATGATCATATTGATGAACTCTCAAATAGACCTTTTCCTTTTCTGGACAGATGTGCATCTATCTCTCTTTGCTGCGGAAGTTTATCTTTATACACCAGTATGCGATGCGCATGTTACATGGAACCAGAATCGTCAATTCGTACAGTGTCGTTATGTGCAGCCTATCATCGTCGCATTGGCCGCTTAGTCGGTATTGCCAGCGGGCCTTAGATTGAGAACCGCTTCTGCCATGATCCTGAGGTATGCCTCCCGAGATTCTTGTTCAGGAATGATATCTTCGGCCTACACACGTAGAGCGCGTCAATGGAGACTCGAAGTCGGGTGATTTAGTTTCAAATGCTCACCATTTTGATCGACAATAGATCCGGCAGCTTGGTTGATAGCCCGTTCAAGGTCTCGGTTACGTCCGTGTGCCACCCCAACACGATATCCTGCTCGACAGCCTTTTGTGCGCTTGGCGCTTGGTATCTGCGACTGGGAGAGGTCTGCTCGGATACCAGTTTGTTGTAGAAACGAATATGTCGGTGTAGCTGAAGTCGCAAGAGAACGAGGAATTAGACGTGCATAGCGTGAGCTGATCCATGTTATAATTTACCAAGATAAGAATGGCTTCGATGGATTCTATCAGAGTCGTGACAGCCAGATCAGCGACATCCGAAATATTATCGACCACTCAACTCTGAAGGCACTCACGTAATGCCACACGCGCCTCTGTGGCAGCACCAGTCCTTCGAGTTACAAGTTGAGCCTGCGCCAAACGTCTCTTGCGGGCATGCGAGGTGTCGCTAGAATCGGTTTCATCCATCAAGGCGAGCTACGGCAGCCATCCCAGTTTAGTCTCTTCGTCTATGGGAACATCCTGGTTGCAACTGACCTCGTCCAGCTCGGCGTCCGACAGCGCGGCAGCGTCCTCCAGAATCAGTCGTGTCAAGTTGATAAACAAAGATGTCATACTGGTGTATCGACCGATGTTGTCATTAAGTGTAGCGACCAAGTCATGCAGGTTGACGAAGGAGACTGGCGAAATGTGCCTGTTGTCAAAATCGTCCTTCCGTTGTGCGTGACCTGGCCCTGACTCACCACCCCCTCTTGTAGCCTGCCGGTCATAGCCAAGCTGACCCCCGGCGATGATGACCGGCTTGAGCTCGTCTCCCGACCCGGTACAGTCGACATAGTAGCCGAGTAACGAACGCTGCATACCAAACACGACGGCTCGAACTCGAGCTTCGAAGCGTGTGCAGTCCTCAAAGACTGGCAGACGGCGCGAGACGGTGTCAGCGCGAAAGACGAAGCAGGACCAGGTAGTAAAGCCACCCACGTTGTATTGACTCTGATAGAGACTGCTCTTCAGCATTTGTAGGCTTGATCTGCGAAATCATATCGTCTCTTGCCAGGAACCGGACAGCCGTCGAACGCAGCACCGCCGTGTATCCCTCCAACACCGATTGCGAGTTCTACACAGATATGCTTTCTTGGTGAGCAGGAAAAAGCGATGTAACGCCTCCTGGAGACCCACCTTGACTAGCTTGCGCTCGTCGTCTGCCAGAACAAACAGGAAACGAACGATGGTCTCGAGTGCTTCCAAGCCCAGGAGGGACGAAGTGAGCTCATCTTCCCGGAAGAAAGGGAGCAGCACTTCAGATTGATCCCTCGCGAAACGAGAGGCGGCCTGGTCAAAAGGAAAATCGTCCATCAGCTAGTTCAGGACGGGAACTGGTCGGGAGACCCACCTTGTAACCGCGGTCTCCCGCCTTGCCAGCTATCGCAACAAGCAGCTTCATGACCGGGATGAAAGCGCGGTGGTATCGCTCCGAAGATACTATAAGCGCTTCCAGATTGACTGCTTGCGGACACGGTATCAATATCTTGCAATCCTGTGCAGTCGCGTAAGAGCTCACCATTTGCATTTTCTGTTGGTCGTGCTCCCAAGAAGCGACATGCTGCAAACGAATCAAAGACGCCCGACTCGATTAATGCCTCAGCTCCAAAGGTGGACCTGGCAATCCTGCTCAAGACGCCCAGCTGGGTCTCGAGCACGAAGAGCGGATTGGCGTCGACTGTTCCGTCGTATAAACACGGATTTCAGCGCTCGCAGTGCTGCCTGTTCACGCAATCACTCACCTGCTTCGGCGGAGAACACTCCCTGGATGGACGCATCCGCCACACGAATTGCAGCCAGGAAGTTGTGCAGCAATCCCCTTTTGCCGAGACTCGTAACGATGATGTCCATCTTGTCTTCAAAGACGGTCAGCAGCTCGTCCAACAGGGTATAGCTGACGAGTTGCCAATCGGCGCTTCCGTTCAAGGCATCCCGTCCGATGATACCTAGCAGACGCTCAAGGTCGAAGTAGACGGGTTGCAGAACGGCGGCGATCCAAACTTCAACGTCCGACTTGGCAGCTCCCGACTCCTCGGCATAACGGCGAACGAGTTCGAGGTAGTTGGTCAAGGTTGCGTACAGCAGACCCCGCGCCAACTCCGAGATCTCGCTGTCCGCGATGGCCTGGCAAACAAAGCCTAGAAGTGTCTGCAAGCGATCGACAGGGGGTCCTCCACGCTGCTTGCCATTCCCGCTATCGGCGGGTCGTGCGAGCAATCCAGAGATGGACAACAAGACCGAAGCAAGGGTTTCGGCCTTTTCGGGGATCTGCATCGTTGGGCTCAATAGTGCTGTGAATGTGGCAGTTGACAACTCGAACATCGTGGCCGGTCCGACCACCAACGCTTCATCCGTCATCTCTTTAGTCAACACGGCTGTCACTGCCGTGGCCCACGCCTGTAAAGCCAATCTAACAGCATTCGCGACTCGAGCAACCCCATTTTGACGCTGCAAGTAGGCGAGAACATCGTGCTTGTTCTGTTCGAGAGTAGCGGTGCGTTCTGACGAGGGTGCTTTGCGTTCGAGTCTCTCGATCTCGCTTCGTATGGCTGATTCGACTCGAGGGATGGCGAACACCGAGGCACCCTCGGCGTCCACGCCTCGGAAGGCATTGAAATTGATGCGTTCGAACCCGGCGGCATTGGCCTCGGCCGTATTGGCTTCCCATCGGAAATCCAGTCCAGCCAGGACGGTCATAGCGAGCACCCCCCGGAGCGGCTGGAAAGCGGCAGAGGTGCCGTGCAACAGACTCTGGATGATGTTTACGGCCTCGCTGGCAGTGGGTTCGAGCATGTGAAGCTCGAGCGAGGCGAGGTCCAATACCTGAGCCTGGTAGGCTAGGAGGTATACCATGTCCGCGGCGGTGCACTCGAGCGAACTACCGTTGCCATAGGTCACTAGAGCCTGCTCGGCGTCGCTCGAGATTTCCGGTACGACAGGCAGGTACACGAGCGACCGATGCACGAGGTCCTCCTGAGATCGGAGGTAGCGCGCGGTGACCTGAGCCGTCGTATCGCTTTCGGCCAATTGTCGCAAGAGCTTGATGCACTTGTATCCCAACTCGGCCGAATCGGCGACGATCGAGATTGGGACATCTTCTTGCGCTCCAGCGTCGAGAGCCGGTAGAGCTTTCGATAATCGATCGACGATGACGTGGAAGCATGTTCGAGGGATCATCTGTTCGACCTCGGTGACTTTGCCGTCGGCGATGATGGTTCCTGCCTGAACTCCATCCCGGAGCAAAGTCTTGACTAGTCCGCGGGCGTTGGCACCGGCATTCAAGAACCCGAGCAAAAAGTGTGCAAAGGTAATCTCGGATCGTTCGGGGAGCGTGTTTTCGAGGAGCAAGTCGACGATCTGGTTCTGTTGAGTCCGTTTAGGCACTCGCGCCTCGATGTCCTTGTCATACGCCGCGACCAGGCGCGATGGCAAGATGTCGATCTCAACTGTGGCCTCGTTCTGGCCCCGCTCCAGACGATCGACGAAGCCGGCCAGTACGACGTTCGAATTGGGCGCGTCCCGAAAGACGTAGGCCAGGATGTTGCCCTGGATGGTCTTGCCGCCAGACAGGAAAGGCACTCGCATGTGAGGAGATCGTCCGAGGTCTCGCAAAAATGAGATGGTCTCTGCAGCCAGACCGTCCGAGACGTCGACCGAGACGTATGAAGCGATCTGGGTGATGGTCTGCGGTTGATGCGCGAGATGCCAATCGACCGGATAGAGATTGCCCGAAGCCCATTGTAGATCTTGAGCCGAGTACCGACGCCTCAAGCTGGGCACGATGACTTCCAAGAACATTGCTTGACGAGCCATGACGGTACGCAAGACCTGGATCGCCCTGAACGAGATCTTGGCGAATAACGACGAGGGAACCGATTCAGGCAACCCTTCGGCCACGCGGATACGAGCGGCGGTGAAGACAGCCTCACGCAGGGTCTCGTTACCTATCACCCGTCGTAGCGCGAGGAATCCCGGGTGCTGTTGCAAGTTGACGAGCCTGTCAGACTCGGTCTGATTGATAGGCGTAGCGACCCGCACCGGCTCCAGTAGGGCATCGAGGTCGAGACCAGCCATCGTCTTGGCAACGAACTGCAAGATGGCTTCTAGCAAGGGGTATCCGGCGGCCGAGTTACCTTCTTGAATCATCGAGATGCAAGCGGCAAACACGTCATCCAGGATGTATTCGGTCATCTTGCTTCGGATCCGCCTGACGGTGGTGGTCTGGTTGACATCGGTCAGATTCAAGTAACCATCCTCGGGATCGGATACGGCGATCAAGACGCTGAAGAGGCGGACCAAGGCGATCCTGTTGGCCGAGACCCCGGCGACCATGTCGTGATCTTCCAGACTGGTCAACCAGGCCGCATTGGCCTCGTCGGTGCTCATAGCGAATCCGGTCGCCGGTCGAGTCGCTTCGGCCCGCTTGTTTCGGGGCAACACGTTGAGCGTGTCGAGCGCTGACAACGACGTCTCGGCGAGACCAGGTGACACGCCGGTGACCTCGAGCGAACCGAACGCCGACAGGGCGGCCAGGGCAGCGGCAGCGAGTTCGACGGGAACGTTCCGGCTGACGATGTCCCACAAACGTTTCACGGTCTTCCAATTGGCGTTCATCTCGCCAGCTACGCGAGGATGCCACTTGACGATGAGCGCGAGCATCTCGCAATAATAGGCCAAGCATCGAGCGTCATCGGGTGCAAGTTCCGGGTCGGCCAATAGGTTCACCTCCATCCCTTTCGAGACGGCCGCCGCGGTACTGGCCAGCCTGGCCACCGGGACCTTGTTCTTGGCGACGTATTCAAAGTGTTCATGGATCCCGTCCAGGTTCAGGTCGGAAGATTCTTTGACCAGGTGACTGTACAACCAGTAAGAACCGGCCGATCCGCTGCTGATGGCGATAAGAAGTCTGCACAGGAGAGCCCTGTTACCAGCGCCCTCGGCATCGCCGACCAAGTTGATAAACTTGGAATCCACCCAGAGCTTGTCGTCGTGATCGAGCGGAAGCTCCCTGTAGACGGTGATGACCAACTCGACGAGCTCGTTGAAATCCTGCCTCATCTCCATGTCAGCTTCTCCCTTTGCTCCATCTTCATCCCCGTTCCGCGTCATGTCCAACGCCTTGACCTTGTCTTCCTCCCGATTCTTGAGCTTCTTGATCAACTGGAACGACCCGATCATGTCCTTGACGAGACTATCGATCTGTCTGAGCGCGTCCCTCTGATACTCTCCCTCGACCTCGGGCCAGGTATCCGTCATCCCCAGAGGTACCCCTCGATCTCTCTCGTCCTTCTTGACCTTGCTCCATCCGCTCTGGGGTATATCGAGGGAAGGGACGAGCAAGACCCGGATATACTTGAACGCGTCGTTCTCGATGGCCTCTTGGATCCGAACCTCTGGGCCACGGTCCAGAAACTTGGGAAGCTTGACCTTGTTCCTATCGTGTCGGTACGCCTTGTCCACGAACAGACCCCAACCGAGCATGAGGACGTGTGAGATCCACTCTTGCTTCCATTCTTGGTGGATGATCTGTAGGTCGTGGCGTCAATCAGCAAATGAGATCTTTCACTATCATTTCGCCGACACGAGCGGCACGGTACGAATACCCACAATCTGCGTCGTCACGATATCCAAAATAGCTGGATCTTCGATGTAATTCTGGACCGTCTTCTGATAGACCCAATGCACCTCGAGAAATCAGTCTCGGATGCCTTTTCCTCTATTTACTATTCTTTTATCACGACTAAAACCCGCAAACTCACGGGATAATGCCCGAAAGCTTCATACGGACTCTTATCATCCGGGTTATGCTGAATCGCAGCGAAGAATGCGCTGTTTTCCAAAAAAAAAAAAACGCCATGTGCCACATATCATCACAAGATCAGCCTACTGGCCCCTAATCCAAAATCACCAGCCTCGACCTCTGAAGAAATCCAAAGAGAAAGAAAAGGATCCCTTGTTTTTACGTACCTTATCATCATAACCGTCGTCCCATCCAAGACCTCCCTGACTTTCAACCACTTGACGAGCGCCAACAGGTGATTCCCGACCAACCCCCCGCTCGCCCCGACCTCATAGAGACATTTAGCCAGCCCGCGCATGTGGGACCGACAACCTTGAATTCGGAGGGCTTGGACGTCGGGTTGGAGTTTTGTCGTCTCAGGTAATCGTTTCCCCGTGTTGGGGAGCGTCTCGTCGATCCATTGGGAGAGGAGTGAAAGTTGTTTGAAGATCCCATCGGGGAAAGCTTCTACGGAGATCTTTCCCCCTCCTCCTGTACCTCCTCCGTTTATCGTGGACGAAGTTTCGATCTCGAACCTCTTGAGCGTGTAGACCTCTTCGAAAGCGGATTCGAGTATCGTCTTGGTAGCCGACATTTCCAACCCTTGCCCAGAAGAAGAAAAGATTGAGGAGGTAGGCGCGCCTAGTATCCATTTCAAGCAATCTAATCGGAGAGAGATTAGGTCGTGGAAGAGCTTGATGGAAGTTTCTATGGGGGACCTTCCGTGGTTGAACGATGGTTGGGATGAGGCGGAGGTTAAGAGGGAGAGGGAGAGGGGTTCGGAGATGTGCAGGTAGGTGGAGAGGAAGATTGTCGAGGAGATTAGGGTGGGGCTGAGAGTCTTGTCTATAGAGGTTTCGAGGTGGGACAAGACCGAAGCGTCAATATAATAATAGGACGTAATACGAATCGATCGCCCAGCTCAAACACCTAAAACAGCTTGAGCTAGACGATAGACTAAAGAACTGTGAGACTAACCTTGCTCGATCTTCTGCCTAGCAGCCGGATCCGGACCTGGGAAACCTAACGGATACCTCAACCACCCCATCGATATAGCGTCGTCCAGCTCTACAGCGAGCGCGTCGGCCAGCTCGTCCGTCTCTACATGATCGAGGGAGAGCAAGAGTTGATACAGTTCCCCGGGAGCTTGGAGGAGGTGGTCTTCGTACGTCCTTTCTTCCGACGACATCTCGTTTGAGGTGCTAGTGAAGAAAAGTAAGGAAGGAGAAGGGTGGTGGTATATGGCCGTGAGCGTCTTTAGGATCGTCCCATTCGGCTGCGATTTCTTCGTGTTTGCTTCAGGCGAGTGGAATTGCGGGATTCCCTGATTATATCGGGAAGATTGTGGTGTTCTTCCCCCTTCTTTTTTTGCTAGTGTGACAGTCTTTGGGAAGCAGAGATCGACCCGACGCTGCTACTTATGAAAGAGTAGGAGTACTACTGTACGAGTACTGTCGAATAACAACATTCGTAACTGATACCTGCCGAGGGCGAGGATTAACGGACATCGGGACATGATCTCATCTCCCCGTGTGATTGTGCGAGAAAAACATGATAATGTCCGCGTCTCTCCTCTCTCCCCGGGCAAGCTTTACCCTAACCTTTAGCCGAAGATGACGATTCTCAATCATCATCAAAGGGATCGTAAGATGGCGTAAGAGGTAGATTAACTCAACGATAAATGGAAGAGCAGGTCACCCAAAGAGACCGGCTAAGATAGACTATATATATACAGACATAGATCCTATAATAATAACGAGGAAAAAACGAGCGCACCAAACGGCTCCCGAACCGACCAGGTAATCATATCAAAACGCCGTCAGATCCGCAATCGAGTGTCGATCAAGTAAGACGACATGCTCCGAATCGCCCGTCCTCGGGTCGGATTTTCATCTCAAGTACGACCACAATCACAATCACAACCACGATCCTCTATTCTGCTGTCGATTTCGGGGAAGTCGGTAGCGTCTACAAGGCGAACAAACTCGACATCGTCAACACCCCCCGCTGGAGGTAGAAACCGAGATCCTAAACTTATCAGGAATGCCGTACTCGCACTGACCGCTCTTGGGGGTGCGGCGGTCAGTCATTTTTACCCGGAGTTGTTGGGGTTGTCTTCAGCCTCGCCTGAAGAGGCAGGGAAGGATGGGGAGGGTGGGAAAGGGGAGTCTACGAGCAAGACTTTGTGAGTTTTATGAGTGGTATGAATGCGATTTTGGGGAAGACGCTGTGCTGTATTGACACATCACATATGTTCAAACTCGTACTCATACTCGATTGTTCGTACGCTCGTCAACCAGTACCACCCGGATTAAAACACGCCGAGGGATCGTCGAACATGAACACGAACGTCTTTCCCCTCAAGCCGCGGAGAAGATCCTCACGCAACACGCTCAGAGCCGCACTTTCCCTTCCAACTCTTCTGGTCCGACGACGAAACTGAAACCTAAACCTACCTCGGTCGTGAGGTTCGATACGAACTACGTCGAGTGTAATGATCCGATCGAGGATCGGTCGGCGAGCGATTACTTGGAACGGAGCAAGTTGTATGCAGGAGGAGGAGTTCCTGAAGGCACGGACCCGGATACGAAGGGGACGCAGATGGATTTGAAGGGGATCAAGATGTTTAGCATCATCGATGGGCATTCGGGATGGGCGTGCGCTCAATTGGTCTCGCAGACGTTGCATCCGATGATCCTCCTCTCCCTGAGAAGCCTTTACGCTGGACATCCTCCGCCGACTACTTTTACGCACAGGTTGGAGGGGAGGAATATGAGTGCTTCGGCGCATTTGATGGAGTACATTTCTTCCCTGGGGTCCAAGTTGTCGGCGGTGGTCCCGTTCCTTGGTAAAGGTAACTCGACATCGAATGCCGGAGGAGCTGAAGTTAATCCGACGACGATGAGGGACTCGATCATCTCGGCTTTCCTCACCCTAGACGACCAGATCATCACCTCGGCCACCCGCCTTATCCCCCACATCCCCACCCAACCGGGCAAACCGAACTTACGCCCTATCGTCCAGCCTATGCTAGCACCCGCCGTCTCCGGGGCCTGTGCGATCAACTTGTTGGTGGATGAAGAGAGGGAAGAGGTCTATGTGAGCAATACGGGGGATTGTAGGGCCGTCGCTGGGGTTTGGGTCGAGCCGAACCCCGAGGAGGGCAGAGAGGGAGGGTGGAGGTGTGAGGTTTTGAGCGAGGATATGATGGGGGATAATCCGGCCGAGGTGGAGAGGTCAGTCTTTTCCCGGCGTTGCTGCTTTTGTCGTCGGATAGCCCAAGTTTGGCTGATCAGGGTCGAAGCGCGTATGTTTGGGTTTGGTGTTGTACAGGTTACGGAGAGAACATCCAGGCGAAGATCCGATTAAGCGTGGAAGGGTGCTGGGGAGGTTACAGCCGACGAGGACGTTTGGTCAGTCCATATCCCGGCTATTACCTTGAGGGCAGATCGAGGCCCGAGTGAGAGGGTTGTGTTGCTGATACTCCGAGCTGGACTTTTGCGGGGAGAATTTTAGGTGATGCGCCGTTGTATAAATGGACTTCGGAAGAGTACACAGCGTGAGTCCTTTTCCGGATTTCGAGACCGACTTTCGACAGTTTGGTATGGGTGCTGAATTTTTCCCGTCCAATTTTGCGTCTGCGCTCTCTAGTCTCAAAAAGATTGCCCCAGAACAGACGCCCGTCAAGGACGACGAGCTTGCCCGGACTCCTCCTTATGTCACGGCTAAACCGGACGTGACGTACAGGAAACTGACGAGGGGTAGCAAGGAGGGTGATATTCGGTTCATCGTCATGGCGACGGACGGACGTGAGTCGGACGGTCGTCTGACAATTGGCCGGCTGGGATCTTGCAGCTGATAATGGTATCGATCCTGACATTGACGCCCTCGCGCACAGTCTGGGACGCCATCTCGTCTGAAGAATCAGTCGCCCTCGTCGCCTCGTTCCTGAGCAAACCTCCCGTCAAGTCCTTCCCCCGAGCGCAGATCACCTCGAAACTCTTGCCCCAGACCGCCGAATCGGCAGCTCGGTACCCCAAGAGCGAGAACCAGACTTCGGGAGATTGGGTCTACCAGGACAAGAACGCTGCGACGCACTTGATCAGGAACGCTTTGTCTACGGGGAACAAGACGGCTTATGAGCTGTTGAGTATGAAGGCGCCGATCGCTAGGTGGATGAGGGATGATATTACGTGCTCGTGAGTGTGATTTCTCATCTCGCCAGGGGGATGTGAGAACTGAAAACTTAAGGATAACGCTGCACCGCAGGGTGGTCTTTTTCGGTGAACAACCCGGTATCGAACCGGTTCCCGCCGAGGAAAAGTTAGGAACTGCCTCGCAATTGGCTGCCCTACCCTTTCTGATTGGAGGCTTGATGGCGAGAAGACGGTCGCCAGCCGGGATCGCCGCTTGCGCTCGTGCTCATGCCGTCTCGAGCCGTACCGCAGTGTCACGGAGATGGATGAGCGCTCGACCCGTTGGTGAGGGTCTATCAGGTGAGTGTCAAGCTGGGATGGTCTCAAGGGTCTACTTCTTAGCTCGTCAGCATCGCAGCCGGTCCACGGAAAAAGATGACCTTGGCGGCACTGAACGAGATGCGTCAGAAGAACATGCCTATCACGGTCATGACCGCGTACGACTACCCGACAGCGCTCCTCTCTCATCGGTCCGCCGTTGACATGTGTTTGGTGGGCGACTCGCTATCACAAGTCGCACTGGGCCATTCCACCACGACCGAAATTACGCTGGACGAGATGATCCACCATTGCAAGGCCGTGACGCGGGGAGCCAAGGCGCCGTTTGTGATTGCCGACCTGCCTTTCGGATCGTTTGAAAGGAGCGTCGAACAGGGTGTGGCGTCGGCCATCCGGCTCGTCAAGGAGGGTGGCATCGAAGGGGTCAAGATCGAGGGAGGAGAGGAGAACGTGGCGCTCGTCAAGCGTCTCACCGAGATTGGGATCCCCGTCATGCCCCATCTCGGACTACAGCCGCAGAAGGCCACCTCGCTGTCTGGATACATGGTCCAGGCCAAGACGTCGGATTCGGCCGAAAAGCTATACGAAACGGCGGTGACGATGCAACGGGCGGGCGCGTTTGCCTTGCTGCTCGAGGCCATCCCGCATCAGATCGCCGCGTACATTACCAAAAAGCTGCACATTCCTACTATCGGTATCGGCGCGGGTCCGCATACCTCGGGTCAGGTCTTGGTCGTCACCGACGTCCTCGGACTGTACCCGACGGAACACGACCCCGAGGCCGGTGAGGCTGCGGTGAAGGTGCCCAAGTTCGTTCGAAGGTTCGCCGAGTTGGGCAAGGAATCGAGGCACGCAATCGAGTCGTACGTGCAAGAGGTGCGACAGCGGACGTTTCCGGCCATCGGCCCCGAGACGTATCAGATGAAAAAGGATGAATGGCAGGCTTTTTACGACAAGATGGAGGGCAAGGCATAGGCATGTGACGACAACTAAAATGTATCGACCTTGTTTCCTAATCGATTTACAACACGATTCGACTATGCATGGCAATGAGCACATCTATAAAGAACTATGTACAGGTCGTCAGCGAGCGAACTTATCGTCGATCGCCGTCGTACAAGAGCGACGCGATTCCGTATCGTACAAAGAACGCCATGACGCTGCCTAGGAATTGCAGCCACATGATGGTCATGGTGAGCTTGTCCTCGCGCATCGGTTTGTAGACCAGGATGAGCGTGTATAACGTGAGATTGGTGGCCGAAACGATGCTCTTGCCGTCCTTGTCGTACGTTATCTTGGTAAGACCCAACATCGCGAGCAGTTTGAGCGTAACAACGGTTTTGCGTTTGGGGGGCGAGGCAAAGACGACGGTCGAGGGTTGCAACAGGCCGGTCGCCGGGTCGAGCCTGAAGAGGGGATACGTGTACTGCTTAGCATAGGGGTCTCGATCGGAACGATTATGACGACAACCTACTTTGGCAGACGATGTCGCGGACAAGGCACGAGACCGAACAGCTGGGGTACGCTCAATACGAAGTTGAAGATCTGGGGGATGAAGAACAAGAGCAAGGTCTTGGAAAAGTGACCCTGGATCGCGACGACCGCGAACGCCATCCCGGCAAAATAGCAAAAGGTGTCCCCAACAAAGACTCGAGCGGGGAACCTGCAGAGAGATGGAACGAGGTGAGATGACAGCCAACCAACGATTCGTCAACGAGGGTGTTCTCACCAATTGTGGTAGAGCAACCCGAGGCAAACACCGATGAGCGGACCCATAAAGTAGAGACTCAGCAGATGCCGCTGAATCAGCTCTTCGCTTCCCCTCCTCAAAACCGGTCCACCCTCGAGCAAGACGAGCTCGTTGAGCGCTCCCGGCTCTCCAAACGCTAGTCTCGGCCAGATGGGCAGGTACAGGGCATCGTTGAAGGCGACCGAGAGCGCGATGACAAGGGCCTGTCCCACCTCGAGTCCGTTGACGCCGGCCAAGATGTTGATCCCGTTGGTCGAGAATGTCGATAGCAGTGACATGTAGATGTAGTATAGGGGGCCTGCAAATCACGTCGAAGCACAATCAGCAAGCAAGACGCAAAAACCTTGTCTACCTAGGCCGACTTACCCAGATTGACGGTATTGCCGAACAACCACCTGGCTCCGATCGGCATGACTACGGTAGTCAAACCACCTTCAGCATAGTAGACCATGAGCAAGGGGATACTGGCGATGATCGGGATAGGCAATTTATGTCGCCAACGAATATCGAAAACGTCATCCAGGAACCCGAGCAAGGTAGCGATCAAGAGCGATAGGATGGACGACAAGAACAGGGCGAGCTCTTGATGAGGAAACGTACGTCTCCCCACAGCCTGTTCCATGCGGAGCGATTCGAGGTCCCCGTTCTTGGCCGCGCCTTCGATGCCCCAGCCGTTGAGCGAGTCTTCAAAGTATTTCGAAAAGGGAAACGGGATGAACATGATCATCAGGCCGATATACCCTGCGGCGCCTGGCAGACCCATGCATTCCGGGATGACGGTCCCGTGGACGCCCTTGAGGAGGTCTAGCCCCTTGAGGTCTTTAGCGACGAACGCGTCTCCCATCCATGGGACCGCGTAGAGCATCCCTAAGAAGGCGACGATACTGAAACCGACGTTGGCCTCGAGGGCGGGGAAAGTGGGGGCAGGCAGCGTCCGGGTAAAGTCTTGTACGAGCGAGGGGAGTGGAAGTGTTGGCGATGTGGACGCAGCATAAAGTATCGGATGGAGGACGAGCGAGGCGGCGAGCGGTAACAGGATGGCAGGTAGCCACATGGGTAACGGCCGGGGCTCGAGCTTCTGGCCCACTTCTCTTGAAACACCGACTGTAGTCGAAGACGCCATTGGACCCGAAGTCGCAGGCATGGACGGCACGACCGAAGCGGCAATCTGCCACAGCTCTTCCAATCTCTCGCTCTCCTGCTGAGCGCTCAGTTGGACGACCGATTCCGACCTCTTCCTCGGTACGTTCCACGCCGTCGTCCCCAGATCCGTATCGCCCTCGAACCCACGAGGAGGTTCGATGTACGTCATGCCTTCGTCCTCATCTTCGTCCTTGTCCTGGTCGTCCTTCAGAGCTGGCTTTTTACTCCGGGGGGTTTGAGCAGGCAAGGTCGAGATCGATCCTTCGAGACCGACTTGCGGGGTGAGGGTCCCATTACCGCTTTGCCCTGCCCCAGATCCAACCCCAGAACCAGACCCTGACCCGGACCCGGATCTACCCGGCCGAAAAATGACAACCGCACCAGGCTCGATGGTCTCCTCATCCAGATCATGATCGTCCAAGCTATACGGCTCCACATCCTCCTCCTCTTCATCCAGATCATCGTCTTCTTGTTCATCCCCAGCACGGAATCGTTGAGGCCTGAACAACGGCGTAGATTCTTCGCTCATCCACCTATTACTGGGAGGAGGGGTGACCGTACCGACCTTGTACCTGGCCACCTCGCTGAACGTCGGATAAACACCCATGTCTTCGCTGACATGTCCGTGCCCCTGTCCGTGTCCATGTCCAAGGGTGTGCGTGAAAGAGGGACTGGAAGCCCCGAAATTGAGACTGAGACCGGTTGCTTCCGATGTTCCGGATCCGAGATCTCGTTGGAGAGATCTGGTTCGATTACGTTATCCGCGGTTGGAGAGGTACATGGTACACCTCATCATCATCACGAGTCGGAGTGGGGAACATCTTTCAGCTTCATCACCCCTAACCGTTCATCAACTCCGAACGTACCAACCCCCCTAGACGCTCAACATTCCGACGACAACAACCACACGATGGCCTACGGCTCGATCCCCCCTCCTCCAACCTCGGCCCCTCTCCCCACCCTCTCCTACACCCTGCCGGACGAACGCCGTCTAACCTGTTTCCCCGTGACGAGAGAGACCCTACCCGAAGGTGCAGGGGAGTATCTTTGGGGGTTGTTTAACGAGGAGTTGGCCAGTGAGTTCAATTTCTTCTCTCTGATCTGTCTTTGTCTGTTGTTATCGCTGGTTGTTGTTTGCTGTTTGCTGTTTGCTGTTTGATCGGGAGGAGATTTCTCCACGCCCCACCTCTATCTCTGCCATAAAAATGAAACTGACCCCCCCCCCCTGCTCTTCCTTGGTTCTCTTTCTTCATCCTATTTGCCATCTACACCTCATCCTACATCCTCCACCCTCCTCCACCCTCCTTCTACCGAACTGGACCGGACTATAACTATAATCAGCGGGAAAGACCTACCCGCAAGAAGCACCCGTCACCCTGCCCGACTTCCTATCTTATTTCTTCGGGGCGACTTGTATACTGGGGATCGTCTCTTCCTCTCCTTCCTCCCCTTCTTCCTCTTCCACATCGGAAGAAGAATGCAAGTCTGTGGAGGATCCGACGAAAGATTCCCCTTCAGAGAACATCACCATAGAAGAGGCAGTGGAGGGACGGGGGTGGGAAGAGTGTTTGGTTGGGTGTTATTATATGTGAGTATTAATTGGGTTCTTGAGTCTGAGTTTCGGGCGTCTTGGAGCTTTGATCAGGAGTGTGGGTGTGGGTGTGAGTGTGGGGAGTTTGCCACGCGAAACACTTTTTCGAAGACTCAAAAAAAATCGACCTGGAAATCTGGATACCTTAACCTCGGAACGGCGGGGTGACAAGTCAAAGTCAACTCGTCGTGAACTCTCTTCCTGTCTCTGTCCCTCTCTCTCTCTCTCTCGCGAGAAACTTGCACCTGGAAACCCTCACCACCGGCGAAACCTTGGAGTCGAGACCTTGAAACCTCGGAATCCTCGAATCTTCGAATCTTCGATCTGACCAACCCTCCGTGACTGGGCGCCTTATCAATCGATAACCCATAAGCTAAATCTAATGTGAAGCTGAATGAACCTCGATCTTGATCTCGATCTACGTTATAGTAAACCGAATTATCCTGGGCGGTCGTCACACGTAAGTCCGCTTCTCTCCCCTTCCCCGACTGGTTCCAGTCTCTCGACAGGTGTTTTCGGCGGAGAGGGCCTGCCCGACTCTGGCCTGTTCGACTCTGGATGGACCATAAGCATAAGCATAACCTGACTTTTCTGCTTCTGGTTGTTAAACCCTGATATGGGCAAAATCATACCCAAATCTGTGTCTCGTCAATCGCTGGTTTCTGATCTCTGTTGAATGACGATTTCGATTGCGAATCGGAATCGAAAAGCTTAGAACTGTGTGAGTCCCGCCTGCTTAAAGCGACCGCGCTGCGAATCGATTTGCATACCGAGCTAGAGGCTGATGTCATATGATTGGACATCATATTGCAATCCGCTCGACATCCTGGTCTTTTGCGTGATCGCGATCATTGACAATGTCGATATCGATAATCACATGACGCGATCATCACCGGACCTTGGATCTCGGGTTTCATTCACAACGACGTCGACATCATCCGTCTTTCGCATCTTCCTTTAACATCTCCCCCACGTCTCTCTTCGACGCCTTCGGTGTACGATGATATAACGTCATGCACATCTGGACGTTTGATTTTCGACGTCGATCTCGGGATCGGAATCGATATCTGAACATCGCTTTGTCGGCATTGGACGTACATCCGATCATCAACATGATCGTCCACGAATATTCCTGTACATTGTATATCGTTGTCGGACCTCGCAGAACGCGGGCTTCCTGATCGCACACAACACTCGGGGCATGAAGATTGGATTCACGTTGGCGAAATCGTACCTGATCTACGCTCCCAAGCTGGGTGAGTCCCTCAGTCTCTGCCACTTCCTTGCGCTTTTCCTACCTGCCGATCTCGTGCCGGCCGGAGTAGCGCGATGGGGTAGTTGCGTCAATGGGGAACGAGGTCGAGGTCGATTACGCTGACGTCGTTTTGCTTTCTTCTTCTTTGTTTCTCTGGCGGCTCAGGCTATCGAGGTTCCGTCTTCAACCTGGTCTACAAGAGTACGTTTCATATCCGCGTCTGCCGGACCCTGATTTTTCTTCTCCACGTCTTCGCCTACGTCTGCTGACCCAACCCCTCGTCTTCCCTCTTTTTTCCTGAACTTGAAATCAAACAGCCAACAAGGCTTCCTTGGCTATCTGGGACAAACTCGGGTTCAACCGTGTCGGCCTGATCCCCGCTGCTGGTAGGTTGATCACGGGTGAGAACGGCGAGGAGGAATACGTGGATGCCGTAGTAATCCACAAGAGTTTTGTATGAGGTCGGAGTCGTGTCGGGTTCGACAATATGGCGTAAAGCATAGGAGATGCATGGCATTTTTACAGTAAATTACGGACGAACGATAGACACCATATGCTCGGAAGATATTTCGAAGGCTCCTACAGTGCCGATACAAGCGAAGCGGACTGCCTCGCCAGATTCTACTCCTCGAAGTGGCTGAGATCAGCCGACTCGCACCACTCCTTGAATGTGGTCGGTCGACGTGCCAAGTACTGGTCCACCCAGTGAACATCCTGACCTCCAAAGACTGCGGTGCAAGAAAGGTAGTGGTCAATATGGCCCTGGCACGATCGTGGCCAGTCCGCTGGACTCACACCCAAATTCGGCCATGTATGGCCAGTTCTCCGACAAGTCGTCGATGATATGCTGCGGGGACCCCTTGAGCACCTCGGCAAACTTTTCCAAGGTGACCCTTTCGGCCTGGATCTCGATCCCGGCGGCTTGCCCGAGCTGCTTCAAGAGGTCCAACACGTGTACGTCTTCCCCAGAGACCAAGACCGGCCTGGGATCGTTCCTAACCTCCTCCCGCTCGATGACCGCCCGCACCCACAGGCCGTAGTCTTTGGGAATATCGATCGTAGGTAACGGTGAGCAAGTCTGCATATCGATCGGAGCGGGGAATTTCCAAACGCCCTCGTCGTCTTTGTAGATGTTGAGACCGCCGAGGACGTTGGTATTGTAGAACCCGGCTTCGACAGTCCGGAAGTGGAAGGAGGGGGTGGACTTGGCTCGTTCGAGGCCGTAGATGGCGATCTCTGCTTTGCCCTCGACTGCGTGGCGGAAACCAGTGACAGGCAAAACATTAGCTCTGTCGGGATGAGGACCAGCTGTACCTGAATGAGTCCGACTTACAGTGGTGGACCTGAGTATATTTGCCATCGGACCATTTGCTCGGACTGGGTAGAGAACTGAAGATGAAGAGGTCGACGCCTGCGGCAATGGCAGCGTCAATCATGGCTTTGCCTTCGGCGATTTCCTGCAGACCCGGCAGCCTCGCCCCATCAGCAAAGCCTTCCCTTTGCGTGTCTGTGAGACGCGGACGAGCAGAGAGAAGTACGCACCCTCTCTTTGTCGACGTGTTCCCAAAAGTTGGTCACGCACTGTCGATTCATAACAACGAGATCAGTCGACAGAGCCCTTCAATCAGAATTTCCGATCTCTCGGCAGCAGACCCGCTCACGAATACCACATCAGCCCCCTTGTAAGCTTCTCTCATGGCCTCCTCGTTCCCGGGTTTCAGATCGATCGAGATCATCTCGACGCCTAGCTTCTCCAGCTCAACGGCCTTTGGTTTCGAAGCGTTCCGCGTCAAGCCGCGCATACGGTAAGGTCGATCGGACGCTTGCAGGTTGTCCAGAACGCTTCGACCTTGGTTGCCGGTCACTCCGCCGATGACGACGAGGGGGGAGGTGGTAGCACTGGTGATCGCCATGATGTTGCTTTGCCTTTGTCTATCTGAACTTCATTCTGCGATAAGTGTGACGCCTTTCCTGCAAGTGAAACCTGGATCCTGCATCATCGTCGGGGCTGGTTTTATATCTCTCAACTCGCGCGCTTGCGCGGAAACACGGTTTCTCCGCCGATATTGGCCTCGCGATTCGTCATCTGCATCTGATCGCAATCCAGCAAATTATGCGTCCAGGTGTGCTCTCAGCATTTGCTTCGTCCAGGGGCAGTGTGGTCGGTGCGGACGCTATTCTAGGTGTTTCGCCAAAGGACTTTTACTTTTACAAATCCTTCTTCCCGAGACGTCCTCAATTCCATCGCTGGGAAATTGGTCCTGCTTCTTCTTCGACTTTTCCACTTTCCGCAGGACCTGTGGCACATGTTTCTTGTGTGGAGTTATTTCTTTCAGAAGGATCTCATCTCCGCAAGTGGACAAGGATTTGATGGCAGCCTAGATCATCTTGTCAACGGTGGTAGAGACGCCAATGGTAAACATGCTACTAGCCGTCATTCGGGTGAGTACCATAATAACGTCACGAGCGAAGAAGATACTGGTTGTCAGGCTGGGAGGTCAAGGGGAACGGCAAGATTGGCAAGGGTACATTTCTCGACGAGTGGACGACTTTCAGTCAGCCAGCATATACGGGGCGGAACTCTCTCGCTATTTGAATCGCGCCCCGGGCGATTCCCCTGCACAGCTAGTGGCAGTGGACGAGTTCATTGAATTATCGCCACCGATACGACAATATAATACAAGCAACTCATATGGATGGGGCATTTCGTCGGGCCGATTTTACGACCAGCAACAAAACGAGCCCAGATCCGGCGACCAGACCAGCTATGATGCTGTACAATCCTCCGTCCCCGATAGCGCTTCGAATAGGCGCAGCTACTTGCGACAGGACGCAACCCAGAATTCCTCGCGAGAGACCGTTCACGGCAATCACGGTGGATCCATTGCCCTGGATCAAGTCCGGTAACTGGCTTGATCAGCTGGGTATTGAGCACTTGAGAAGTGAGAGCTACGGCTTACCGCATTACAATCCACTAGATACGATGTTATGCCCGAATACATCAACCTGTAAGTTTTGATTTGAGTCTCAAATACCTCTCAGCGCGACCATCATTGTCGCGACTCACATCAGGGATGCACCCACTACAAAAAGACTGACAACAAGAGACGCCACGTGCATACCGAGCTGGGCTAGCCATCCGTAAGCTGCCAGGGCGAGGACGAGTGGCACGACTGCCCAGATGATGGCCCGTATCCTCGCTTCGTGCTCTGCACTCTTGCCAAGCGCCCGATCACAGAGCTTGCCTCCCACGACGCTTCCAATCATGCTAGCGATCCCGAACGGCATCTGGACGAGTCCGATCTTCATGGAATCGTACCGATAGGGGTGGCTGTCGAGACATCGTCAGCTCTGGACTTGCTCTTTCGGCTCAGCTGAACTGACCTTGATAATGTCTTGGTTGTGGTGTACAAGATGGTGTACTGCGCTGCAAACAAGATGCCTGTGACAGACAATCGTTACGATTTCAGCATCTGCCACGCGCCCTTATTTTTCGGATTGCTTCTGACCGGAGACGATCAAAACGGCAGTGTTCCGCGGCACCCGTACGACCGCCCAGACTATTGGAACGGGATTGACGTCCTGGATCTTGATTGAGGCTGTTGATCCCGATAACGATTCGGCTCGACTCAGCGCCTTTTGCCGAGCCTGCTGAAAAACTTTCGATCGTTCCTTTCTCCACGGCTCCGGAAAGGCAAAGAATCCGCCTAGACCGAGGCAATATATAGCGACCAGGAAATACTTTTGCGGTCGAAATGGGTGTGAGATTGAAGTCTAGGTCAAGGTGAATCGGTATCCCGGCACAAGGCTTACAAATGTCGATCTCCATCCCCCGGCCTGAAAGCATGTGGCATTAGTCGCTTCGACGGCTGATTCGGTCTGCCTGAACTTGCCTTGCCCAATGCGCCACCGAGTAGCGGTCCGATTGTCGGTCCCATGAGGGGTATGGCATAGTAGATGCCCATCTACGGGTCATCTCGAATGAGATGACTGTCTCACACAGCGTGAAATAATTGCTCACCTTGAAACCACGCTCGTGGGCGTCGTAACACTCGGCCAGGGATCCGGCGCCTAGGCTGAGCATCGGAGCGGCTGCGACGAATTGCAAGACACGCATTCCGACTAGGACATCTATGGACATTGCCCTCGAGGCGACGGCACTAGCAATGACTCCGAGCTGACGGAATATTGTCAGCGTCCCCCATTTCGAGCCGATACGATCGCTGAACCTACCGAGAACCCCAGCAAGTAGATTGGCTTGCCGAGGCGTGTTGAGCGATCAGCATATAGGAATCAGGTTTCGGGAAAACGATCGTCCACACACCTTTTTACCGACAAGCTGCAACGTGTACCGTATTCTGATCAGGCTCATTCTTGCCTGTACCGTATTAAGACTCACCTCTGCAACAATCGTCCAGAAGATGGGGCACAGGCCTTGAAATCTATTCCAACTCGCACAAGCTTTTCAGACTCGAACGCGGGTCACAAACCCAAACCGGAATCGACTTACAAGATTGGTAACGATACCGTCAACGCCATCTTACGATCGCTCGCCCCAAAATACTCCTGTATGTCGACCAACACCGGATTGTATAATGACTGAGAAACCATGGGTATGATCGACGCTCCGCCCACGAGGAGAAGTATGCGTAGCTAGTAGGACTGGTGAGCGATCGATCTGTGGATAGCAAACACGACCGAGGATCTGCTCACCTTTTTCCCATCAGACCACGATTTGGGATCGTCTTGCACCGGACAAAGCTCTATCGAGAGCTTTTCCAAGACTCTGTCCGGCTCTACCGGGCGTTCTTTCGATGAACAAGTTGACATTCTGGAGTTGGGCTATGAGACCGCGCAACACTCGGTTGGAGCAAGAACTTCGAGAGAAGAAACGTTCTTACAGTTTTCAATGATTTTCGATCCCCAGTCCAGGCTGCATGACTTATATGCCTAGAGTACTGCCATGAACCGAGATCGAGATACAGTAGCGCGGATGTAAACATGTTTCGGGATGCCGAAAAAAGAAAGCCACGATACAGTTATTCACTATTCACCGGGTCTGGACCGGACGACCGTTCGGGTCTGGGCTCGAGCGGGCAGTCAACTCAGACGGGTCGTTTCGGATGCATGATCTCATAGTGGGCCGCAATAAAATTCAACAGCATTTGAATCTTCCGACCCCTTACTGTAGAAACCCTTTTCAGACCCTTCACCTCCAAACTCTCTAGATCATGTGCACGGCCCAAGGGTTAAGCCCAGACGGAACACCCGCACCTAAACTCCCCCCCTGGCATCAAACCCTTCCGTTTTCGATCCTCTGGATGAACCCGTAGATCCGATCCCACATCCCCACAGGGTTGGTGTACATGATAAAATGCCCCGCATGCGGGATCATGGCTAATTCCACCCCTTCTTCCTGCTCGAGCTTGGGCAGGTAGGATAATGAGGAGAATTGTTCGCCGTACATGTACATCTTTGGGCAAGGGAGGGCGAGGAACTGGTCGAGCAGGCCGGGGGTGGCGTTGTCGGTCGTCGAAACCATGGATGTTAGTGTCGGACGGACGATATGGATGTTGGGGACTTTGGAAAGGAACCCAGCGGCGTAGATGGGATCGCCGTAATACCCGGACCTCTTGGCGCGATCGAGAAAGGCTTCGAGGAAATCTTTCGCCGCTCCATCCGCCGTCTCTGAATCTGAAGGGTATTGGTAGATCTGTCTGCTCAAGAAACAGTCTTCAGGGGCGAGATTACCCTTGATGTTCACGAACCCCAATACCCGTCCCTTCCGGCACTTTTGGGCGAGCAAGAGGGAGACGAGACCTCCCATCGAATGACCGACCAGGTAGAACGACGCCGAGCTTCCCAGGAGCGCGTTGATGAGCGCTTCGGCGACGTCTACGAGGAAAGACATCGAGATCCGGGTCGGGTCGTCGCAAGTAGACTCTCCGTGCCCAGGGCTGTCATAGGCGAGAAAAGAACGCCCATTGAAACGATCCTGGAATTGGATGTCCAGGTAATCTTCCTTTGTACCCCCGAAGCCGTGGAGAAAGACGATGGGCGGCAAGCTCCTTTCATGGAGATGGAAGTCGAGGTCGATCCGCCGGACTGTCGACAGCGAGATTTTGGTACGGCAGATTTCGAGGTCTAGGCGTTCCCGCGTGATTGGCGTGGGGGTGGTTGACATCGAAGGCGGGAAGTGGGACATGATTAGGTGCGTTCACAGAGTAGTCCTGAGGGAAATATCCATGTAGAATCCAGGGCGAGCAGGTCTTGTCAGCTTGTCGTTCCTTCATTCTATATACCTGCAGCAACTAGCCCTGCGTTTCTGATTCGAAGACGCCACACCCGCGCCACCTGCCCCGACAAACCCGATCGGTTCGGGATCCCGAAAGCGGGCTGGAGCGACATCTTCGGGATCCCGAAACGTGTTTTGCTTCCGTCGATCGATGTCGAACAAGTCAAGTCATGCAAGTCACATCACTTCGATCGATCAATCAAATCTCTCTACACTACTTCAGATTTCCAGATCACCATCTCCATACGACGTCCTCATCGGCATCCCGAGAACACCAAACTGAAACCAATGCAATCCCAGCGTCAAGCAAGCAGTAGCAGCTCTTCCACCTCGTCACCTCACATCCACGACGCTCGAAGCGGTCGAGCGTGCGACAAGTGTCGAATCAACAAAGTTCGGCGAGTCACCAGCAATAACGATCGACTCATCTGGTGTTTTCGTACACCTGGCTGACCGTTGTCTCCGATACAGTTGTCTTGTTGTCGACGTCTCGGATGAAAACCGGTGTAAACGATGTCAAGATCGGAACCTCGCTTGCACCTACTCGGCTTCGGCCCCGGTAGATCCTCGGGCTATCAAACGCAAACGACAAGAATCCTCTTATGCTTACTCTTACTCGAATAACCCACCCAACCCTCTTCAATCCGGTACCAGCAACAACAACAATAACAACAATATCAACAACAATATCAACAACAATAACAACAACAACAACAAGATCAATGTAAAGCCGCTCGACCCACGTCTACTAGGTTCCACCTCGGTCTCCGCCTGCATACTCAGCTCGATCATGAGATACAGCCACGTCTCTCATATCGAACAGGGTCTGGCGAAGATGGACGAAAAGTACAGCCTTGTTCGGCGTCCTTTTTTGGGAGATCGCGATCGCGATTATAGTTATAATGGATTGAGATATGTCCTCGTCGCTAGGAACCCCGAGCGGGTGGGACTGGGTTTTCATCCCAATTTCGATGGACCTAGGGAAGGACAAGGTGGACAGCGGAGGAGGAGGAAGAGAAGGAAAGTACAGGTCGGGGAGGTCTTGATGGACGTTAAAGCGTTCAGTCTGGATGGGGATTATGAGCGGCTCGGAGGGAGGTATGGGGTAGCGGGTCTACGTGATCGACGTGAGTGTCATGTCGTCTATTGTACGAGTATACTGTAGTACAGTTTCTCGACAGGAAAAAAAAGGGAAACGACTTGGCTGAACGCAACGTGCCGACTCTGATGCTTTGAGGTCGAGGTAGTCTATTCGATCTACCGAGAGACGATCCTCCCCGTCTTCCCCGTCCTCTCCACCTCGGAGCTGGACCACCTCCACACCGGCCATCCTACGCACTCCAACTCTCCCTCTACTCTCCCACCCCTGACCGAGCTAGTCATCTGCACCCTCGTCTCCTCATCCCGCAGCATCCCTAATGGGATCTACGAAGAACTCGTCTACGCCCTCAATTCCACGTTGGAGGGGGGAGGGGAAGGGTTGAAGTTGTTGAGCATAAGCACGATGGGGCATTTACAGGTCTTGCTCCTTTTGACGATGAGTCAAGAGTTGCAGGGGGAGGCTACGAACCATTCGGGGAGCGTGTTGTTTTTACGGGTCGGGGTGGCACTGAGGATGGCGCAGGATCTGGTAAGTCTGGCAAGGCAAGGCAAGGCGTCGGGTCAGTTTATCGCTCGTACATGGCTTGGATCGTCGTGTTGAACATTCTTTTGGGGGTGACTTTGTAGGGCCTTCATCGGGACCTCTCGGAAAACGAGTTGCCTAGGGAGGATTTCTTGCGCCGACGTCGGATCTGGCGAGCGTGTGTGATTACGGATAAACTGCAAGTCCCCTTTAGAACCCAAAATCAACAATTCGAAACCCGAGACCCCCCCCTCCCCCCCCCCCACCCGGAGAAGATGCTGACGCTTCCAATCGTCACCGGTGGAACGATCGGCTTATCGTGATACTGCACAGCATCTCGTTGAGCCACGGTCAACCCTCGATGGCGTGTTCTAGAGACTGCGATAATACGGTCGTATGCTTGGCAGACCCCCAGATTAGCGTTCATCAGAGCATATTCACAGCAAGTATTTCGGCAAGGCGTTCGGCACCGAACGAGCAGAAGAAGAAAGTCGAGCTGAGATGTTTTTTTCTCTTTCTGCAGGTCTGTCATCTTATCGGAAGGCTATGTGAGTCGCATGAGGAGGTGTCCGATGAAGCATTGGGCTGAAAGATTTGGCCATCCAGCTTTCACGTTGTACAGCCCGGCAGGCCCACAAGCGGCAGATCCGGTCGAGCTCGCTCTGCTCCGAGGCGAGATTTTGGCCTGGCCGCAGGTGCTCCACAATGGCGAACAATACGAGCCTGCCAGGTTGTTATATATCCCTTTGCTGGCAAGTCACCAAGGTCTGGACTGTTTTTTCGCAGTAGATGGTACTCACATCTTGCACGTGCCCGTAGTTCCTCTTGCAATATCCTTACTTGACAGGACCAGCGATAACACCCGAGTGGCAACAGCTAGTACACCACTCTCGTCTGAGTCTCGACTGGCTTCAACGGCGAGGATCCAGCTTGCTGGATATCTGGTGGTTCGCCTCACTAGGTCTCGGTGCGTCGCGTCCATAGTCAAGACCTTTCATGTGTTCTGATCGCCGTGCCTCTATAGTCTACTCGGCTCTGGCAGAGTTTCACAACGCCATGCTTCATCGAGATCCCGTCAGCCTACAGTCTCTAGCCAAAGCCGCAACGATCGCATGCGACTGGGCAGACGCCATGAGTCTGGGGGACGTCTCGGAGAGCGAAAAGTTTAGGTACAAGTGTTGGACCTTGATCGACTTTTTGCATCAGATCGCGGCGTCTCAGACGGTGGCGGTGGCGACCGAGGGTATGCAGGGTGGTTCTAGCTTGGATCCCATCTCGGCGTCCTTGATCCAGCCGGCAGCGTATCACACGGGAGGCACCGCTTTCGAACAGTCCGAACCCGACTTTGGCGAAGCATTGTCGCCACAGAGCTTTGTAGGTTCGACCGTCTCTCGGCCTAGTTTCGAACCTGAAACATCGATCTTATCCTGCTTCTTTCAGGTCGACCTCATGGCTTTCTTGACAGAGGGTCTATTCTAGATCGCGGAGGCTATACCGGATACCGTCTGTTTTCCCGAGTCTCACCCGTGTATGTAGCTACCAGCTTGCCTAAATGAGATCTTGGGGTGTTGCATAATATCGAACGCGACGAGCCTTTGACCCCTGAGCCCCTGATCCGCAAAACCCTAAACCCCTTTAAACTTTACCCCCTGACCATATAACCCCTAATCCAAGACCTCGATCAAAGGGACCAAGAGCCCTGCGTGTGACAGGGATAACCCACGTCGAAGGAACGATTTCGCCCTTGTGTTGAGGACGCCACCAGGAGGAGATATGTCATCACGTACAGACAAAGGGAATGTCTTTTAACGAGTTTTTCCATATAAGAGCAGCTACATATCCCGCCTGCAGCTACATATCCTGCCTGCAGCTACATATTCCGCCTCGCACCTCGGTCCCGTCCATACCTCTATGCCAAATCAGTGCACGATCGATTCAGACATGTCCGACACAAAATCATCGATTTCTAGGATGGATCACACGCCCGGCAAATTTTGCTACAAGGGTATAGGCCCCTTCCGCCGGGAACGCGCCATCCTGCTCCAAGCGATACACGATGAAAGGGATCCCGCTCGCGCTCATGAGCTGAAGGCCGAGTTCTTCTCTCTAAAAGACAAATCGAATTATCAAATCCGTCTGCCTCTCCACTGCAATTATGTAAGTCTACCACTCGGGCAGGCAGATTGGCATTCGGCATTCTATACTGATGTCCACCATCTTCACGGTTTACAGGGCTACAACATACATGTTGGAGCTGGCGCTTCGATCAGTCCCAAGGCAACAATTCTTGATGATGCAAAGGGTGAGAGAAGGTTAAACAAATTGATGGAACCAACAGTGCATGCTAACCTTGCCAATCCAGTCAGCATTGGTCGTGACACATTGCTAGCTCCTGATGTCAAGATATACACCACAACACACGCTTTACACCCTGATGAGAGGTTACATGACACCAAGGCCTGCATGGAATATCGATGGCCCGTTACCATTGGGGACAATTGCTGGATTGGAGGTGGTGCTACCATCTGCCCAGGTGTCACCATTGGCAATGGAGTCACGGTGGCTGCAGGAGCCGTAGTGACCAAAGATGTCGAACATCGATGCCTGGTTGCAGGAATGCCGGCCAGGGTGATCAGAAGATGGTAGCAGAGGCTGAGCCAGGCTGTTGTACTGAGCATGATATCATATCAGAGTCACGAGTCTCGAACAACCTGATCCCGAATCTGCCGAGGCCGTTGAAGCAGATCATATCTTTCACAAGAGATACAGTATCAAAGCATACGACTAATTGACATCATCACACACAAATCGCTCAAACCCAGGTCCGTATGCGAGTACACTCATCTAAATTTCGGACGTGCCACTAAGCCAAAGCCGAAGCGCTAGGCACGTCGACCGATTTGCCGGTGGCGAGCCAGATGATCAGTCTGTCCAAACTCGTTCCGCGTAGACCGTCCACATGCCCCTTGGTCGGGTCATATTGCATCGTGCGACGAAGGCCGTCTTTAGTGCATACAGGCGAAGGTCAGTCACAACAGTAGGATCTGCGCAGATCGTGCCCACTCACGCCGTTTCAGATAGACCCGCACGCGCTAAGCGATCCAAGTGAAACAGCAGGGTTTCTCGATTCTCAGCGAGATCCTAAGATGGTTCGCGATTCTCAACTCACCTGAGCATCGACAATGATGTCCGTCCCGCCGAGCACGATCAGTGTCTTTTCAGGATCCCTTGCATCCGGAATCTCTTCCGGAAACAGCGTGTTCGCCGACCAGTCAAAGTACTACCGCCAAGAGGAATGTCAGCGACGGGTCAAAGGGAAAGTCGGCGGAAACTTACTCTTTGGATTGTGTTAGCGATTCCGAGTTCGGTAGAGACGAGATATTTCAGCAGACATTCCATGCCCTGGATGGTGTAGGTCGGGATGAGCAAATCGTCGCCTCGAGGTAGATCATGTCGAATCCGCTCACGCTTCTGGCCGGTCTGTAACAGAAGTTGTAACAGAGATCTATTGCATCAAAGAAGAGATGGTCTAAGTCAGTCGCTCATAGCCGACAAGAGTTGAGCGCGACCCGCTTACCTCCCTCCCAAGAACAAAAGACAACCGGATCGACCAGGGCATTCCGTCTGGTCAGTCCGGGCACGTCCTTCAGTAGCCACGTATGCCCGACACTCCCGTTCGAATGACTGAGAAGGATGACTCCTCCATTCTCCCTGGCGCCGTTAAGACCCTTCCGCTCGTCCGCTCCGTCATATTCGTGATCGATCTTGCCAGCCGAGACGACGCCTTGATCGTCGTAGAACCTCCAGCGCCGACAAGCATCTACCAGGTCGCCGACGAACTGTTTCCTCGGGGTCGGTCGTAGAAAATCGGGGTCCCAAATCTGTTGGCTGATCTGAGGCTGAAGCGGGACGAGGATGGGGTGCGAAGAGAGCGTCTTGCAAAGTTTCCTGACGACGAGCATGTTCTCCGGCTGCCGAACCGTCGCAATCAAAGGTCAGCAGAAGCGTAGCGCTGGCGATCTACGGCTCGACGCTTACGGAGAGGAGCCCAAAACCGAGACCGTGGATAAAGACGATCGGGTCCGATTTGGCCAGCTGACGCTCGGGAGTCCAGCCTTTCGGGATCCTCAACAGGTAGCTAATGCATTGTCGCATCGTCAGCTCGACGTCGTGCGTAACAAGGTGACGGCGATGGATTTGAGCGTGACCTACTCCATCTGACCTTGCTTGTACTACCATTGAGAAAGATGCAGCCCCGATCACATCAGCTCCTGTATCCCCAAGCCCCGGTCATTATCCCAAACGACTCACCTGTCTCAACCCGAAACTATGATAGATGTACTTCATGGCCAACCGATCCCCGATCCACAACGCCGCGTACCACCAAAGCGGTCTCGGAAAGACCCTAACGGGGTCCATCGTCAGCCTCATCAACTTGACCTTTTCCGCCAGTCCTCTCTTCTCCCCCGCCGAGTCATTGCCGCTGATGGGGAACTTCCACCCGGTCCTAGCTTGGAGTAATTGAACGCCCGTCTCGATCAACCTCGATTTTTCGACGTCTTGCTGTACTTGAGCGTAAGATAGTCCGCAGCAGGACCAGCTCAACCAGTTTTGGGCGTCCGAGAGGGTGACGGAAGAAAAGGGGACTCGACCGAACCTGCACGGAAAGGGAACGTTGGTTCGATCAGCAAATACGATTCGTGGAGAATGATTACATTCAGACAAGCGAGATGTGAGTTGAGCACGATGCCGGCGCTAGACATACCAATTCCTCAACCGCTCCCTGAACTCGATCGCCCTCGGATCATCTTCCCGCAACGTCTCGAGCGGGATCAACGGCGAGGCCGTATACCCACCCTTTTCTTCCTGGGTCGGAGTATCTGGACGGAGGTGGGAGGGGATAGGGTCGAGGGATATGTTGGGGTCCTTGCGGGCTTGCTTGGCGGTACGAGCTCGGAGCTTGGGAGGGCCAGACTCCAAACCTGACCCTGATGACCCGGAACTCGACCCCGAGATCGACGTTGACAGCCCCATCGCACCCTTCTCCTCCTCCTCCCGCTCGTCCTGGTCGAAAGCCTTCCCGCTCAATCCCGTCCCGCTCTGCAAGATCCTCGTCAAGATCCCCAGACATTCTTCCGGTGTCAACGTAGACGGTGGGCTAGGGCGTTGGATGAGGTAAGTCTGGTAGGCTTGGTAGAGGGTCGTCGCGAGCTGTCGTGCGGTTTGAGTCCCGGGCATAAAGTTTTGAAGATGAGAGTGATTTTGTGATCAGTTTGGCTTAGGGGTGATCCGAGATGAAACTAGAGGAAGCAGTAGGAAGCTCACCTCGAAGACCGAATAAATCAATAGACCTTTCCCGGTACTCCCGCCCGGTACATCCCACATAGCGATACACCATCCTATATACACACTGCCCGTTTCAATTCCAAATCGACGTGATGAATGACATCACATCGTGTTGCGCCGTGTCGGATTGTCGTTCCGCACGGCATGTCCCAGATGAGAAGGCACGTAAACGTAAAGAACAGAAGAAAAGATTGACAGGGAAAGGCAAGGTATGGATCAGCACGAGTCCAAAATCCACCCTGGACTATCGATACTACTAGCACTACTACTACGACCAACCCAAACTTCCCCTTACCCCTCCCCCTCCGAAAATCAACCAAGATCGAGATTGACACTCCGACTTACAAACTAACCGGTACGCTCCCCCCTAAAACACCCACCAACGCCAAGGCAGGCCAATACGTCCAGCTCTTCCCCCCTCCCCAGCCGGAGGAGGCGGATGGAGATGGGTATGTCAAGGGGTAAACTTCGGGCGGGTCGAGGTGGTCGATGTAGGGGTCTATGTAGGCTCGGTGTTGGTGTTTGAGGACGTCTGTGGGAGGTTTGAGGGTGAGGTTGGAGTCGAGGTTGGAGTTGGGTTTGAAGAGGAGGGGAACATCGGGGTTGTGGTCGTGCTGAGAGGGGTGGATGAGTTTGTCAGAGCTGAAGCTTCGAGGAGAAGGTACCCCCGATCCGTCGTTGAAGGCGGTCGACATTTTCGTTGATGGCAAGTTATGATGGCGTCCTGAGACGAAGATCGATGTTGGGTGTGATTCCGTGTCCTTTGTCGTTGGCGCTGCGATGCGAGGGGGAGGGCCCTCACAGACCGCAGGTAGATCCGACGAAGGTTGTAGTATAGGTTCTCTGAATCTTGGGTTTTATCGGTAGGTGATCTATGGATCGACCTTGCCCTTGTGACTATGTCTTAATCACAATAGACGATGTTATAGATATCAATACCGATGAGACGTCCAGCTCGTCCGGGGGGAAGAGCGCCCGCGTTGACGATCAGATCCTGGCGTCCCGATTCTTGGTGGTATATACGCTGTATCTATGTGATGTCTGTCGTATATATACCGTTACGCAGTGACTGCGAAGATGATCCCTCCCTTTGATACGGAGGTGTGATGGTACAATGGATCCATGGATTCTGGTGATGACGAACGAGTTTTCCATCCGACTTTGTAAACAACACAGCAAGACAGTCACGTACGTGGATAGGGTCACTGCGAAAGAGAGGTAAATCGTGCTCTGCTCGCAAACTCCAGGCTGAACACGTCTGTCGTAGCTATCATACGGGGGATATATTTATTACAAGAGGTGCCGAGGAGAATCTGGTTCATAGCCGACTTCAGGCTCGTCCGCCTTCAAATTGTCGGTTTCCCGAGTCAGTCGCATAAGAGATCGATCGTTCGGGGGGAGACTGACGCGGTCCGACCCGACCTTCACCTCCAGTGAGTGCAAGACTGAACACCAAAAGAGCCCACACCGCCCGTCAAAGGCCATAGGGTACAGGGTATCACCAAGGAACCCTGGTAAACGGTTCGTACAGCCTCAAGTGTTCTTCCCGTCTCTCCCTCCGCTCACGCTGGAAAGCGGCCACCGCGTCCCAACTCTCGTCCGTGTCCGGTACGGCGCGTTCGCCGGGTGCGTCTTCAGATCCAGTTTGGTCCATCGTTTGAGTTTGAATTTGGACCCCAGCCCCAGCTCCAGCTCCCGAGATCACGTTCGACGTCGATGCCGACGCGAGAGCCGTGGTCTCTTCACCCGATATCGTCGGCTTGTAGTTGGATTGCTCTGATAGCCACTGTTTTCGGAGCCTTTCGATCGCCCTGGGGTCGTAATCGTAGTCGTCGTCTCGTTCAAAATCTATACCCGCGTCGATGTCTTCATCCTCGTTCCCGTTCCCATCAGGGTTCAGATCGATCGCCCGGTTAGGAATGTCGCCAGGAAGGTCCGACCAACGCGATCCGACCGCCCCGACCGCCCATCCGAGGTCAAAGAGCGTGACATCGCGCACCCTTGCCCACTTGCCGGTGAGTCCTGGTAACGGACCCTCCGAAGAAAGAGTCCTGTCTACCTTACTCCGGAGGACGTCGTAGTGCGACCGACCCATGTGGTGGAAAAACGAGAACAGGGCGTGTCGCGCGTCGATGTCGGACTGGGGCCTCTTTTTGGAGTTAGAGTTAGAGGATGACGGGTCCGGGTCCGGGTAGGGGTCGGGCTTGGATAGGTGATAGAACAGGTTTCGTGCCGAGTCCGGGGTCGGGGTCGATACCGGTGCTTTAGCTTCGTCGGGACACTTGTCCTTGTTGGCCATCATCGCAGGTCCGGATGTTCGTCCACTCGGTGCCGGGGGGATCGGGATCGCGCCTTCGACGAACCCATAGTAAATCAGCTCGCCCAGGGACATGTCTACGACCTCGAGATCCTCCTGCCCATTGTTGTTGTTGTTGTTGTTGTTGTTCGTCGTCATCGTCGTCCTCCCGACGTCCACGTACACGTCGTTCGTCGCTCGATCGCAGACGATCCTCTTAAACCTCATCCCGACCACCTGCAACGTATGGCAAGACCCTTGCATGTCCCTCGCAAACACGGCATATTTGAGCGCTTGGAGGAAGAAGGTGACGTGTCTCTTGGCATCGGAGAAGGGAACGTCCCCGGGGCTGATGTCGACAAAGCAGACGTACCGGTATCTCCGGCGAGACCCTGGCTTTCGATCGAGTTCTCCGCCGTGGATGATGAGATCGGGGACTTTGGGAATGTGGATGAGCGTCTCTAGTAATCTTCGGCTTGTTGATGATTCCCGGTCCCAGGGCCTGGAATGAAAAGACTCGCTAGACGCCTCGGACGTCGAAGTGTGCGAGGAGGTCCCTTCAGAGGCCGCCTCGGACGTCGGGGACCGAGGTGGATCATCGCTCAGTCTCGCCTCGGCCGCCCACACTCCCCGAATATATCTCTTGCAGGCCGAACGATAGCTCAAACGAGCCCTCGAACTCGGATCGTCGATGACCTCGTCCCCATAAGCCCTAAGGTGCTGGAAACGTCTCACGTGGCCCAAGTAGATGACGTCCTTTTTAGGACATCGGTGTTCGATGATCCTACTGAAGGCTGCAATGATATTGTTCCGGAATCTCGCATCGTCCCAGACTCTGTCGAAACAATCATCAGATTCTTCCGTATGGCCAGCGTCGTATGGCATCGAATCGTCGGTTCTGGAGGGCTTGTACTCGGCGGGCCGTGTTCCACTGCCAGGCGAGGGAGGGATCGTCGTTCGAGGCATTTCCGTGTGGCGAGCGAGGTGTCCGGTAGTAGTCCCTGGAGCTTTGTGGTGATCGAGACCGATAGAACTCGAGACTAGTGAGTAGTAGTGTTAGCATCGTGCATCGTGGACTTCTTGTGGGCTGTCGGTTGAATCATCTTCTTCAGTGAGAGGGAGCCGAGATCTACGGTCGACGAGTGGGTCGCGGTTGAACTCACTTTCAGAACACAATTGTCATGACCAAACCAATGTTTTCTATGCATGTAATATCCATCTTTAACTTCAAAGAGTCGTACCTACCGTATCACAACACCACACTACTATTCAAACATAATCATCAACCACCCAGACATGTCTCAAAGCCACCAGATTCCTTCTTTCGGGCCTTGCGGAACTTGCAAGTCCGGTACCTACATCCAGCCTGTAGTTGAATGTGGCCGTTGCACATACTTGTCCTTCTCTGGCAAGAGCCCCGAGGCTACTCAGATAGCTAAAGTAAGCACAGAGTATGTACTTGAAAAGGTAGTGTAATGATGTACATTATGGCGATGACAGGGTATCAAGTTGTGTATGCAAGATGGCCAAGTTTGTGTCAACGGACACAACAAATGTGCCGATTGTCTGTATGGACGGGCTCAAGATGAAGCTGCCGGTGAGTCATCTTCAGGTCTTCTGAGCAATGAGAATGCAATCTCATGTGCTCCAAGCAGCTCAAAACATTGCAGCTGCTAGGGATGGCTACCGAGCTGAAGCCAATGCCATCCGGCTCCGGCAGGAGGAGACACCATCTTCCTCAAGTGCAATGTTGGCGGTGCAGCAAGCAAGGGCTAACAAGGCTCGTACTATGTTACAAGGATCCAATCTATCTCATGGGCCCAATATGATGATTGATTTTCAATACCATGAAAGAAGCGGCTATCTCTCTCGAAAGGTCTTGAAGGGTCATCTACACCACCTCAATGTGCCTCGCGAGACTCTGATGCGTGACCTCTTGGCAAAGATGGTCTCGATGGTTCAAGCCAGATACTGGGATATGCCACAAGAAGGCAGACCAGCAGGGGTGATCAACTTGTATGTGAGCCAGTAATGCTAGCTGCCCCATTTGTCTGACATTGAGGATGGTTCACAGGCACGACCCGGACCTAAAGCAGGTTGCTACACTGTACTTTGCCAACAAGCAAAGATTAATCGATGAAGACGAGATGGACAAGGACATTGGGGCTTTCCACAAATGGGCTAGAACATCTCAACTGCTGCATGGAAAAGACACGATGCCAAATGCCTCAACCCTCAGTCTCATTCTTGAGATCCGTGCCGACCTGGTTGAACCCCTAGAGATGGATGATCTTGATGTCGGACCTGTCGGCAAGGCCATCAGGTCATCTACCATATCTGGATACGGTGGAGTCGGCAAGGCGGCAGGAGGAGCTATGACCACTGCTCCCAGGAAGCGGTATATCTCCAAGCTACCCCCACCGCGAGGAACTTCAAGCCCCCCCTTCACCACCGGCAAGGATAGTATCCTTGTGTACCAACGGAACCCTTCTTGGGATGAAGGTTATGGTGCCATCGAGTGGGAAGAGCCAGCAAGCTATGGTGTTCTCTGGCTTGATACCACCTCCTTTGCCCAAGGCACCGTCAAGGCCTGCTTCAAGGTGAGTATGGACTTGAACAGATGGCCACATCACATCACATCGAAGCTGACCTCATCAATTTTGTCATGACGATGGCAGGCAATGTATGTGCCCGCAGAAGAGGCTGAGGTGGATGGCTCAACAGCATATGATGGACCGCTACCCACTCAACTGATGGTAGCCAAAGAGATCAAGGAGGCCGTGTTGCCTGAGACCCGATCATTCTATGCCAATAACAACATCGTCTCGATTGGGGACTGGAAAGGCAACACAGGAGTCAAGGTTCATTACTCTCAGCTCGAGGTTGAAATGCATATGTGGGGCAAGGCATGGGCTGATGAGTACATGCGGGAGATAGCTGATAGACCGGAGGCCCAAACACTATCCCTTGGTAAGTGATCAGCAAAGAGACACCGAGTACATGAAGGCTCATTTCATGATGCTATGGTTAGGTGTCGACTTTGCCAAATGCCAACTGGTTGTGGAAGCATTCCCTTCTGATGAGGATGAACGGCGGGTGTGGATACTGGAACAGCACCAAACTTGGAATCAAGCCCGGTTCTCGGGATCGATGGAGTTCACAGCAGGTCGAGGCCGAGCAGACATCACTGTGGCAGCCTTTGCACACATGGCCTTCCAGTCGAGCCAAGAGACTGTTCTCTTAGCTGATCTCGAAGGTTGGATGGTTAATACAACTCAGACGGTCATGCTGTTTGATCCAATGGTACACTCGTAAGTCACTTATAGCCTGTTTCTGTTTGGATTGTCCGTCGCAATGATGCTTGCACCCCGCTCCTGTAGGGATACCGGAACCATGTGTCTTGGAGATCAAGGTGAAGAAGGGCTTGAACAGTTCAAGAAGCAGCACAAATGCAATCGCATCTGCTTAGCAATCGGATTAGACCCTCTGACCGATGCAGCATCTGCTTCCCATGCATTTACTGAAATCATCGAGGAAGAGGAACCTGAGCAGGGGGCATCGGCTTCTACTACTGGAGCGAAGGGTACCAAGAAGCAGCCTGCAAAGAAGAAGGCAAAGCGGACCACTCGAGCTGCAACTGAACAACCACGAGCTACAGTAGCAGAGGAGATTATGCCTCGGACTATCCTGTCCACAGGTCGTGCTGTCTATGCACCTCGGAGATGAATTGATAATAAGTTCATGTATTACAAGTAGGGTACCTCGTCTATATGTTCTGCCATGCTCCTGAATACCATCCATGCATTAGATAGATTGACAGTGAATCCAAGTGTGATGTCCAAGAATGCACAATGCTCAAAAAGCTGAGACGCCCATTGCTCTTCATCTTCCTCAATGAAAGACAGCAATCGTGGGTGGCTAATTGTAATCTCGTCCATCCATGTCCTCACTTGATTCATGCCCACTTCATCAAGGGGCAGAAGGCAATTGGTTCCTTCGCAATGGTAGATAGTATTGGGTGACTTGCCAGATGGTAGGTTGGTATGGGGTTGCTTGCGGATGATCGAACAGTTTGTCAGATGAACGTAGTCCTCTAGTTCTTTCTGCACAAGGGGTGCAAACAGATATAGATAGATGATACTACTCAACCCAGGCCATCGTGAATCAGTCAGCATCTTGATCAAATCAACCCAGATGTTAGAGGCTCACCGGTGTTGATTGTTTCCTGGTACATAATCTCCTGTCAGGATTGCATTCTGCGTGCTGACAATGAACTTGCTGTGGAACTTGTCCACTAGAGGTCGCCATCCCCTTTCGACCGTAATGTTCTTGGTAGAGGGCAGGAATCGGTGGGGTTCAGGAGCAGCAAGCACACCCAGATCTTCCATGAGTATGTTTAGTTGTGGCTGCGCCAGCTCTCGCAGAGTCGACTGGTCACTGAATATGTCCAGGACTTCAGTGCCGTGGTCACTGGTGACCTGTAGAGGGATACCTGTGAACAATGTATCGGTATCAATGTCATGACTAGATGGCAACCACTGATCCTCCTCACCTTTCATGTCATGCACAAGCTCCAAGAACAGCCATCGAGTAATTGAATTACTTCGATTATTTGGCACAGCTCGCAAAGACATCCATTTCCGTGAGAATTTGTCTCTCATTCCATAGATAGCAAAGCCGATGTCAATCAGCTTGTCATGTCCATCAATAGAGAGCTGATCATTTGGACCATAGGAGGTGAGAAGGGCAGGGTGTCCTTTCTTGGTTCTATATGAGGGAGCCCTTGCCAGAAATCCATCCGGAAAATGATCACGCATGATCTGTGTGACAATATCCCTGAACACACTCGAAGTGAGTGCAGGCTTCTTGTGCAATTGTATGGTAATCTCAAATGTCAGCACATACCTCTTTACATGTATCCCCTTCTGTCCCAGAGCCAAGGTGATTCTTGTAGGTGACTCTCTATGTTGGGGATCGTGTTGATTGATGTGTGTCACCACTACACTGGTCATCTGAGCTTTCGTGTATCCAGCTTTGCGTGAGCCGCCTAATCCCCATAGACCCATGTATTTGTTTAGACTGGTCCGACCAATGTTTATGCCTTGTTCACTGGCCAGTCTTTGCATCAGAATAGGCCGCTGAATGATGTTCTCTTCATTGACAAGCTTTTGAAGTGCTGCATAAAGCACATCGAGATCGACTGGTATGGAACAATGTCAACGGCTGAAAATAAAACCTCAAAAATACAGGACATACACTCATTCCTATATTGATTTTTGCCTTCCGGATTTGGTATATGGACAAGAGACATCTTTGCAAACAGTAATATGACATACCTCTGTCATACTGTGAATGCATCAATAATGTCTGATGATTGTTTGAGTATCCCCCAAACAACTCGTTGGGTCGCGTCACGTCCGCATGCAAGGTATTGATTGACATTCAGAATTTTACATGAGCTTTCACAGGTTGCAAATGTTCATTGGGATCTTGAACAAGATATATAGAGAGTTGTATAGCCTTTGGTGTGGTATAGAATGCAGATTACACGTACCATATCCCATGTAAAAGCATTGATTTGCCTATGTAGAAGACGCGATGGAGCTTGCCATATGTGACAAATAGAATTTTACATGAGGTCTGCTATGACCCAACACTATCTATATGATCTTAAATAAGCCCACAAGCAATGATACTGTGTTTCATCTGGTACATGATGCGTAATCACACACATGATGTCCCATAGAAAACACCCATTCACGTCCCTTTAGGACGTGTTTTGGCTGGTAATATGCAACAACCAGATTTTTACTTGAGGTCTAACACATCATAACATGATTTATGTGGTCTAAACTGGCTATACAAGCTATGGTATGGTGTTCCATCTGGTATGAAGTGCATAATCCACTGTCGTTGTTACCCAATCACGTCAGTTATTGACTGGGCGAGCGGAGTCTGTATGGTAGTGTCCATGATGAAGGCAGCCATACAGGGTTTCCGTGTTCCCTTACTCTCTAGAACAAGTCCATTCAACCACCAGAACAAGAAGATATCAATGTCATGTATAAGTCATGTTCATATCGAGAGTAAATTACAAGCCAAGGAGTTCCTTCTGTCTAGCAACTGGCTTACGCTTTGCCGGCCTCCCTACCTTACCAGTCTTAACTGTGTATCTTCGCTGAAAGGCCTTACGCTCCTCCTGCTCCTTGATCTTAGTGTCAAGGAAGCTACCAACACCTATCTCGGCCTTGTTCCCTGCGGCGTTCATAGCCAATTTGGCAGCTGCTGCTGCGTCTATGTGCTTGATCTCACCCACAGCATTCTTGGGCAGTACCGAGATGGCTGTCTGGATAGTGGGACTCATATCAGTTGGTGTTATCCCAATCAACCAGCGGAGAAGACTCACATAAACATGACATGTGTCGTCGGAGTCCTCATTGGGCCGGACCTGATAGGCATGGACAGGTAGCAAGACCCAACCACCTTTGCCCTTGTATGGTGACCAGGTGGTAGTGTCGATCTGTTTGTCCTTGATGAGAGCCTGCAGATGCTCTTGACTGACTCGGACCCCTCGGCTACCGGTTTTCTTGTATACCTTTGTCTCTTGAATGATGTATTTGGTGATGCCTGTTGCAGGGAGGAAGGTCGAGGAGTTGGCAGCAGCGGGTATGTTATGTTCATGCTGTTCTGAGGTGATAGTGGTGACCAGGTCTTTGATGGCGAGGAGGATTCTCTGGCGGCGAGTGGAAGAATTGAGGATTTCCTTTGCCGGAGATAGTGGATGGATGCGAGCCAAATGAAGGACTTCATTGGTGAGGCAAGCTCCTAAGCCATTAAAGTACTCCTGACTGTATCACAAAGGTGGTATTATTTAGTGTGGCTAGACACGACAGCAGTCCGGAGGTGCACTCACTGTTTTGTGATGTAATTGTAGATGGATACCTTGACGCTGCTCCCGACATTCATCCTGTATTTGTAGTTCTCTTCAAACTTCTTCCATTGAGTTGCAGGACAGGGACCCTTGTTCTGAGGTCCTGGGTAGTGTTGCTTGTGCACGAAGAATGCTTGGGCAACCTTGTTCTGATCCAAGAGCACTAGCGACGGCGATGCAGTAGAAGAGCGGAAGACAATAAGGGGGGCCGGTGGGTTTGGTCCTTTCTGTTTCCCTTTTGCGGTGGTAGGTCTGACAGCTTTGGCCTCTTGAAGGAAGTCCTAGAATGTCAAAGAGACAGGAATTAGTCACTGCACACATAGCAAACACCGGGAGCGACTGACCTCCAACTGTGCATCACCCATACTGACAAAATGCCCGTGTAATGCCAGATAGATGACCATCGTCCACCCTTCACCAAGATCAATGTGGATGTTCTTCCCACAAGGCTTGACTTGCTGTGAAGACAGGCTGATGTTGTGGGGAGAGGTATGGTGGTCCCGGAAGGTAAGATAGCCTGGCCAGGTATGATGATCCGGGAAGGTCTTTGGGCAAATCTTCCCGGCATATTGGGGGTAGAGAATCATCTGATATGGCGACAGCTCATGTGACATCCCCAACCTCCTGGTCATATCTAGTATCTCTCTGAGCTCTGGCATCTATCCACACAGAACAGTCACATCAGCAGGCTGTTGTGTCGCCGACAGCACTCCGTGACACGCCGCCATCCCTCAAGCGACATAAAATATTATGTCGCTTGAGCGAGACCCGGTTGCTCACCTGTGTGCAGGAGCAGGGTTGGCTGCTGGATACTGGATGAGGTTCAAAAACAGTCTGAATGATGATTGAATGATGCTCAATGACAGTTTAAGTGTGGCTCAATATGAGTACATGTATATATGACAGTTGTTGTCGTACGGTCGGATAGCTTTGTCGATCGAACGAAAGCTGTTCGATCGCGCGAGCAACCGCGACCCCCTCGTCGAGCGTAGTGATCGAATATTCAATCTCCTTTGATCTCTTGATCGACTTGCGAGACTTTGACCTCTTGAACACACATCGTCACCTCTCATAGCATATAGTGTACAGATGAACAGATGAACGTATCCTAGCTTGGATCCACCACCGCCTGTCGCCTCCTTCTCGTCTCGATCTTTGGCTGCAATGTCGGCAACGACACCTCCCCCCTTACCCACCATCATCTGGGACGACGACCTCGAGCCCCACAATCCTGTCGACTTTGCTGATTGGCCCACCAAGTTCAAGACGTACGGAGACGACGATTCGATGCGATACGATCCCGGTCAAAAGCGAGCCGCCAGGTTTCCCTCGTCGGCCTGGCAGGCAAAGCCTGAGGAAGACGTCGTAGTGTCCGCGTTCATCAAGATCATCGAACACCGTTGCCCGGAAGACCATGCGATCTCCCTCGGCGACTCGTTTACTTTTCACGGGCTGGAAAACCTAGTTGTTACCGACAATATGGGCTCTGGACCGAAAGAGACGTACGCATCGGCGTGCAAGAGATACATCAAGGGTAAGGAAGTCGCCGCAGCGGCGCTCCATATGGATCAGCCTTCCTCCTTTCACTCGTCCCAGGTCTCGGTACTCGACCTTGACCGTGCTGCCTTTCGCTCGATGGGTGACAAGGTCGCTGGACAGAGACTGCTCGATAAGTTGACTGCTGTACCGATGAGAGCCGACCTCTTCGGCAACGGTTCCGTTTACAATCGAGAGCCAGTGCCGTTGCGGCCGTTCCGGTGCGTCTTCTTGGGCGAAGCCAAACCTCCCACAGGATCCATGAGGACACAGATCGCACATCTCATCCAAGCTCTGAAGTACGCCGTCATCGGGAGAGACATGTTTGGGACGGTACACGTGTTGTTGATAGTAGGAATGGCGTTCAGGAGGATCGTCTGCGATCGAAACAACGACGACGTTTACGTGGATATTGGGACGAAGGCGGGCGGGGAAGTGATCGAGGTGGAAGAGATGTCGCTGATCGAATTGTTATGGTACGGATATGTCCAAGCCGCTCCTCCGCAGATGCCGACGGTGGCTTCTGTGGGCCTCGCCTCGACTAGTCAGGCGCCCGTGCCTGCGACCGCTGACGCTGCAAAGTCGAGGGGAATCAGCCAGGTCAAAGCTCTTCCGAAGGCCAAGGCCAAGTCCAAGATTAAACCCTATTCGAGACCTCCTCCAAACAAGGCGAAAAAGACCCAGAACCCATCCCCGCTTGCCGACAAGTTGTTCTATCGCCTTTCCAAGCCGGATCCTTCGTCGCCTAGACCTCGATCCGATACCGACGCCCGCCATGCTCTCATCTCCTTTCTCGACCACGCGGGTCAGACGCATTTCGACATCCTTGGAAATGTCGACGAGACTCCGGAGAGTCCATTGCGAGGTCTCACCGGCCGGTGGGCAAGGGTTCGGGACGTCAAGCTGGAGCAGCTCGGATCGGCAGCGGTCACTATCAAAGCGTGTTGGTCGGATTTGCCGGTGGGCGACACGGAAACGACGAGCAGTCAGAAGCTGGGGGGTAGCTATGCGAACGGCGATGACGGTGGCGACGTTGGTAGCAACGACGACGACGACGACGACGACGACGACGAAGACGATGATCATGGGCCCGAGGGAGAAGGTGAAGGTGGAAACAATGGCGAAGAAGACGACCATGAACCGAGGCGAACGCCTCGATCGCCACCCGTCGATGGCTTGCCATCAATCGGGACCAGTCCCGCTGATCCGAACGAACGATCTGGAAATGAAGACGAGAAGCGATACCAATACCCGTCCACGGGCGACGACATGTTCTGGGATACTTTGGGAGTGAGCGCCTTCAAAAGGGAGCAAGAGGAGCGCGATCGCGAGAGGCAGGAACGGCGCCGGGCTTGGCTGGAGCAGTACGAACCGTTCACGAGAGTCCGCTCGTGACGTTCCGGGAGGACCCCATCCACAACAGGTACGTCACCCCGGAGCCGTGCGATTCGGATTGATACAACGCCACGCTTCGACTCTTTTCAAGCATCGGCGCGCTGTGCGGCTAGCGAATCGGTCAAACGCGAATGATATCGATAAACGATGCTCAACCACCGGTATATACAGCGCGCCATCATCTTGCGACAACATGCACGACACTCGATTCTCGAATCCACTTTCCCTTGTCCTTTATATGACCCCCGATCGACTCGTTTGATTGTTTGTAACTCTTTTATGGCGCGTGTCCGCTGTGAAGATTTTATGTGTCTTTCTCATACATCAGTCGCAGCGTTTGTCTTTGGCGCTACAAGGTCGATACTTTTGGCTCCTCACTGCAGAGAGTCGGTGCCGTGGGGCAGGTAATTAGGTAATATGTGTCCAAATGGTGACTCCACCGCGTCTACGATGAATCAATCATCCTGCCTCGACTTTGTAAACAAACCAGCGCAGCGCACACGGGGAGGAGCTGATTCACCGTCCATCGCCCACTAGAAGTGAACTGGAATAACGACAACCCTTTCCATTCGTCAATTGCCAGCTCCCTAGATACCATTCGGCGATTACGGGCAACAGCCCAACAGGTTTTTATTCGAGTTTCACGAAAAGATTCGGTCTTCGCAATGCCGCTTCGCCCGGCTCTCGGTGATCAGGTCAGTATCTCTCTTGCCGCATTCAACCCATTCGCACGCTTCAGACTCTGACTTGTAGCAATCGACTGCTTGCAATCTAGGCGGACCAGGAGCAAGTCGTGGATACGTACTCATACGGTCCCGAGGAGAAGCAAGAATTGTCCGAAAAGACGGCAAGAGGGATGTCTGAGCAGGGAGATCACGATCAACAGGATTCGGAAGACGGGCCCGATAGCATGGATGAGATCGAGGAACCTAGCTTTATCCGTCCACTTCGACGTTCGGATATCCCGTCGTACAAGAGGACCGCGGCACATCGCCAGGCCAAAATCATGGAGGGGCAGAACACAGCAGGCGTACATCCTATGTCCTTATGGAAGATACGACAAAACGCGGATTCCGACGAGTTTGAGTTCTTCGTCCCCGAGCATTATCAACCTGGGACGACCGGTGGGAATGAGCATTTTCGACCTGAGACGACTGGCAGGACTGACAGCAGGAACCAGTCGGAGAAGCCGTGGTGGTCCGCCCCGGACGTCCAAGCCATCCTGATGAGGCTATCTCAGCCACGTTCGCAGGGATATCTTCGTGCTTTTGGTTGGGCTCAGCTTTTTCACAAGTTTTTCCCTCCCGGTGCCATCATCTCGGTAGGGACCCAGGTCGAGATCCCTCATCTGCTTTCGACCGCGCCGAGAAGCTTCAACGACTTTGCCGGACATCCGCTGACTGTTGCCACCCAGAGGATACGGGACGGCGGAGACGAAGAAGACGAAGCAGGTGAAGCCGAAGATAGCTGTAGACTCGTCGGATACGTCAAGCCTGACATCACCGTGGTCACGATCGACACCTCTCGACTTCGCGACCACTACTACCGCGCGCTATTGTATTGGCAGGTGAAGACAGGCAGTGAGCTCAACAAAGGATTCGTTCAGGTCGTCTGGGCGCTCTTACTCGGTTCTTCCCTTCAAGACACGCGGTTTGCGGGCCTGGCGACAGGGAGGCGATTCATGAGGATCAGGATGGATCCGAAAGGGAGGATCGGGGTCGATACGGCCCGAACTGACGTCTTTACGGATAGAGCCGAGCGGGAGGGACTCGTCATCGAGGACTTTCTCGCCAAGGCCAGGTTGAAACACGCACGCCACTTTCCGTTCGAGTTGACCGAAGATCCTCACGAATTCGACGAACAGAATGGGAATGTCCTGTTTTACGACTATTGCGTTGCGCTTGGGAACCACGTTTTCGACCACTTTCACGGTCGGCCTGAAACGCCGCCTGTGGATCTGGACGCCGAGGGGCTCGACTCTGTGAACGTACCGCTCGCTCAGGAGATGGACCGAGTCAAGAATCTCGATGATGATACAGACTCGATCAAGAAGGAACCTGGGAAGCGAATTGCAGAGACGATCATCGATCCGCGCATCTATAAGAAGGCCAGGATCGCCACGACCGAGCCGGTAAAACGGGATGCACCCCGCGTTGATCTTTCTCGGGCAGGATCGGCATTGGGATCATCGACCGGGCTAGGTCACGGTGGAAACGCTGTCGACGATACAACTCTCGATGGCACGGACCCAGATGACAGACCGGGAAACCTTGGCGCCTCTCGCTTTCCAGACATGAAAACGGAGCCAGTCAACCACGACGGGACTCGCGACGATGACTCGTCCTCGACCTCGATGTCCATGCCGGTCATCACCGCTTGGGAGAGAAACAAGCTACAGGTACAGTTGATTTTGAACCTTCCCATGACGTCGCGCATTACTAACCATGCACGACCGACTCTTACCGTCCAGAGGCAACTCGAGACTGAATTCAACGACGCTGATTGGGAGGTGTTTCACAAGTTGAAGCACATCCGAGTCTGGCCATACAAAGTCTTGTTTCCGCAACCGCAAGAATGGTATGTCTATTACAGGCGAGGGCTTGCTTGTTGAGACATCATGCTAATCGGCCCAAATTCTCAGAGAATTTATGATATCGTCCGGTTTCCATCGCGCCCTCTGTGTTCTCGCGTTCATTTCCCTTTTCACGATGAATCTTATGTCATACACTTTTATGTCTCTCTCCATCGACAGCGAAAAGAGCCTAAGCCGAGTACAGAAATCGAGAGAACCGATAATTACGCGTCGATTCGAGGTATAGATCAGACCGGTCCTTCCTCTCGATGAGCCGACATTCCGGCCTCCTTGTGCGCCGGAATGAATATGGCGATCTGCACACCGTAAACACAAACCATCTCTCAGTCATGTGCCCAAATGGACTAGCACAGTACACACGGGCATGCGACCGGAGGACTTGACGTACAGGCAAGCCCGTTCAAGAGGGATGTTCGGGGTTCACTCACAATTCTTACAAGGTAGTCCCCCCCTATGACGACCCCACCAGCAAATTCATCTGGCATTGGCAAAGATCGCCAAAAAGCCCAGACCCAAGAGCATCATCTTCGAGATCGTCAAGACTCCCGCGCCTCCCGTCTGCCTGCAGCTCGAGTACTCGTTGATGGCCGTCGTATTGAATTGCTGATCGACGGGAACGGCACAAGTCCCAAAAATTCCGGGGCCATTGTTGAGACACACGTTCGCCGAATTGAGGGTCCCATTGGCGGCGACGCAGCAGGGAGAAGTAAGCGTAGCGTTGGCCGCGGTACATTCGAACATGTAGTTGGGCGTCGACATGTCGATGTGCTGTGTGGAATCGAGATATGTGAGAGGAGGTGAAAACTGTCTGGCGAATATAGAGAGACTGGACAAAGACCGAACCCGATACGAGAACATTGACTCGGAAGGCATTATATACTTGACGTCCAGGTCAGGTGAGGCAGTCGGCCCGTCCGAGGTCGAACGATATCGACGCATCCTCTCATCTGGTCACTCGTCGTCGGTCGGACACTATGTCTCGCATGGGTCAAGGAGACAAGAACGCCACGGAACCCGGTCAGATTTCGGAGATCGTAATCTCAGGAACGCAGCTAGTCGTCCCGCCAGCTTTCGAAACCTTAACCGTGGGTTCTTGGCAGGAATAACGGGATCGAAACTTGCCTTCGACAACAGAGCGGATCCGAGGTGGGTGTATTGATCACCTGCCATGAGGCTGAGGGGTGGCAGGGAAACCTTCTGGACCCATGTTCTCCCGGATCGCTGTGTTGTGATTTTTCGCCGCGCGTTCCTAGCTCTCACTAGATGCTCGAGATACCTCCGATGGCTTTACGTTCTCGTCTCATTTGCGTAGGGTATCGATAGACGCCGATCTAGCTGGCGGGCCTCTCGTTCGAACATCGAGAAGAGTAGGATGGAGATCGAAGAACCTCTGATATGTCTCGCCGTTGATTGTCCGGCGTCGCTGCACGCCAGGGAGATACCTTGGATCCATCGTCATTTGATTTCCTGGTGACACCAAAATATAAATTCGCAGTCGGGACAAGGCTGGAAAACGTCGACGAATAGGGATGTTCTTTGCCAAGGCCGACGGGGATCGGAACGCCGAAGCGATGGTCATGCGACTACACAGATGCTCATCCAGCGTTCGAGCAAATTAGATCCGGTACTCGATATCAGGATCTTGTCGTTTCTCGCGGCTTGTATTTTGATCATATTCAACCACGTCCGGGAGGAGAGATTGTAGATGCATTCAATTGTAAAAAAAACTGCATGGTCCAAGCACGAACCCCTAACCCATGTCTCTAACACTGAGACTGAATTGAAAGCTCTTGGAAAAGGAGCTGTTATCCACCGGATTCCGTATGTCGCTGACATGATCATGACACTGCGACACAGGTAGGATCTTGAAGAGGCGCTGGCCCTTTGCGGTCAGCCGATCGTCCGAAGGATGGTGCCAGATCAATAGATCGGAGTACGAAAGTATTCAGACTTGTTTAGAATACTCTTCTTACCAGATCTTCCTCCCGTCGTATTTGGGTAGGTACTAGATGACTTCTCCAGAATACCGTAGATCGCAGCCTGATAGCACGGCGTATCGTATCTCTGTCGGAGGACGAAATATTGGGACGACGCGCAACCGACCGACCGATGTACCGGATTCCTATTAGATCGTCTGGCACTCTGCATCAGGCAGCCAGCCAGGCGATGCGAACAGGTCTCATCGTACTTGAGGCGACGCCTGGACATGAGCATGCTAATTATATGAAACAGTTACTCGGGTAGTCGTAGAGGATCAGAGATCAGAGAGTCGCGCGATCCCATGACGTAATCGAGCCGAGGGTGTAGAGAGACAAAGGGGGGAAGGGTCGATCGTCCTTCGTTATCAGTTACAACAACCATCCACCCAGCAGAGACCTTCACCTCAGCTCTGACATCGCGAGGTCAACGGCGATAGCTTAGATCTTGTACTACTCCGATCTTCAGTCTATTCGCTAGCGAGATAGGAATCCAGTCATCGTCAGATCTCTCCACCCCACCTAACCTCAACGGATCATCAAGATGCCTCGCAATTCCGACACGGAAGACGAGGAGGAAGCTCATCCGCACACCCACAAGATACGGAGTAAAGTGAGGCATAGCTCTTGCTTCTTACCTCTCGCCTCTCGTGATTTCGAATATTCCCGGTCTGCGAACGGAATAGAGCTGAATAGAACGCGGGATCGTGTACTGCATCTTTTACTCTAGGTCCATCATCTCGCTAGCGTGATTAGCGAGCTCAAGGTGGGTGCGAGCTGTCGCAGCCGATCATCGGGTCAAGAGCAGAGCGCTGATGAAATCATCAACGATACTTCCCTAGGTCTCGGTGAGTATCGCGATCGATCTGATCTAGTTCAGGGAAGCGAAAGATAAGAATCAGAATCTCACCCTACGAATTCAAATCGCTATCCGTACTTTGATCAGGCCGCAGTGAGTATCCTAGCCTTCTTCCTACATCCCGAAATTGTTTCACATAGGCCTTCGCTAACCACCTCTACCTGTCATCCCCCTCCCTCCCTTATTTAATTCTGATCGTCATCCTGACCAGTACGCCATCAACCCTCAACACCGTCACGACGAAGCCCACGAACACGCCAGGGATGCCAAGCTCGAAGCTATCAGGGACGCGCATCGGTTCAGGTCGTTCGCTCCTATAAGAGGGGGGAATATCGTCAAGTTCGCAGTGGATGGGTATGATTACTTCTGGCAGTTGAGCGAGATTATCGAGGGTGCGAAGGAGAGCGTGTTTATTATGGATTGGTGAGTCGCTGTTCTTAGGGGTGTGATATAAACGTTCTGGGTTTCGTATGGGCCGGGGATTTGGTGCAAGACGAGGTCGAGGGGAATGCGGTACAAGCGCGATATGGATTAGAAGCTGATATCTGATTTCTTATTTGTCCTTTGTGAATCTATATCGATGCCGACAACGCAGGTGGCTATCCCCCGAACTCTATCTCCGAAGACCTCCGGCTCTCTACCCTGAATACCGTCTAGATCGTCTACTGCAAAAGAAGGCTCAGGAAGGCGTGATGATCTACGTCTCCGTGGTGAGCTCTTCATCTTCAGTCTCGTTGTAATGACGATGTCTGGGGCGGATCGAGAACGGTTCAGCTGATCATGTCTATATATGTGTTTGTGATGTGGTATGGCGTATAGTATAAAGAGGTCGAAGCGTCAATGAGCCTAGCCTCTGTACATACTAAGCATGTGAGCAACATACTTTGCCCCGCTGGCTCTCCTATCTCTACACTGGGACTCACGAGGAACACGCACTTGCTCTGAATAGTGGCTAGAAAGCTTGCACAAGAATATTGTCGTTATGGTAAGCGTTCCCGGCCGTCGTCCTATCACGAATTAGCCGTTGTGCATATCGCTGAGATGAGTACGGCTTGTGTTTATGTGTCTTTGTAGCGTCATCCGAGTCATGATTATGGAGAGCTGACCAGTAAGTCGGAAAATGTGGGTAGAAAGTCGGGAAGGTGAGCGACTGATTGTGGACTCTTTCGGCGCGGTCGCGCAGTGATGTGGAGTGAGTCTAAAAGATCCTTGGTTTTCTGATGGTCTTCGCTCGTCGGTATTCCGCTTACCAAACAACGCACCTTCCGAATAGGCCACCACGAAAAGCTCTGCGTAGTCGACAACCGGGTCGCAGCCATGGGAGGCCTAGACGCTTGTTTTGGTCGGTGGGATACGTCCAACCACGAGCTGGCCGACGTGCATCCCCAGTCGTTCTACAAAACCTTGTATCCTGGTCAGGACTATAACAACTCGAGGTTGATGGATTTCCAGACTGTCGATCAGTTCACCAGTAACGCGTTGGCCATTCAAGATGCAGGTCAGTCAAGGTGTTCGTCGGACTCGGGTCTGTGATTGCAAGGCTAATATCGGCCTACCGCTTGTGCAGCACGTATGCCCTGGCACGATAATTCGCTGACATTCGTCGGTCCGTCCGTCGTCGACCTCGCTCAGCATTTCATCGAGAGGTCAGTCGCCACGATCGATGAAGTCTCATAAACCCCGCCTGACGTGCTCGAATGGGTAGGTGGAATTTCATCAAGAGCGTCAAATACAAGGTAAGCTCTCAACTTCTGATCTTGGTAGCATATAGACGGACTAACTTCAATCCTGTCGCCTGCAGCACGACCGTCATTTCGACTATCTCGCCCTGCCCGCTCCTTTCGACGAGATCCAGCCGTCCGACGACGCCGTCGAGCGAATCCAGGACGCGAAACGACGAGACCAGCGTCGATTGGAACACCCCCACTTTGCCGAATGGGCGGACAAGGGTCATCAGTGGTTCCACCCGTACCACAATCCGCCCAGCAAATACCCTCGTGCGGAAGAGTCGGTCCCGCAGGGTGATTTCAACGTGCAGGTTTTGCGGTCCGCTTCGGATTGGTCACATGGGTTCTTGACCGAGACGTCGATTCAAGGCGAGTCTCGACGTGGTGTGACGTGGTGTAGAAGTCCGTGCTGATCGGTCAAGGCACTTTAGACGCTTACATCCAGCTGATCAGGGAGGCCAATCACACCATCTATATCGAGAACCAGTTCTTTATCACTTCGACGATCGCAGGTCACCCGGTCCATAATCAAATCGGCGCCGCTCTGGCCGAGAGGATCATTTCCGCTGCGAAGGATGGGAGAAAGTTCAAGGTATGGCTCGTACTCGATTTGGGAGGATCGACCTGGTTTCTAAATTTGGGTCTCTCAGGTCATCGTCGTCATCCCGGCATTGCCTGCTTTCGCCGGAGAAGTCCAGGGTGCGCCCGCAGTTAAAGCGATCATCGAGGCGCAATATCGGTCGATTAATCGGTGAGCGCAGGCCTTAGATTCGATTGTGGGCTTGACCGAATTGACCTGCTTATCGAATTCTGTAGCGGAGGAGACTCGATCATGGAAACGGTAAGTGTTTTCGATCCCGTAGCGACAACATCCCGCCCACTCCCTTGTTGTTTTTGGACTTGCAGGTTCGCCGAGCAGGCTTTGACCCAGAAAAGTACATCTCTTTCTACAACCTACGGAGCTATGATCGTATCAACAGTCCATGGCAGACGATAAGAAAGATGGAGCAGAACGTGAGTCGAAAACCCTCGATGTGGCGGAAGAAGGACTGAACATCTATCGCATAACGATCAGTCGGGAGTCACATTCCACCAGGCGCAAGTCGCGCTATCACGGTTGTGGGCCGGAAACCCAACCGGTAACAAGAAGGGTAAAGACGAGGTTGTCGTTTTATCTCGACCTCATGTGAGTCAAGGATGATGACCCTGTCGGCAGCCATCACAATATGCCGCTCACGCTCACGTTTTAAACAGGATCAAAGCACGGATATGGACCATGTCGCTCAGAAGCAGACGGTCAATCAGGGTGTACGAATGCCATCAACGGTCGAAGAGGTCAGTAAGATTGAGGGCGAGGTACGTTGTGCTAATCGCTAACGAATCGTGTCTTCGCCAATCCCCAGGCTCTCGAACTGATCAAGCGCTTCGAAGCCGGCGCAGGAGAACGAGATCGACACATGTAAGCACCGACGCCGGCTGTATCACCGGGGGAATCTTACTTAATAACGCCTCATCTTGACTTGCGCAGAAGCGACAATGGTGAGCGGATGAACGGGTCGTTCGATTTCCTTGCCTCAATCTGACGCCTCGCCTCTCGCAGTCGGCCAACATTCGCAGATCTGTCCCACGACCTTGTTCGACGAGGCATGGGACGGCACGGAGCAAGAAGAGCTGGAATCCTACGTCTCCGAGCTTACATACATCCACAGGTCAGCTTTGATCGAGATTCGCGAGCGACTTTCATCTACTAATCCTCCTCGCCTTCGCTACCAGTAAACTGATGATCCTGGACGACTCGAAGGTCCTGATCGGCAGTGCCAACCTGAACGACCGGAGTCAGATGGGCGAGCGAGACTCGGAAATTGCCATCTGCATCGAAGAAAAGCCCAACCTGACGATGACCATGGACGGCAAGCCTCACATGGGCAGCAAACTCGCTTCTTCATGGCGTCGTCGTCTGATGCGGGAACATCTGGGCTTGCTCCCGGAGACGGTCGTCCCCCTGGAAAAGATCCAACCGGGACCCAACCAGCTCCCCGCGCCCGTCCCTAACGAGTACGATTTTGGCTCGCCAGAGGATCTGGCTGTCGAGGACGTTCTGAGCGACGAGTTTGATCGATTGTGGACGGGGACGGGAGAAAGGAATCGGGCGGCCTTTGAGCGCGTCTTCAGGCCGATCCCGAACAATTCGATCCGCACTTGGGCGGAATATACCGAATATACCAAGCAAGCCGTGGGGATTCGGGTGAGTGCTCGGCATGATCGAACAGTATCAGCTGGATAGATACCCGATAGCGAGATTGAATCTGAAGGCTGATGACGGCGATCCTGTCGGTTCTCCCTGCTCTAGGTCGGTCACGTTTCGGACAGGAGTCTCTCGATACAACAGGTCAAGGAGACTCTCTCCGAGGTCAGGGGCCATCTCGTACCGATGCCACTCGATTTCCTCAGCGTAAGTGCTGATCAACGCATAATAGGCCAAGAATGGTCTCGCATGAAGCCTCGGTCAGCTCACATTCACATACGTTCACCTTGTGCGAAATGAACAGGGCGTCAAGGAGCTCACAGCCGGTGACTATGTGTCGGTCAATGCGTACACACTACCGATCTACCTATAAAGAACGACGTCTTGGCCGAGCCACTGCGGTGAGATGGTCGGCCAAATCTGTACTGGTACCATCAGAAGTAACGATGCATACGAGATACACGACATGCGATGCCATCCTCCAGATCTTGCCGATGGCGGTTGTGAATATCGATGCGAGTTCCTTTTCGGTGGCTTTTTGGCTCGTAATCTGGTTCCGAAAAGCATCCGGGAAGTGCCAAGGTGATCGATCAAGGGTCGTTTGAATATGCTCTTGTTCATCAATTCCATCAAGCTCGAGGGAATGGTGTCTCGATACTTGACCGCCTAGTATCCCCATGAGGCTACTTGCAATCTTCCAGACATAGCTTATACAGTTCGAATCTGTTCCCAAAGCTGGACACCTTCCGCATCTTCCTTTCTCTAGAGAAACCCCTCGAGGTCTCGCGATGCAGTCGGACGAGGATCGAGCTCAGCTTCAGAGCTGGAGAGGCGTGACTGGCCTGCTCGAAGAACGTTACCTAGCAGAAGAACATGGAGATTCGTTTCCCCATCTCGATATACGGCACACGTCCGGTGGTAACCTTCGAAGAGGTCTTACGGTACCTCCTCTGAATACGTCGTACTTGGCTGCCGGATCGGCTTCGTCCAGCTCGAGAAGCTCTCCTCTCTCCGCCTTGTTCGATGTAGGGTCATTTCGTTCGCCGAAAAAGAGTCCGAGAGCTTCGACATCGACGTCGACCTCGACCTTGCGAGCTTCATCCTCGATCTCGACAACACCGCTCGCTCGATCACACGGGAGTCTGCGACCGTCAGCTACTCCAGATCGGAATCAGCTTCATCGGACTAGTATCCTCACATCCCCCATACGAGAGCGAGGCCATCGAGATCACAATGAGCATGCATCCACAGGCCATTCGTCAGCCTCATACGGCACACTCACGCCCTCCCGCCAAGCTTCTGAGGCTACGATACGGCCCGTGCGGATAAGAGACCCTAGTCCAGGTACCAAATCAAAGGGATCATCAACGTCATCATCGGGTTCGTTGCTGCGAGAAGGGATATTGTCGACCTCCCCACCTGCTATGGAGACTGAATCGGCGGCTTGGCCGGGTATTGAAGCGAGTCTCGATCAGGCTGAGGTTGGGAGACAGGCGGATCGGGTAGGAAACGGCGGTCCTGGCATTACCGAAACACAGGGAGAAGGAGAGACGCAGACCTCGAAGCCGGAACCAGCCCTCAAGATTCCCTCGAATCCCCAGAGCCTGGGGATCGGCTTGACTGTTCGACAACATGCTCGGTACGGTTGGAGATCGTTCTTCTCTGGTAAGATTTCCGTTTCCTCGCTGCATCTATTCTGGATACCACTCTGACCGATATCGCGTGATTTTCGTAGACCTCTTCACCCTGACGGTCCCGCAGCGACAAGTGCTGAAATGCTCGATCGCCTATCTCATCGCTTCACTCTTCACATTCGTGCCGGTGTTCGCCAACCTGCTATCCACTAGTGCTCAAAAAGACGTGCACGGACGGGTGATAAGAAAGCCGGCTTATAGCGCTCATATGGTGGCTACGATCGTTTGCTACGTGAGTCGACGTGCGGTACCAAGTTTTATTTTTCCGCTCTCATTCGAAGGGCTGACAACTCCGGGGTGGCATGATGCAGTTCCACCCGGCACGTTCAGCAGGCGGGATGATCCTAGCTTCAAAGTACTGCTTGATCCTCGCCTCGCTAGCCGCGGTCTTTTGCAGCCTGTCGATCTTGACGCAATACGCGTTTGACAAGTGGACGCCTACGGCCGGCGTCTGGGTGTTCGAGCTTGGCGACATGGTGGTGCTCTGTACATGGGTGCTGATAGCGATGGGCGGGTTGGCATGGTTGAAACAATGGGTCAATAATCCGAGTTTCAACACAGGTATGTGTTGACTTTGAAAGCTATACGGATGCTACGGTAGATAGCTGAGACATCATGTTACAGGATGCTCGATGGCCGCAGTAACGTTGTTCACCGTGGTCGTAAAGGAAGGAGGTCTGAGCAAATTGGCCGAAGTCCTCCTCATCGTGGTCATCGGGGCCACCATCAGTAACGTCATCTGCTTCACTCTCTGGCCGTCGTCCGCCACCAATCGCCTACAGGGATCCATTACAAAGACGCTGGATTCCTTTGGTACCCTATTGAGCTTGCTGGGCGCGACTTTTCTCTTGGATCGTCCCCCTGGCGAAGCCACCTATGCTTCGCTCGGCCAGGCTGTCAAGTCCCACAACGACTCTTTTACCAAGCTCAAAGCCGACCTTGCCGAAGCTCAACACGAGCGGATCATTGATGGGCGAATGAGTACGCAGCAGCGTGATCGTTATGCCGCGGTCATCGACAGCCTTCAGAAGCTCGCTCAGCATCTCACAGGGATGCGCGCTGGTACGGATCTCCAGGTCGAACTCCTGCAAGCCAGTCAAGAAGGCAAGATCACTCTGGACAATGGGGACTCGTTGCAATCATCGATGACCACTTTGACGGACCAGGCTTACAAGCACGAGGCGCAGCGTGTCAGAGCCCAAAGCCCAGACGATGAACCTCTAGCGCAGGCGGGAAATCTCTTCTTCGAGTATAGGGAAGCTGTCGCCGATACTACAAGGCGGCTGATCGTAAGCCATTGATCGCGACGTGTGCCGTCTCACTCAACTGCAACTCCGATTTCATACGACAGGACCTCAGTAATCATGGCCTCGGGCTGGTCAAGCTGGCCATGACCGATTTCGAATCGCCCGACAAGCACGTACAGGAATTGATCAAGACTCATCGAGATCTGGAAAGGACTCTCGACGACTTCCGATCGTTGTCGCTCGATTCGGTCAAGAAGCTTTTCAGCGGGCACTCGGATGACCGTCTCGAGGAACTCTTCAACGAGTATTCGCCTTTGGACCGGGACGACGACGAAAGAGACAAGAGCGGGCCTATCGACGCCATTTACTCGATCTATTTGTGAGTCGTCCGCTTAGGGTGCGGCCTAATACAAGGTCTGATATGCCCCTCGTTCTGTAGCTTTGTCTTTACGCTGGAGGAATTTGTTCGTGAGCTGGTCATCCTGATTCAAGCCATGGTTGACGTGAGTATTCTTTCGCCCCGCCAATGTTGACCGGAAGCCCCACTGAACGGTTAACATCCCCAACAGCTCTTAGACGGCACGACGCTTAGTCGGCTACCTTCTGTCCTCCGTTGGCTGAAGAAGGGACAGGCGCAAACGGACGATAGCCAATCTCAGAGAAAGCAGTCTATTCGACACAGAGTCGGTAAGGCCGTACCAAAAAGCCGTTAGCTAAGCCATCGCTCACTTTCATTCGCCCGCAGCTACGTTGATTCCTATTGACCCCAGCGATCTCCAGCCTCCTCCCGTCTTTCCAGAGAAGCGTCGAAGTAAATCAAACACTCTCACGATTCCGCCAAGAGAGTCTCTTTCGTCCACCATGAGATGGAAACAGGCTCTCTGGAAGTTTCAAGCGCGAATGCGTGAACCCGACATCAAATACGCTACCAAAGTGGGTCTAGGTACTGGTGAGCGAGAGTTGTGTCATCAAAAGAAATATACGAGATCGTGTGCTGATGTGATCGCTTGCCAAAAGTCATATTGGCCATGCCTGCGTTCACGGAACGTTGGCGCGATACGTTCCTGGAATTCCGAGGAGAATGGGCTCTTATCGCGTTCTGGGCCACGATGAACCCTTCCATTGGTGGAACGAATCTGCTATCCTTCTACCGGGTGGCTGGTACTTTGTGAGCTTCTCATCCTTGTCGCCTCGGACAGCGCCTTGCTGATGCGCACGCCGCACCGACAGTCTTGGCGCAGCCGTAGCCGTGGCCGTGTACACCCTGTGAGCGTGGGTTGGCGAAGCGTCGCAGAGACACGTATTCAATGATTTGTCCTGCAGATTCCCGGAGAATCCTGTGATCCTTCCAATCATAGGGTTCTTCTTTGCCATACCGTGCTTTTGGGTCATCACGCAAAAGCCCGCTTACCAGCAAGCCGGAAGATTTATCCTCTTGACCTATGTGAGCCGAAGCGATGATCAAGAGCGAGGGTCTGGACTAACACAATCGTACTGGCAGAATCTTACATGCTTATATGCGTGAGTCACATGCTCGTATCGCGATCCAGACCTTTCGATTAACCTCCTCGCTCCAGCTACAATCAACGAGAGAGAGACTTGACGGCTTTCGAGATCGGCTGGCGGCGATCCTCGAGCGTGGTTCTTGGCGTCGTTTGGGCTACTATCGTCTCCAATTACTGGTGGCCGTTTGCAGCTCGTAAGGAATTGAGGATGGGCCTCAGCGAGTAAGTCGAGCGGATGGAACCCGGTGAGATAGGCTCGTACTGATCCGGCACTCGCTCGCATAGCTTCTCCCTCGATCTCGCCTATCTATACTCACGGCTGGTTCGCGAATACAGTGGACAACCGGTTACTGCATACCCCAATCCGCTCGTATGGCACGACCTGGACAGAACGACGCACCCTGACGAGACTGCAAGATTGCTGGATCATGCGGACCGACCAGGTCAACCCACGTTAAAGGCCCAACAGACAGCGAGACATTTCATGAGCATGTAAGCGTTACCTTCTCGGGTCCGTATGTCTTGCGAAATCCTGCTGATTGCCCGATCGTTACAGGGAGCTGCACCTTCAAATCCAACTCATTGACCTGCGCAATCTCTTAGGACAAACAAAGAACGAGCCTCGCCTCAAAGGTCCCTTCCCGCAAGCCATGTATAGCGAGATCTTGGGTTCGTGTCAGACCTTGCTGGACAAGCTGCACTCGATGCGGTGTGTCATTACACGGCAGGAGTGGTGAGTCGGTTGTATCCTTATGAACTGGATGGTTCTGATCTCTGGCGCACCTTTCGCAGGGATACCTCGGTTCACAAGGAGATTCTGGGACCGGTTAACGAACAGAGACGGGAGATGGTTGGCCTTTGCCGTTTTAAGCGTTAACTGATTTCGAGCTCATCGTCTTCATCGTTACTCAGGTCGCGGACACGATATTATACGTGAGTCGGTTCTGCAGTAGCTCGATCACGCTTAGCGATCTGATTCTTGCTATCACCCTGCAGTTCTATCTTTTGTCCGCCTCTTTCCGCCTGCGGCTGCCCATGCCTCCCGTCTTGCCACAAGCCGAGATGTCGCGCCGCCGCCTGGTCGACGTCGTCCGAAAACTCGACGTCGTCAAGCGCAAGATTAGCGAAGGGGATATCCGACACTTGTTGATCTTTGCCTATATCTTGGCGATGCAGGTAAGGCAACGATGGAGCTTTGGTCAGCAAGGCAGGTTGCTTATCTTTTCTCTCTGTCAAACGTCACCTTTGCTCGTACTGTAGGGCTTGATACAGGAACTCGAATTCATTGGACGGACTCTGCAGGATGCGTTCGGCGTTATCAGCCAAACCGCTCGAGAGGAATTCGAAGCGCTGTTTGTGTGATCGGGCATTGCTCGAGCGTAGATGACCTTGACGAACTTTGTGACAAGACGACGTATTAATGAAACGATGACAGCAATGCCTCGGGACAGGCGCTCCGGTCGAACGTTTCTGCAAGGAGATATAGTGCGATCGCTTATCATTTCAACCATTACCCCCTAAGCTGGTCCGGACCTCGACACGATCGAGGCAAGTCCAAGTCGTACTCGAAAGACCAAGATGATTTTGACCCGTCGTCTTATAGCCTTTGAAGTTGCGACCATGATCCGTTTGGAACGGTCCTCCAGATGAGCTGTGTAGACCGAATCTCTTTTAAGGGGAGCTAGGCTCCCGGCCAAATGTGGAACGTCTCAAGACAGTTGGGCCCGATGGTGACGTATCGCGGCTGATCCGGCACCTGTTGGACGGGGTCGCTCTCTGGGGAAGACTGCAGAAGCCTTGTGGCTCCGGCTGTCGGCCTTGTACGGAGGGGAGGTCGTCAAGCAGGTTATTCGAGTACAACTTGCGATGTGAAGCGTTGCCCGCACAGGCGGGGAGGTCGGTAAGATTGATGCTGCAGCTGAGGGAACCATCGAGAGGGAGTTCATAGCTCGAGTGAGTATCGGAGACGTTGATCTCAGCAGCTCGACGGCCTTGAAGCGGATCAGCATTGCAGGCCGTGTTGACGGATAGACCTGCGATGACTTGCCACGACTGCGACGAGAGCAAGGGGGAAGGACTCGGAGGAGCGCCGGTGCAAATCACGGGAGCATGTATAGAGCATGGTGGGCTGGTCACTTGCGGGTCGTGTGCCGATGGAATGGTACGAAAGCTGGATGCTTGTCTGTCCAGGCGACTTGCAAGACCTTGTTCATCGCCGGCAGTGAGGGAGTATATACGCCACATGGCATGTAGATGTTTCGCCAGCTGAATGAGCTATCGGTTCGAGAGTCGAAATGAACCAGATGGACATTCGGATCTTGGTCTTCCGTATTGGATCTCGGTCCCAGCAGCGTTGGTAAGGTGTCCGTCCGTATGCATGCTTGAACACGAGGTCGTTGAAGGGCGGCATGTTCATGTCACTTGTCGGCGACCGGATCTAGAGGTTGATGTCCAGATGATGTAGGGACGGAGTCGCTAAGAGATGGCAAAAGTGACACGTTTGGGGTCACGTTGAGCGTGGACGGATGGGATGTGCTTGTTCATGGTTCGGACACACATGTAGATCGCAAGACAAACTTGTGAGATCGGTTGCAGCGAAAGTTGATGATGGGCGGTTGGCGCTTCCATCGATTCAACATGTGCGATCAACAAGCTCAGACCGGGCCGGTCGAGCAAGATTGGTGGGTGACATCGGAACACAAACATGACTCTTGACCATACCGGGAAGCAAGCAAGACCGGGTTGCCACTGTTGACCGTACCGGCGTCACGTGATCTTGTGAATGGCTTCCTCCGGTGCGTTTGCGTATCACCTGTCGAGTTCAGAGGGATGTTGGTCGAGGTGTATAACATCACTGGTTGAGAATATTCTTAATCAATCAGCTTTGAGGAGCGACATAGTTTGACTAGGTAAGATCTAACCGGGGCCAATCGGACCAAGTCTGGCTGACCGGGTGATTTGAACCAGAACACCATACTCCTTCCATTTGCCGACACCCCTAGGGGCAATCGAGAATACCTTTCAGACCCCAATGCAAGATACCGGACCGGTTCATGGCCACCAGTGATGGAACTGCTGCAGGTAGTGCTCCTCGACAATCCATCACCGCTATGCCGTGTATGCTGGGAATGGCATCCATCGACCGAGGACCAGTACAGACATGTCGAATGGCCTTCCTCAGCACAGGAGAGAGAAGTTCGACGGGCATGGTTCAACAGGGTGGGTGTTTGTCGCCAATAAGTTCTTGAACCAACCTGACACCACTTTCAATCAGTCGATCTTTGACCTGTTTGACAATCTGTGTGAATTCGGTGCAACCGCTAAGCAGAACACAAAGCCAAGGTTCAAGCTGCTTTATGCTCGCTTGCCACCCGACCCAGATACCCTCGATGGCGTCTGGAAGCATTACACACCTCGCCTGTATCGCCCGGATCAGCCCTTTCATGACACCAACCCCTGGCTCACCATGACAGAACTTCAGGATAAGATCGGTGCAAGATCCGGGACTGATCTAGCCACATTCCTGAAGCCGCTGTTCAAGCATCGAGCAGCAGTGAGCTTGACGTGAGTCGAGTTGACCGAGACGTATCCCAAGACACCTCAGCTTACCCGGTACCGGTCTCACAGCAATCTGTCAGATCAACCGGATGCGCAGGTCCTGCTTCAACAACAGCTCAATCAGGTAGGTAAACAGCTTGATCTGGTCTATCAACTCGAGACATAGCTGAAGCAAGTGACCCACAGGCGAATGGCAACCTCAATCAAGCCAACGAGCAGGTCAAGAACACCCAGACCGCCCTTGACCTGGCTACCAAACAGGTCAATGAGCTTGAGACCGGTCGAGTGACAATCAAGGCCGAACTGGACCGGGCCACCAGCCGAGTCAGGGAACTTGAAGACGGTCAAGTGACAGTCAAGGCGGACCTAGACCGGGCCACCAGCCGAGTCAGGGAACTTGAAGAGGGTCAAGTGACAATCAAGGCGGACCTGAACCGGGCTACCCAACAGGTCAACGAGCTCAAGGCTGGTCGAGCGACGATCCAGGCGAGCCTAGACCAGGCTACCAGCCGAGTCAGGGAGCTTGAAGACGTTCAATCAAACAACCTCGATGAACGGGTCAAGGAGCTCGAGACTGGTCAAGAAAAGGTTCAGATGGACCTAGACCGCGCTTCTAAACGAGTCAAGGAACTCGAGGGGCAAAAGCGGCTGCTACAGGATGAGAAGAAGGCGGCGGCTGACACAATTGGCAGCATGCAGTCGGCACAGACAGGCCTCGACGCAATTCTCAAGAAGTTTCGCTGGCCATCCGATGACCCTCCTGCGCTGGAACAGAAGATACTTCGCTTCCTCAGCGAGCGGCAACAGGCACAAACCTCTGCAACCGCTCTGCACAAGCAAGTCGAGCAGCTTGAAAAAGAGCTACAAGACCAAAAGGACAAACTCCGAGCCTGTCAAGCCGAGTCCTCCAGGTTGAAGACGGAGCTTGCCAATCCCCCTCAACCAGTACCTGCCAACATCCCTCAACCAGTACCTGCCAACATCTCTCAACCGGTTCCCGCCGACGCCCCTCAGCCGATTCCCGCCGACGTCCCTCAGCCCGTTCCCGCTTTTGCGCCCCCTGTCACTGCCGATCTTGACGACGACTTGTCCCCCGATAAGGTCGACTATGCCATGCGACGTATCGCCAATACGGTTTCCAACAGTCTCCCTGACTTCAAGACCGGTTGTCAGCGGTTGACTCGACTGGCAGACATGCAGGCAATCGATGCCTGCACCCAAAAACCGGTCAATTTTCGCAAGATAGAGCGGTTCATCTACGATATTGCTCGGTTCAAGGAGTACGATCAGGATCACGAAGTCCAGTCTCTCATGGGGCAGTTCAGCCGCAAGGTCACGATCAGGGAGATTGACGACGGGCAAGAGTCCAAAGAGGCCCAAAACAACCGTGCAGACGCCGATGAGAATGATGAGGAGGAGGACAGTGATGAGGAGGACAGTGAGGAGGAGGACAGTGAGGAGGAGGACAGCGAGGTCGAGGACTGCGAGGATGAGGATATGAACGGATGAGCGGTGGATAGATAATGTAGCGAGTTCTTCCTTGTACCGTTAACGCAATCGATATACCCATGACCACGAATATGTTGGAATTCGAGATACCGCCTTATCAATGGCAAAGGTACTGACTGACCTGTTAGAACTCCAGGTATTGCTTGTGATGTAACAGTTCTTGTGGTCCGAGATCTCTATCACCCTGGGAGGTGATGACTAAGCGTCCAGAAGTTATCCAAGTAATCCTTGAGAGTCATCCCAGAGGTGAGACGCGTCGCGTCACGTCACATGCCCCTATCGACCCCTATCTCCAGGTCCAGCTCGATACTCATATGCAGAAACCTTTACATACCCCACCAACCTCGTCGACCTGTTGCAGCAACGACATCGGATCGTACTCTGGAATACTTGGCCCCAGCCTTGTGGACCTGTGTCGGTCCGTCTGTCACTCGCTACAACCCATACCGGTATAAGATTGACCTCAACCGGGAGCCCTGGACCGCGACCCAAGGAGCCTCGCAACACCGGCACCAACACCACCCCGGCAGCGTTGACGTCTCTTCAAGCTCTGCAAGACTTGGAAGCTTCGTGACTTGCGGGAGATGGGTGATCTGTTGACCGCCTGCATGTTGCCGATCTCGTCAAGCTTTGGGCGAAGAGACGTCGACGGGATCGACCACCACCAGCACCACATCACTGGCAATCCGACACCACTGGCACCAAACTACGCTGCAACCTTGTTGATCTTGCGAAAACTTGCAAGCTTGGGACCTCGTGTCCTTGTGACCCTGGTTACCTTGCCGGACTCGTTGCAACTTGGTCTACTTGGTCGTGGTGTCTACTACATCGCCAAAACACCTACAACCTCGACTCGACCGCTGGCGAAACAACGTACCGGCCTCGCTACGACCTCGTGGATCTTGTTTAAACTTGCAAGCTTGACGCCTTGTGACCTTGGTCGCCTTGCCGGACTCGTTGAGGCTTGGTTCACTTGGTCGTAGCGTCTACCGCGTCCCCACAACCACGACCACGACCGCTGGCGAAACAACATACCGGCCTTGCTACGACCTCGTGGATCTTGTTTAAACTTGCAAGCTTGACGCCTTGTGACCTTGGTCGCCTTGCCGGACTCGTTGAGGCTTGGTTTACTGGGTCGTAGCGTCTACCACGTTCCCACAACCACAACCACGACCACGACCACGACCACGACCACGACCACGACCACGACCACGACCACGACCACGACCACGACCACCTCAACCGGCCGACCCACGATCAACCCTGGCCAGCCTCTGTATGTGAGTTTCGGAATGATACTGAGCTTGCGAGTTTCAGTTTCAGATCTACAAGTGGCCGTCACTATGAATGGTCGGCGATTGGGGACCAGCACATGGTAGTGAGTCTATCGGTTTGAGACAACCTGCTTGACCAGATCGATCCTGACCTTGAAACGTCTGCGTCCTGTTCCCTCCAGACTTCAAGCAAGATCTCAGCTCGGACGATCAAGCCTGTGGCTCTATTGCTTTTCATTGACGACATATTGAGCGGACCGGTCTACCTTTATTCGCCTTTTACTGACCTGTTGTCACGCCTTCTTCAGTCAAACCTCTCGACCTCTCCGACATCAGCGTTAGCGTTGAGTAGATTGGTCGTGGCCGTATCCGTGTTGCTGATCCTATCTCCCCACACTTCACCGTCGATTCCTGTTCATAGCCTCAACCCGCCCTCTTTTACCAAGGATACACGTCCTCTACCTCGTCACAATCCGCCTCTGGCAGTTATGGTGTTGCATCTGTCTGAGAGAAGCCTCGGCAGACCACAGACTGTGTCAACAGAGGGTCGGAAGTGGCGAGGATAAGACGAGATCTGGAGGTGCGCTGGTCTCAAGATGCGAGACAACGTCTCTACAACAAACACCGTCACAGACCCCGGTCTCGACGTGCTCAACCTCAAGACCCTTGGTCTTTGTAACAAACCCCGACTTCGGTCTACCATAACACTAGGCTTCGGTCTACAGGCCTCGGCCTTGCCAACTTGACTACGGTCTTGCCACAAAAGACGACACGTCTTGATCACCTCGTGTTGCACTCTTAGTCCTCACAGCTTGCACTCTCCTCCATCTCAATCCCCTTGTCGCTGAGTAACACTACAATGGCTCGAGACTGTGATGTTGACCTCGATTCTTTTCTGACCGAGCAGACTGCGATATGAGCGATGCTCTCCGAAACATCCGGTCAATGTGAGTCTGGACCCAGTCAAGATCAGTTCTGCCTGCGCTGACGTCGGTTGCCTGATCATGCCGATATTGGCTTGTCAGTTCTACAGATCTGCCAGAGGCCTCTCGACCGGCAAGTGCTGTTGTCCGTCTCGTAGTTGGCTGATCAATCATCTGGCTCTGCGTGAACAGTGCTATCTTGGGTTTCACGAACTACAACCACCCCAGTTATTCGCATATTGTCTTCATATCCGGTTTGACGGTTTGACGGTACGTAGGACCATCATTTCGGTACTAAACGTCCCCCGCTGACATCACCCATCTTGGATTGCTATCAAACACAGGTCAGCTTTGGGTTTGGCTACGCTTCAAGAAGCAAACGTGGTGATGTCGTGTCTCTTCTCACTCTCGTTCTCGACCTTCTTGGCCTCCCGTCTCCAGCTCATTCGATGCATCACATTTCGCTTTGAGCTAATTCAATCGCATTGTCCCCAATCTTGCATCCTCTGTCTTGCCAGCCATTCCCGACTCGTAACATCTTTGTGAGTACCAAATACCATCGGCTGTCGTGTCTATCAGCGGGGGAAAGCCCCCATCCGGGGGGAAACGCTGTCAATTTTTTTTTTTCGCACCCAGGAACCACAACTTGTGCAAAAATCATCGCCCTGCTGTCGGTGGGTATGGTCTCAGCTGACCTCGACCTTGTTCAGCTTGCAATTCTCTCTTCCATCCCCCAAACAATCCGTTCAACCATTGCGGTGAGCACCGAGTTGGCCTACCACCTCTTTGGTTGTTTGTTGATATTGGTCCGACCTAGGTCACCCTACAACAAACGGAAACACGCACCGTCTTGCCTGATTCAGAAGGGCAATCCATCGGCAAGTTCTGATTTTCATTCCATGTCTGGCTTATTGCGTATCTTGCATTGCATCTGCATCAACCACCCGCGGTGTATCGGAAGATCTATCACCGGTGTGTGTCAGCGGCTGGAAGTGATCATCGACATGGGTCATTGATCGATACACTTTGGTAGCTTCCAACTCATTCGCAATGATCAGGTCAATTGGTATCATCTTTATTCCAGTGTGCTTGCCCCAAATGTCACGGTCGCCCAAATCGCCTGTATCATCACTTTGCTGAACCTTTGAATCTCTCCTCGCAGACTCGTCTTGCATCAACCAAATCCCTTGTCCGATCGAATGAATTCTTCTCACCATGACGGGGCGAAACCCCGCAAGGGACTAGGACGCTGCCAATTTTTCTCACGGTAGGCCCGACTTGAACGACTCGCTCTTCATTACGCCGGGGCAAACCCCGCAAGGGACTGGGATGCTGCCAATTTTCTTTTCCACGGTAAGCCCAACTTTGAACTTGGACGGTTTGTTCTGTTTCACACGCCGGGGCAAACCCCGCAAGGGACTAGGATGCTGCCAATTTTCTTTTCCACGGTAAGCCCAACTTTGAACTTGGACGGTTTGTTCTGTTTCACACGCCGGGGCAAACCCCACAAGGGACTAGGATGCTGCCAATTTTTTTTCCGTGAGACGTTACCTGGATCTTGTGAGTTCTTCTAGACGAGAATAATGCTGTCGGTTGTACTTTGCCAACGTTGTCCTGTTCGATCCCGGTCCACGCAGCTGGCCCCTTTTCACGTCGATTGAGCTCGGTCGCTATCACTCGTCTGACAGTATCTACCAATCGCAACGCAACTTCGAGGCACCGTCCAAACGCCGGTGAGCAGCCGACTACTTGAGGCATATGTGGCAATTCGTATATATCAATGGCGAGGATAAATCGATCATACAAAAAGAACCGGGGTAACGATCTAATACGCAACCCATCGGCGAACCCAGCCCAGAGCGCTCTTGACCTTGAACTGGTATTGTTCTTCGATCCACGCACTCATCCATTCTACCGTAACCCCTTCCCGCTCCGCCGCCATCTCTACCGTTTCCCCCTCCAACAAGAGTTGACGCTTGATGTCGTCGAGGCGGTGTGGGTTGAGAATCTCGGACATCGTTTCGATGTCCTTCACCTCACATAATCCATTCGCTTCGTACCAGACCCACGATCCTTTCATCGCACTAAGTCGGTATGATTCGATCAGTACGTTGTTCGAATCGAGAGACCAAGAAGCACTCACGGTTCCTGCATCGGGTCGAGGGCTCGCTTCTTGTACTGCCTTTTGGCCGCTTGCTTGACCTTGGCGGCGACAGGGGCTTTGACGTTCGCGGTGGCGTTCTTAGTGGCTGTCGTAGAGCGAGTAGAGCGAGATCAGTTTGTTTCAGTCGATGTCAATCAGCGAGACTCACCGTTCTTCTTGGCGGGCATCTTGAGTGTTCGAGTGTTGAGTTTGGGTTCGAGTGGAAGTACGAGGTGGAGTTTGTGAGTCTGTGTTTAAGTGAAAGTTGTAGAGTTGAAGTGAACGTACCAAACGTCCCCTCCTCGACCGATATATATACCCCCCCTTGCTTCTCGACCGGTCGCAGCTCGGCTGACCGTGTGACCCCTAAAAAACCGCAGTCCGCCGTTACCGGTGAACAGCTGACCCCCTTATCTTGGCCGTTTGGTCATCAACCCACGACCCCTGCCTGTAGTGCCGTTTTTCAGGTTTGTAGGATTTTCGGCGATCCGTATGACCGGATTGGCGCTCCACTCGAATTCAAATTGGTCGATGACGACAGCGACGATCTATTGTTCACTCGGGTACTCCGATGTCTTCGGCAGGATTCTTCGGGTGGTTATCGATTTGTTGTTCTAATTCTTTTGTTGGCAAAGGTCGATAGTTGCCGACTCGACAAACGATTATTGCAGTCGGTCTTGTAGATGTCGAGATCCCTGTTGTCATGGCGTCATTACGTCGATTCGAGTGTTGTGTTTGTGGTTGGGCTTTGTGTGTATCCTTGGTCTTGCAGCACAAGAGCTGTTTCGATAGTCCATCATTGCAACTTGTCGATTTTTGCGATGTCGTTGTTGCTTCTTGACTCTTCACAGAGAACAAAGACCGATCAGCGCCTGCGCGATCCACCTTGTGGCATTTGGCTACTCACCCCAGATTTCCGGAGATACGGAGGCTCGCTCGGAATGCAAGTCGCACGGTCTGCTTTGTGACTATAATACTCGATTGTAGACAGATTGAGAAGGTCAGATTGGGAAGCCCGCAGCTAACTATATCGATGTACGACTCACATCTACACATGACCATGTCCGACCGTCAACATCTCCTCGCCGTCTTTCTCTCCGATCCTCAGTTTTGGGATCCAGAAGAGCTGGCAAGTTGGCAACAGGTTCACGAGTGGAGTGTCGGCGAAGACGACGTTGTGAGTCCGGGATGTTATCACGTAGAACTGGCTTTTTTCCGACATCGATCCCCGCAGTCTCTCGGATATGCAGGTTTCTTGCTTGCCCGGCGGATCTTGCATGGCATCCATGACATTTATATCGATTTCGCACACTCCCCCGCCCACTTGCACCGCCTGCTTCAGGCCTGGAACGTATTCGCCCACATCTCCCAGCTTGTCAATCACTCTCAATCCTCGCGCATACTCCGAGCGGGCGTCTTCTTTACGTCAATTTGTCAGGCCGATATCGAGGAAATGGTCCCACTCGACTGCATGGAACTGTACGACATCCTATTGACCGGATATTCCCTTGCGACCCGGGAAGAGCGGGCGGTGGTGGCGAACAATACGGCTTTGGATTGGGGCGGGTGAGTCGGTTTCGAGTGAGCCGCCTGGATTGCCATCGCTGACGTCGATTCCGACAGCTTCCTCATGAGCTCCATCCTCAGTATTGACAGGATCGATGGAGGAACGATGTGGGCAAACTGGAGCACTGTCTTGAACCCGGCCCAGATGTGGTTTCTGATGGGATGTTCATGAGGAGGACGATTCGGGATTCTAGGGGATAGTCGATCGCTTTGCGGATGTGAGCCCCGGGTTGTTGGCTACGACGTCGATGTCAAACGGGAACGGTCTTTCTACCGATGTTTATAGTCCTAGATTGTGTGGTTGCGAGTACCATGTACATGTCCTTGATAGCAGACCTGTTGTTTTGACATACCCATACGTTGTTGTTGCTTGTCGGTCTGCTTGCCTTGCGCTCACTTGGAAGCGCGCATGGGAGCGCAACCGCAATGTCCTTCTCGAGGTGATAGCACGATTGATCTCATTCGATACCCGTTTGGTTCAACAAGATTTGACACGCTCCTCAAGCTGACAAATAGTGTTCGCCTTGTTCACGATTCTGGCGAGGAATGGAATCTTTAATATCTTGATGGGCGGTTGCGGCAGGTCATGGGACAATTCGGGCGGTGATTGGGGAACCCGTGCGGTCTATCATCAGGTCAGTATCTCTTCATATGATCGCTTCATCTTGTAGGCTGATCTATTCTGTCATCTCATTCATAGTCAGCTCTCTCATGGCTCGCTCAACCTCGAGCGAGTATCTCGTGGAAGGGAAGCGCTGTCAGCCTGTGGCACCACCTCTCAATCGACATCGCTGCACCAAGACGTCACCGCACCGGTATGGAACTCCAGCGCAATACCGGCCGGTATAAGAAGCAAACCGTGCTGCGGTCCGGTCATTGTGAGTGTTTTCTCAGCATGGTCCCGATCGACCCTATACTGATTTAGTTGCTCCACTTCGATTGTTTGCACAGCAGTTCACCTTCTGGCATTCCAACTATTGTCGTTTCGATGTACAAACATACATATGACATATCTCAATACCACCGGGTTACAAACAAGTCATTTCCTTCACGTTATCACCGCCACATGACCACTTTACGAGCCATCTATCCATCTCGAAACACGTTGGACCCGCTGGCCGACCACGGAAAAGGAGTCAGATCTATCGTCGACCTGTGGAGCAAGAGGAAACGACTCACAACAAGCACAAGGCAGATCCTTTTCAACTCGAAGGGTTCGACCCGGGAGCTGGCTGAGGAGCGGCGGATTGTCCGGGCCTGACATCGAACAGCGATCAGGACGGGACTTTGAAGAGACGCAGACCATCTGTACTCACGCTGCCTTCCTTGCATAGTCGCAGCCGGACTCGTGAGCGATCCGACAGCAGTAGCAGGCTGTGAGCGGGATCCCGTCTTGGTCCAGAATGACACTGCAGTTACGCAGGGTCCTCCCGAGTAGACGATCCTCCGAGTTGATCCTGATGCACCGAGTGCATCGGTCGTCACCCCTCAATATCGTGACGGTCTTGTCCTTGGGAAGGTGGTCTAGGAGGTATTGTTCCTCTTTGGAAATTGTTCGGGAGTACATTTCAAGAGTCGATTGGCGTCAAGTTGATCGTGAGTAAAGAGAGTTCGGGAAATGTAAAGATCGGAAGTTGACGATCGGTTTACCTTTATATGTTCAGCAATATGCGAATCGAGCTTCTCGGCGGTTCATGCCATGCGATTCTCCCCGATGGCCCCGATCGTTGTCACCCCCGATAAAACACTGGCGATCACCTCTCACCGGCATCTTCTTGTTCTTGAACAGTAGATCCGTCGATCATCGCACCTCGGTCGACTGACTCGAGAGATATCAACTCGCTACTCACACCACAATCTCGCAGCACAATAGAGGATCTGCGTTGGGTTGTTCCAGAGGAAGGTGTTGTCGTTCATGTAAACTTTATGACATGTGCAATTACAATTCCGCAGGGGAGACCACCCGACCATGTACAACGACGGGAGCCTGACATGTTGAGCTCATCGAGCCAGTGACCAGGGTAGAGGTTACATTCAGTGTACAAAAGTTGCTTTGATCGAAATGAAGTCGGTGCGGAATGGTAGATGAAGGAACGGGTAGTTTCGAATCGATTATCCCCGGGTCGCCTCTTCAAGATCCACCAGGACTTCTCTCGTGTGCCTGTATAAACGGATCAATGTCCCGACCTCCAACCCGATGCCCTCGTGTTCTGGTTTGTACTCCAACCATGGTCTCTCTGCAACCATGTCATCCGCCATCCTTTGCAGTGCTTCTCGAGTCCATCTCTGCGCGATCTTGACCTTTTCGTCTCCCAGATAAGCGACCCACAATGGATCGGAGAGGGCCTCGCCCATCCACATAGCGTATGCTTTGAGCTCCAGACTGGCGTCCTGTCGATGAATGAACTCGATGCAGCGATAGTCGAGGAAGGCTTGGACAAACATGATCGTCGGTTCGATGGCATAGATGCCCATCTTTGTTCCCGGTGCGACCACCAGCCGGTGACCCGAGGAGAGAACGGCCAAGACCGGACCGGGGGCGTCGATTGGATCCTGAATGACGACAAGGACGCGACCCGCAATGACCAGATAGAAGCCAGGATCCGGCGTGGATTGCTCAGACAATTTTCCAGCGGTCATGACGATCAGGTTGCCTTCGAACCGTTCGATATCGAGCCTGCTGGATCGATCCATGATGCCCGATGCGGCGTGAGCTCGCGCTCCAGAGCTATGAATCTCGACCGGCTGGATGTTGGGCATGGCGGTAGCTCTCTCTGTTCTGCCCGACACGCACATCTGTTCTGGACCAGCCACGCACACGGCAAACAGTCGAGGGCAGACGTGCCTACAGTACTGTCGCCAGGCCTTGCTGAACGAGTCGAGCGACGATTCGGGAAAAGGCGCTTCGTCGGTGTCAGGGCAAAAGTGCACCGCCGAGGCCTGGACGACCTCTGCACCCGTGAGCGCGGACCTTTAAACACGCAGCCATCGTCGCGTAAGCGCAAGCCATCCTGTCACGCCACTCGATCTAGCTCACATCGCTCCATTCCAAGACCCCTCTCCCCACCACGTCCTGGGAGACAATTCTCTGCCCTCGCAGGCTACAACCATCTCGTTCACCCGCTGGGCTCGTTGCGTCATGTCGGGCTTTTCGATACAAGCCGCGTCTGGCATGATGATGTGGCAGTCGGGGCGCACGCGGATGACTGATCCTTGGATGAGACGGTCGACTGGTGGTTCATCGCCTTGGTGCCAATACAGGGAGGATTGAACGTCCGGCAGGCTCGATTGCCTCGATCTGATCGTGCTGGCTTGAGATGAGGGCATGCTGAGCACTGTTTGGGGCGGAAGTGGAACATGTCAATTTTTGTCGCTCTTTCAGTGTCAGATCTGTCAGTCGACTTGCCTGCCTCTTCCGGATCTGCAACGACGTGCTCCTCTGCAAAAAGAGCCCGAAGTTGCGAGGTCAAGCTTGCCGTTTGGGGTTCATATCGATACGCTGTTGGGCCGACAAGTCAGCCGATCGTCTCGTTTATTGCAGGTCAGACCGCTGCTTACATTGATTCGATTCGTCCTCTTGCATGGTTGTGGATTCCCATTCTGCTCCTCCAGCACTATCGCTCCCTGTGGATACAGATTGACCGCATCAGCACATGACGCCAGTACACTCTGGTCACCGTCATCGACTTGCTCGTCTCGCCATCGTCCCCATCAGATCTCGAGGGTAGAGTCTCCCTCTTGTCATATACACCTGCATTTCCACCAGACTCGATCAGTTCTTTCCATACGTAAGATGATCTAGGCATGAGGACTTGCCTGCATCCTGGCTACCACATCGCCCCGAGTTCCCAACCACCCGTCCTTTGATCTCCCGGTCTGCGATGTTGCGGTTTTCCCTTTAGTTTACACCGAGCACACTACAGTCGCGGTTCGATATCGACTCACCCGATCCCGCATTCCGTTTCGACTGTTGGTCCTGCCTGAAAAGATCACTCGGTCTAGCGTCTGGATGATCCCAAAGGTACTTCAGTACACCCATAGTCACGTTCCAGCCCATCGGCAAAAAAAAACTCACACGGATGCCTTGCCGTCAGACGGTCTCGTCGACTGCCTCCTTCCGATCCATGTGCTAATCCTCTCGATCCTGTACAAGTCTTGAGTTCCTTTGAATTCACGTTCGACATCTTGATAAACGGATTCCTTTGTCGGTCGTCACCAGATGGCCTCCGATCAAGTCTGTGATGGTTTCGATCAATCAGCTCGCTCACACAACAATCGTTCTCCGGGGACGAAACATATAACTGACCTTTCGAATCGCAATCCTATTCTACCTGTCATATACTTGCTTGGTCGTCGAGGTTGTCATCATCAATGACGTCAATGATGATGATGGCTGTGTGTTGACAATGTCGACCGCGGACATCCCCCACTTGCGCCCGAAATAACCCAGTCATGTCCGCAGGGACACAGATGACGAATCTCGCTCGCCATAGATCATCATCAAACTGGCCTCGATCGCGGGACCAAATTTCGCAAGCTCATATGAACGTTCAACGTCTAGGTAGAGCCGTTTTGCCCCTGGTCAGCTCGAGCAGACCTGCTCTCCGCAAGCTGTTCATATTGACCTACCTATAATCACTCGAAATTTGATCTCGTTGTATCAGCTCATTGTCAGCACAAAAAATGACCGTCTCTCGTCCCTCTCGCACTTCCCATGAATACAAATCCCGTTAATCCCGCTGTTTCATCTGCATCCAAGTCGGACACCGGGGTCAGCCTTGCTTCATCTACGTCAAGTGCGGGCAAGAGTTCGGCCTCTTCCAAGTCGATCACAGTCGACACCTCGAACCTCGACTGGTTCTTCAATTACAAGGGACCAGCTGCCAAAGAGAAGAAGAAAAAGGTATGTTTCGGCTGGATATGCCTCCGGTTTGAGCATCTCACGCTCCGCTCCCGTCTGCCTAGCCCGCCCCACCGGCTGTGCCGCTGGTGGACCCCAATCTGCGTCCCGGTATCGAGCAGTCACTTCGACGACATCGGGTTCATCCAGACGAAGGTTCATCGACTCGTACAGCGCAAAGGCTTGGCGGTCGACCGGTAAGTTGTTCGTCAAACCCCCGGTCCGGTCGTCCGCTGATCGAGGCAAAACGCGTGCGAAATCGCGGTCTGGCTCAAAGAAAAAGTGATCGACATCACATCATCCTTTGATACCAACAAACATATCGACCACTTCACCTTGACCACTCGCGCTCGTCAGCTTTCTAACAGTCTCACAAACGATTGACATGATCGGGCCGCTCGACCACTACTTCTCTCGGAAGGCCCAAGCTGGCAACGCCCAAGCCGGCAAGTTTGATGACCTCGCAATACCCCGTGTCGACCTCACTGTGCTGATAACAGGGTCCTTTGGCCGTTCTCTCGAACCAGGACCCGGTCCTAATACTCTGGCGACTCGAGGAAAGCATGCACACGGTGGAGGGACGGCGTCTATCAATGTCAGGCGGCAAACTGCACCTGTGATCACGGTCAAACCGTCCAAAGATGGTCAGTTTCGACGATACGAACGGGTGAAGACAATAGCTGAGTTCCACTCCCGATGTAGCCAAGATCGAGAAGTACGAAGGAAGATCTCGGCAAAGAGACTGCATCAAAGCTCAGATTCGAATGATTCAGGAGCCCAGGACCTCACCGGCGCAGATGGAAATGATCAATAGGCTGGGAGGCGAGGTAGGTCGCTGCCTCGCGTCAGGAGAGCTCACTTTGTCTGACTTGAATGCCTCTGTTCTCCCTCAGGACGGCTATCTCTCAACTCTAGACAAGTTCAAAGACTGGCCGGTCGGTAGACGACTCATAGCCATACTCCTCAGGGATGGGGAACTATCGCAGGATACAGTCTTTCGAGAGCGCGGGGAACACCCGTTTGACGCGCGAACGCCGGGTCACCCCCTTCGTGACCGCATCGGGATCTACGTGCACATCACGACAGTGCGAAACGTTCTCACCGGGGAGTATGTGACCTTTTTCTACGTCGGGAGTGCGCAAGCTGGAGTTCTCAACCCTGGCGACGATGTGGTGAGTCGTACCCGGCTGTTCCCCCGTATCCAGTGCCCCACGACTCATGAAGCGATGCCCTACCGCATAGGTTCGGTTTGCGACGCGTATGAACGATTACTTTGCGGTGGACAAGGCATGGGCTCGGGGAGATGCCGAAAAGTTTCTCAAGATCAGGAATGGCTGCAGGAACCACGGTCGCCAGCATTGGCCAGCAAAGACCCCCAAGCAACGCAGTGCAGCCGAAAAAGCGGCGGTCGAATCTGGCCAAACGCCAAGCGAGTACGATGGCGATGACTGGGAGTTTGTCCGTACGGTCAGTGTCTTGTCCATCGGATCATGACCTGCATAACCTTGACTGACATTTCCCGTTCAGACTTGGTTCAAGGCCTTGTCATGGGACTTGGTCGAGCATTTCACCATGATCGCCCGCGGGGACGAGAAATTGGGCCGGGCTCTATTGGCATACTGGATGCAGTTCAAAGACCGGGAGTGTTTTCAGGTGGGTCCTCTGTCTACTGTGCTCTAGACGAACTGCTTTTTGATGATTCGTCCCTCTACGCTGCAGGACCTTCCGATCCTTTCCGATGCCTTGACTCACCTCCTCGAAGGGCACGTCTCCTTGATGGTCTCGACGGTCGGGACTTCGGTCAAGTTTCCCGGAGATTCGCATGCTCGAGAGGTCGCACAACACGCTCAAGTCAAGGCCGATTTCCCGGACGTCTGGGTAGAACCTCCGCACAACTACCGATTTGTCGGATCGAACATGAAGTTTACCGCTTTTGAGCGGGACATGCCTCATCCCAAGTGAGCACGTTGCAACGCTGCGCCCGTTGAAAACCGCGGAGCCCAGCTGACCCGTATCCTAATAGCATGACCTTGCAAGCCTACCAGAAAAAGGTCGCAGCCATCAACCGGGTACCTAAAAGCCTAAAAGAGCTGGAAGCCTTGGTGACCAGTGGCTACAAGCCGATACCCGTCAACCGGGTCGATAAAATGGCACTCGGGCTGACCGGGGTGGGAATCGACCGGGGCGTCAAAGACGCTGCGAAACAGATCTTGGCCATGTTGAAGCGAGTCTGTCTTGCCCTTGTCTGTGACCGGCTTGGCCCCGTGCTGACCCTATGTCCGAAATAGGTTTGACGCACAGGGTCGGAGCCAGAACGTACCTCTCGAGAAACGCCATGTACTGCTGCAACCCGGCAAATGGCACTTCTGGAGAGACGCCCTGAAGCAGTTCCGAAAATACCCTCTGCCAATCTCCGAATCGGACGCGCCGTCGTATAACAAGAACGATGGAGCAATCGAACCGGCCGAGACCGTAGTCCGCATCGACAAGAAAGAGGATGTGGGTTTGGGTCGACCATCAAACCTGTACTGTGCTGCCCCCGGCTGATCGATGTTTGTGCACCTTGTCGCCTTGCAGAAGCACCTGGTCCAAGCGACCCACTGGTCCGCCCACATTCATCACCTCGACGAGTACGCTCTTCCGATGGGCACAGGTACAGACGTCTCTGTGACGATCTGGCAGGGGAAAAAGGAACTCGACACGATCAGGCGCAACCTCGGAGACATTGACGTCGGTTCACGCTGGACCTTGCTCTCTGACGTTGTCTCGACGCTTCGTACCGTCATCATGGTGTGCAAGCTGTCCGCAATCGAATTGCCAGCCTTCTTTCTGACCAAACCCCGGGTCGACCAGGAGGCACAGGTCTCGTACGCACTCAACGCATCGGCCATAGCTGAAAGGCCGTTTGACCGCGGCATGTCTGAAAGAGGAGCCGAGCTAGTTCGTCACAACTTGAAATCACTCACCCGATCAAACCCTGCACCGTGGCTGGAGCCTATCACGCGGCCCGTGTCTCAATACACCGCGTTCGGCAATCCTCCGCAAAATTTGCCTCACAATGTCGAGCGGCCCGACACCTTTGTCAACGTGCGAAATGGGTACCTCGTCTTGCCTCGCCTCCCGCCCGCCGGTTTCATGCGCGTCAAGAACAAGGCGTACTCGTATCATCAGTCATTGATGGCGGGCGGGGTGTATCCCCATGGCGACCAATGGACCACTCCGGTGGCTATTTCCAGTTGGGAACACGATATCCGCCGCGCCACCAGGCTACCTGGAGGTTTACATCTGCTGAGACATGCCCCGGCCGCCGGCGACGTGCTCTGGACCATCCTGCTCGATGAAGTCTTTGTAGACGAGCAAGACCACCCATCCATGTTTAGAGCGCTCGAGAATATGATCGACGAGGTCGGTCAGACAAACAAGCGCGCGCACCAGATATTCGGTACTCGTCAACTCGCCTTGGTAGCGTGGCCGATCCATCAGCCGGAAGGGCCGGTAGAAGCGCGTTTCCCAAAGGTCAAGGACGAGATGGTTGTCGACCCCCAGCCAAAGGAACCAGGGACGTCCCTCAAGCTCGAGACCCACGCCGGTTCCAAGGAGGAGGAGGTCAGGCAAGAACGCGTCTTGTTTGTCCGGCAGTGCGACAAGGAGGCCCTGGACTCTTGCGAGGTCCAGACGTTCACCCGGTTGACTTTTCAGTACCAACCGGTCGAATTGGCGGAGCGACCAGTCATAGCTTCGTACGGCACCACTGCGGAGCGCATCGGGTTCCTCCTGTCGGAATTGTCTGTTAACCAAGACCACGCATCGTTCCTGCTTCAGACGTTGCAGTCCGAGGCGGCCATGACGTACAACCTTGTCGACCTCAAATGGATCGCCACGTGGGAATCCCTCATCAGTAATCTCGTTGCCAAACATCCCCAGCCGGAGGATGCCATCCGACTGATCTGCCAGTTGGCGACTTCCCCCAAGCGGGCCGCTCAGAACTTGATCGCTGCGATCTTGCAGCTTTTCGCATCGGACAGACTTCGCAACAACAGCATATCGGCGACAACAAAGCTCAAATACCTTAGGGGTTAGGGGTTAGGGGTTAGGGGTTAGGGGTTAGGGGTTAGGGGTTAGGGGTTAGGGTTAGGGGTTAGGGGTTAGGGGT